TATGGAAGTAAGAGTTTAAGAGTTCTTTGAGTATTCGATTTCTTGGCTTTTTTAGAGCTCAGCTGGTCTGCTTGGGTTTGCTATAAGATCATGGTCTATGCTTCGGAACAGAATGTTGGCTGATCCATCTTTCCTCTTCAAAATAGGGACTGAGGTAAGGGACATTTCACTTCATTTCAATGGTCAACATATAACTTCATTTACAGAGCCAATCTTTCATTTACAACTTAGTTTCTCCTTCCTTGTGCATTCACATTTGGGTATTGGCTTATGTAAGCATTTGATGATGCCAATTTCTCAGATAGTCATTGATTCATGTTGTGCAACTGTTGCTGAAGTTCAAAAGAGAGGGAAAGATTTCTGGGCGGAGTTTGAGTTGTATGTAGCTGATCTTTTGGTTGGAGTTGTGGTTAACGTTGCTCTGGTCGGTATGTTGGCGCCTTTTGTCCGTTTTGGTCAACCATCAGCATCAAGTGGCTTCTTAGGAGGCATGCTCAATGCTTATAATGCACTTCCTAGCAGGTAAAATAATACCATATAGTATTTAAATCTCTCATTTTATAGCTCGGTTCATAGAGATTGAGATTTTTTTGAACTGGATGCAGCGTGTTTGAAGCTGAAAGACCAGGATGTAGATTTTCTGCACAACAGAGGCTTGCTACATATTTCTACAAGGTTAATTAAAATCTCACACTCTCTGTCTCAGTTTTGCTCTGTAACTTTTTGTTTTTGCTGTTGCTGATGGAAAAAACATTTGTTCAGGGTATAATGTATGGTGCGGTTGGGTTTGGATGTGGCATCGTAGGTCAAGGCATTGCTAATCTGATCATGACTGCTAAACGGTATATGTATAACACACTCTTTCTGCTAAAAGGGTCACTTAGTTTTTGGATGTTGCTTACGTTTCTTTTGACATTCTCTTAACTCAGAAGCATAAACAAGTCAGAAGAAGACATTCCAGTACCACCGCTCATCAAAAGTGCAGCTCTCTGGGGTATATACATACATATATTGGCTTTTCACTTTATTAAATCATTATTAGTCTCCAAATTAATGGTATGTTTTTTGTAATTGCAGGTGTATTCTTGAGTGTTTCTTCGAATACTCGATATCAGATAATCAATGGTCTAGAGAGAGTGGTGGAAGCATCTCCTTTCGCCAAGAAAGTGCCTCCGGCGGCTTTGGCCTTTACCGTTGGTGTAAGGTTTGCTAATAACATCTACGGTGGAATGCAGTTTGTTGATTGGGCAAGATTGAGCGGTTGTCAGTGAAAGAGAACACATGTTGTAACCCCACTCGATATTTTTACCACATTTCCGATTTTATCTTTCAGTATTACAGAACTCGCCAGGCGCTACTTGAGCTGTAAAAGTAATCAATAAAATGATTAGAAACAGATAAATGTTGAGAAATGTTTTCAGAGCGCAAAATGGTGAAAACGTACAATTTTACTTTATGGAAGAGAAGAAATGTGTTTTTGAGAGAGTAAAACATTGAAAATCTTGCTTTTTCTCCTTTATGAAAGCAAAGAAAAGAAAAGAGAAATTAAAACGAATTTGCAAACAATCAAACGACTTGGACACAAAACAGATGGTGAAATCTAAATCAAAGTTACAAAAAAGCAAATGATTACAGAATGAGAAAATATAAAAAGATCAATTCTTAATGGTACACGTAACTAAAACACAACCACCCCACCAAACATCTTATACTATAAGAATCATCAAAGCATTAAGATTGTAACACACAAACAGAACAACAACACTTGACAAAATAAAGAAGAAGCATGAGATGTTGTAGGTTTATAACGTTTGTTGCAGTGGCTTTGATGAGTCTTCTGATCACATTAGCTTCCGTTGAGGCTGCTGGTGAGTGTGGTCGCATGCCGATTGGTCAAGCTGCGGCTAGCCTAAGCCCGTGTTTGCCTGCTACCAAGAACCCGAGGAGTAAGGTTCCACCGGTTTGCTGTGCCAAAGTCGGTGCTCTCATTAGAACCAACCCTCGTTGTCTCTGTGCGGTCATGCTCTCTCCTTTGGCTAAGAATGCTGGAATCAATCCTGGAATCGCAATCGCTGTTCCCAAACGCTGTAACATCCGCAACCGCCAAGCTGGGAAGCGATGTGGACGTATGGATTCGATTCTTCTAAATTAAATTAGTATTGTAACATGAAGATTACTTTGACTTTTTTTTTTTTTGGTAAAAAGATTACTTTGACTTCACTTACTGATTTTATGTTTTTAACCTTTTATGTTTCTACAGGTTACATTGTTCCATGAAGATGAAACGTCGATTGGAATCTTTTAGTATCAAAATGATGAGGAGTTCTTAAGATTTAAATAAATGTTTTCACTTACCTTTGTAGAGGAGAAATGTGAAATATATATCCTTAATAATATCTATGTTGTTGGGACTACACATGAGAGGGTTTTTTCTGGTTTATTTTGTCAGGTGTTGACATTTGGCATGTTGTGTTTCTGTTCCTATTATTGTGTTAATCAAATGGTATAATACATACTCCAAAGGTCCAAAACAAAACGCACTTAACGGATACAAAAAAGGTTTATAAACATTTTTTAATATCTAAACGTGATACAAAGAAAAATGACTAACATGCCGTCTAAGGGTTGCAAACAAAGATACAAACTATAAACACAGTAAAAAGTGAAAGCAAAACTAAAATGATTTGCAGATAATTTTTGTATTTACTATATACTTCGGAGAACATAAAATACTAGAGGAGGAAAAGCCTCAAAATGTTAAACTATAGAAAGTAGATAAATATCAAATATGTGGAGAAATACAATGAATAAACTTACGAGAGCTTAGAAAAATGAAAGTAAAAAAAGTGAAGTGAAAGTGATCATTGTTAAGAGATGAGAGATACTGGGACTAATAAAAATTAAATATTTTTGGATATTATTGGAAAAGTCTCTAACTATATACTTTATGAATGAAAGATGTAATGAAAAATTCATGCTAATTATATGTTTAGAAACATTTAATTCACATAAGTCCTGGTCTAGTATGACAAATATGATTTGTCTTTTTCAAAATGAAACACAAATACTATTCGTGACCATTGACCAATTTCTTGAAACTGGCAAAACATAACTCTTATCTCTTTTTTCTCTATCAGTCACGAACGTTGGGCAGTGAGTGAATGAATGATTGAATGTGGTTCAGAAAACCGTACGGTTTAGATACAAAGACAAAAACAAAATTGAAAGACATTAAATTATCAAACGTACCAAAAAGAAATCCCACAACAAAACCTACCAATGAACAAATCTCATCGCTGATAGAATCCAAGATTCACTTTCCACGTGGCGAGCTCACAGAAACCCACGTGTAATTTCAGTCAAACCAGTCAAAGCCACAACGGATATTCTTCTGCTTCTCCCGCCTTCCTTTATAAAAAAACACACAACAACAAGAAAACAGAGCTTATCTCTGCAACTCCAAAAACTCCTTTTTTTTCTCCAAAGCAATTGAAAAAAGAGAAACAGAGAGAGAGAGAGATAAAGGATGACGAAAATCGACACTCTCCGTCGTTTTCTCCTCCCGTGTATCACACCTCCGACGAATCAAACCGCCGCATCGACAACCGGAGCAGCATCCACCGGCGTCAGCAAGAAACGTCTCAGCACCTCCCTAAGAGACGACGTCGACGTCCAAGACTCGGCTTCTTCTTCCGCCTCATCCTCCGAGGCCACTTCCTTCGCCGCCTCCGACTACCTCTCACCCGTCACGGTGCCGCAGAGACCCTCGAAGACGATGGTGATTGGGACGATTTTCGGGAGGAGAAAGGGACACGTGTGGTTCTGCGTCCAGCACGACCGTCTCTCCGTCAAACCGCTCCTTCTCCTCGAGCTCTCCATCGCGACGAACCAGCTGGTCCACGAGATGGGCTCGGGCCTTGTCCGGGTCGCTCTCGAATGCCCGACCCGACCCGAATTGAAGTCTTGCCTGCTGAGATCCGTACCCGTTTGGACGACGTTTTGCAACGGGAGGAAGTCGGGGTTCTCTGTGCGGAGGAGCGCCAACGAGGAGACGAGGATGATGCTGAAGAAACTGGAGTCGATGACTGTTGGGGCGGGCGTGTTGCCAGCCGGATCCGGGTCGGGTGAGTCGGATCTTGACGAGGTTATGTATATGAGGGCGAATTATGAGCATGTTGTGGGTAGCTCTGACTCGGAGTCGTTTCATCTGATTAACCCGGACGCTAACTCGGCTCAAGAACTCAGCATCTTCTTGCTCAGGACCTCTTCGTAATTGCCGTTTGGGGTCTAACTTATGAATGCTTTTCATAAAGGTTTGTTTTCTGGTTCGATAGATTGGATTGTGTTTCAGAGATTGGGAAAGACAGTTGAGAAAAAATCAAGATTTTGGGTAGGGATTTAGGTTTTAGCTCTTAGAGATCCGGAAAGTGTAGGGTTTTTAGTTCTTGGTGAGAAATTTCTTTGTGGGTCTTTTTTGTATTGGAGTTCTTGATCCCAAGTTAACATTTTTTTTGTAAGGAAGATTGATAATCTTTCAAGATCTTGATCCAAAGTTAACATTTTTTTGTAAGGAAGATTAATAATTTTAAGACTTTCTCGAGTATAATCTTTCTTTTGGTTTTATGAAGTAACAGAAACGGTGTACAACACCTCATTTCACAATTCTGTGTTTAAATTGTTACCAATATGAAAACACAACGCAAACTAAAACTTACTGAAGATCAGTATCATAATAAGAGTGTAAAATTGGTAAAACAAGAAACAACTTTTATGTCAGGAAATTGCTCGCGTGGAACAGTGTAAATCAAGCCTTTGAATGTTGAATACTCAAATGCTACTAAACACACTTGAAATGTTCTCTCTTTTTTGTCATGGCAGTAAGAAAAGGAAAATTTACTACCAAAGGGTTTGAAAAATTGGCAAAGGGGGAAACAAACATGTTGTTCCTTTCCTTCTACTACTAACTCTGTAAGACTATAAGGCAGCTAAAGCACTAAGTATTAGGGAGCAGGAGGAGGTAAGAAGAGAGTTTTCAAAGTCTCGTATATCATGAAGGTGATGCCAACACCAGGAACCACTTTGTAATATTCAGGCAATAATCCTCTGTACAGCCCTCTGATGCCTTCTGTCTTGAATATGAGTTTGAATGTTCCCATGAGTCCTGTTTTGTACACTCTCGCTCTCCCACCAGCTCCTTCTACCTGCATTCTTCTTCTCACAAGATCCAATGGGAACGTAGCTGCAAACAAAGTAAATGGGGGTCGAGAAACTTTGTCATCTGATGCATATAATATGTCTCCTCTTGAAACAAGGCTCAAAACTACAAAGTCAGATCAAAGAAGAAACCTGTTGAAGAAGCAATTCCAGCTAGACCTCCACAACCAAGACTAACAATCAATGTTGAATCATTTGGCCTGAAAGGTTCCAAGAAATTAGTAAGATACATATACAAATATGCCAAAGTAACCGTAAAAATACAGAGTAAAGATGACTTTTTACCTATGGGACAGCCAGAATGATTTCATATACTCATACGTAGCGAAGTTGATTGCAAGCGTTGGCCCAACTCCCTGCATCAAGAAAATAAGATGTACCAAGAAACAGTCAACAATCAACACAGTTAGCACAAGAGAACAAGAGAACAAGGGAAAATCAAACAAAGCGTACCAACATTGTAGCACCAAGTCCTTTATACAGACCCAAGAGTCCTTCTTCTTTGCATATGGTACGAAAAGCATGACCAATACCCTGGTAATACATTGCGTTTCTCTGCGAAATGATCGTAATGTAATGCATTCAGGCTACAGAGAAACAAAGAGAAACACTGCTTACAAAGAAGAAAACCAAAATCAAATACCTGCGCAGCAAGACGAGTCCTAACAAGATCGAGAGGATATGTAGCAGAAGCAGCTGTTATTCCAGCCAAGCCACCACTAACAAAGTTGACAAACGGGCTGCCACTTCCATTTCCTATATAACTCCGTAAGACTGGACTTGAATACAAAAGCTGCAAAATAGATAGATAGCATTGTGAGGCTAAGTGATAACAAAAGACACGATTAAAGAAAAAAGAGGAGTAGAATGCAACTCACCGTCTTGTATTGTTCATATGCATAGAAGTTCAGTGCAGAATAGGGAAGCCTGTGAGCTACAGTAACAAGATTTCCTTTCCAAAAGGCTCTAAACCCTTCTTCGTTGATAATGCGAGAAGCTTCACGCCACAAACTTGGCCTGCTTAACACTGCAGCTTCTGATTGCATCCCTTGCAACTGTAAAGAGACCATCATAAAGCTCTTTAGCAAATTCAATAGAGGCAAGAAGCTGTGAAAGGCACAACAATGTAAACTTTGATTTGGCTACTGTTCAAATTGTGTGGCAAAACAAAATATTCATGAGCTCGCCAGAAGTTCAAAAACCCAAAACCCATTCCAGAAACTTTCCCAAAACCCCAACAACTTATCTTCTCGGCTCTAGCTATCCAAACAAAGCAGCAAAAAGCTCAAAACAAGCCAATTTTTAGAAATATCCTCTGTGATAAGCACACATTGACCAAGCCAAAAGGAGAAAATCGATATCGAACAAGACCTGAAACAAGATGGTGAGGCGAGCGAGAGGAGCAGTACAGGTTTTGCTGAAGGCGCCGGCAATACCTCCGGCGAGGAGATTCTCGATTTCGCCGATATGACCCTGCGGCTGAATCTGCTGCTGTTTCTGTAACAAGCTCCTTGTTCCGGTATCCATAACGCTGCTATGCACAGTGGTTGCAGAGTTGAGAGCACTCTGTGCTCCATCCACCGCCACACCGACTCTAGCCTCAACATTCATCTCTCTCTACCAATCTTACTACGAGATGATTAGCCGTGTCTTGGTTGGCGAATTCGGAATCGAAGGTCACATCAATTGAGAGAAATTGAGTTACGATGGAGATCGGAGAAATCGACATAGGGAGAGAGAGGGAAAAGAGGGAAAACTCTTTGAGAAACCCTAAAACTTGCTTGGAGAAGGAGGAGGGTATTTTCGTCATAACATCAAGATACTGAGATACGGCGGAATATGCGTCATATCTTTTTTTTTTCCTATGATATTTTTTTTGTTTTCCTTCAGTGAAAAGTATGTTTGAATGGGTTACTTGCTACAATTGTAAAGTTGTGAAAATTGAGGAAAAGTATTTATTTGTAGTAGTGTCTATTTCAGGACGAATCATCCGATTTGTCTTTTATATCCGTTGTAATAATTACTAGTATTGTCTTGTATATCCGTTGTAATAATTACTCGTATGAAAAGTGGTAGTAAAATGGCTACCAAAATCGCTAAATGACCCTCTACATGTTATATGGTTTCTAAATTTCATTGTTGAAAGTGTTTGGTCCGTGAATTAATGGGCCACGCGTATCGGCCCATATAAACCAACCACAAGGCCCACAAGTATTTGTCAATTGTAATTGCCTTCTATCTTTATTATATTATATTAACTAGCCCATGCAGGGTTTGAATTATATAAAAATATATACAACATTTCATAACATTTAGTGATTTGTTTGGTTGGTTTTAAAATTGATTAACTCACAATTACAGTTATTTATTTTAAAATTTTAATTAACTTAACAAATTGGTAATAATGAAAATTTAATTTCTTTTTTTTTCCTGTGAACAATCCAAATTTAGTATGATTAAACATCTTCTAAATATATATGGAGTTAACGTTCTATGAGAAAATTAAGTTTTATATTTTTAATTAACTTTAATTTTCTTTTCATGTTCACTTTTTTTTTCTTAGAATTTAATTAACTGTTACAAATTAATAGTTATGAGCATTTAACTTAATTAATTGTTTTTCTGAGGTTATGGGAGAAAATGTTTAAAATCAAGGTACTAATAATTATTATTATTTTGTGTGAAACTCAAATTGTAAATGTATGAATCAATTAATTTGATAAACTTTTCTTTTGCTAGATATCATTTAAATAGTAAAATATCAAAGCTTGTGAATCTTGAATCTTGTGAATTCAAACTATAAAAGAAATATGAGGATATTTTCATTTTGAGAGGAAAAAAAAACTAAGAAGTAGAGACTCGTGCTAATAACATGTTGTGAGAAAGAGAGAATGAAGTTGTGTTATTCATTAATAGAGAGCTCATTATATAAAATACAATATAGGGTTCCAAAGAAAATATATAAAGGAGAGAAGTGGGCCTAATGGACATCCACTCATAACATATCAAAAATTGTTAACCATATTGATATCTGTTGCCACTGATAAAATAATTTTATTGAAGTTGAAATTGATTAAGAAAAATATGCACATATTAAATATTGAATGGGCTGACTTTGTTATCCATGAAGACAACTATATGGTTGAAAAATTCAACTATGTGTGTAATGGATAAATTTGAATGCAACAATTAATGCAAAGAGAGCCATGTTTTAACAGTATAAATATAAAAATTTCTTCCTTTTCTAGCAAAACATTTTATGAAGTTTAAATTTAAATTGGTTTATTTTATAAATTTTATAAATGTTGTTTTATTTTCTTTACTATTTTTATGATTTTGGACGAATTATGAAAAGACATATTTTTTTTTGTTTGCTACGGTGTTTAAAATCGTTGGACTGGCACTGCTGGTGGAGTTTTGCGTAGATAATGTATAGACTGGCACTGCTGGTGGAGTGGGTGTAGATAGTGTATAGACTGGCACTGCTGGTGGAGTCGGTGTAGATAGTGTATAGACTGGCACTGCTGGTGGAGTCGGTGTAGATAGTGTGTAGACCGGTACTGTTGGTGGAGTCGGTGTGGATAGTGTTTGGATCGGCACTCAAATCCCTACACAGAAGACGTTATTCGTAACCACATGTTGCTCCGTCAAAGTTTGTTTATTGTGATCATAGAAGTATATTTTATAACATTTGAAATTTAATAAAAATGTGTCAAATGAATAAAAAACATAACGACTAAAAGATGTATAAAAATTATAATTATACCTGAGGCAAAAATTACAAGTGAGCTGACAATGAATGCAAGTAAAGCTATTTTCTCCATATCTTCACGTTTTAGTTTTCTTTTTATCTGTCTTTGAGGTAATTGTTTGTATGTTGTTGGAATATTTGTTAATCTATTTAAAAGCAACAAGAAGTTATCCTTTCCATATCTTTATTGTTATGATTGTTGACCAAAATAAAAAGTTATTATGATCTTTTCATATACACCACTGTTTTGCCAAAATTAGGATGGCTGATTAAGTAATTACAATATGTTATTCTCGGTCAAAAGAAGATATACAGTGAGAGAAATAGAAAATGGAAAAAAAATTACTATTATATTCTTGAAAGAAATTATGGAAGAATATTGAAGGAAATTTATACACTTTGAAATGTAAGTAAAATAAAATTTGAAAATACAATAAAAAATCTTTAGGTGAAATAAGATTGAGAATCTATTTAATTAGTAATCATAACTGATATTGTTTTTTAGAATTCATAATTTAATTTTCTTTTTATCTTCTTCTTTTATCTTTATCTAATTAGGGAAACAATTTAAGAGACACTTATCAGAATGACACATGACAGCCTCTCAGAGAATGAGAAAGAGTATAACCCTATAATATTAGAATATATATATATAATACATAGATTCAGAAGTACATTCAAATATTTGTACACAAGAATAAGAGAAAAATCAATTTGCATAGAAGAATAAATGAAAAAAAAAATTGGATACAATAATAATAACTTAAAACAAACCGATGGTTTAGGAAACTTCCGTTTTCCAGCTCTTAAAAAAATCTGCAAAAAAAAAAATTAACATAATCTATCGATAATACCAAATCAATAGAATATGATCGAATGATATTTGAAATTTTTCCAATAGTGAAATAGAAATACGTCTAATTTAAATCAAATTGTAGATTTCTGTTCGTTTTTTTTTTGAAAAATTCAGATCGGTTTGGGTTCGAGTTTTTTTTTTGGTTTAGTGGAGGGTTTTTTTGTATTTCGGGTTTTCAGGTGTAGACATATTAAAAAAATTTGAGCATTTTAATTTTTTTATTCGGGGTTTTAGGTCGGGTTCGGGTTTCGGGTGAAAAACTTTTGAGTTTAATTTTATTGGGTTCAGGGTTTTCGGGATTTTTTGGATTTCACATATTCGGGTTTAGACATATTAAAAAAGTTTGGGTTTTTCAAAATTTTGATTTGGGTTTTTTGGTCGGGTTCGGATTTATGATTTAGATTTTCTTCATAAAACCGCAGCGCCACACGTCACACCGTGCCTGCGCATGTCCTTTACTAGTAAATAGATATAGGAAACCTCCCTTGTTCCTCACTCTACTACGTTCGCTCCATCTTTTCGTATTTTTGTTCTCTCTGCCGTTTCATAATCAGAGGATAAACGAGGTTAATTGGTGATTTTGATTTAACCAAGTCAATTTCTCTTTCGAATACTTTATCTGAGGTTTGATCGGAGAAGATTAAAGACCTAATTACTGCGAGACTTGTGGACCTTTATGGTTGATTTTTTTAGGTTGAAGAATATCCTCAACGAGATCATACAATGCATATCCTCAGAGAGATCAAGCTCAAGACTGCCTCGCTGTGTTTCTAAAGAGTGGCTCTGGAAAAGCTTACTAAAAGGTGTTTGTCCTCTCTCTCTCGTACACACACAGTCTTGAAACTGAAATAAACAGAAAGCTGTTCTCACTGAACTAGTTATCTTTATTTTTCTACAGATGAAATGGATTCGGGGACTGAGGATGAGACAAAAAGACTTGTTCGTCAGGATGTATCATCTCCCTTGTTATTTTCATGTGAACTATGCGAATTTGGTGATTAAAGCTTTGATGATTTCTCCACGCATCTCAAGAATGTATTTCATGCATATTCTGTAAGCATCTCTCTCTCTCTCAATATTATTATCAATACATACTTGTCATTCTCTTGTACCATGCACACGTTTCCTTGATTTTCAACTGGATTTGGTTGTCAAGCACGAGTGGAACCGCGCGACTTGTAAAGCCAATGTGAATCGTTTAGAAAATAAGCATGAGCCTTTGAATTGTACACATGTCACGATACTATGAATTATAAAATCCTACATATCGCGACCACGTTGCACGCATCGAGCTTTATATAATAAGATATAAGCTTATTTAACACTAAGATTTTTTCTAAAATTTGCAATTTTACTAAGATAAAAACGAAAGGCATGAAACAAAAAAAATACAAAGGAGGAATAAAAAAGAGTAGAAGCGAAGATAAGTGAAGATGAATAAGAAACCAAATAAAAACAAAGAAGAAATAAAAATACGAGAAATTGAAAAAGAATAAAGAAATTTAAAAATATATAAACAAGAGTGAAGAAGGAAATGAAATCAAACAAGAACACAAAGAAGGAATACAGAAAAGCAAAGACAAAGAAAATCAGAAGCCAAAGAAGAATACAAAAAATTGAAAATTAAACTATTTCAAAATTAGAATATTGGTCCATAAATATTTTTTAATATTAATTAGTTGCTCGATAATTATTTTTTTAGATTTCTATTTATATTTGTTTCTTTTTCAGTTTTCTTTTGGCTTAGGCCATTATAAATATTTTATTTTCATTATTAGTAAGGTGTTTTACAATTATTTTATTAGTTTTTTCTATTCATGTTATTATATTTTCCAATTTTCTTGTGGTAACACATGTCATTAATTCATTTTTTTGAATAAATATTATAGTGTAGATTTAAATTTTATTGTTTTAATTTAACTATAATTATTTCTATTTAATTTTAAAAATCCTATTTTCTATACTAATGATCTACAATATTTGTTCGTATAGTGGTTTCACATCTGACTTTTCTTTAAATAATGATTTTAACTATCGACTCTTAAGCGCACTATTACATGATCCTAAGTTGAATAAGTATACTTTGAAAATTATTTTCCTATATGAATTATCTTTACTCGATTCTTATCCGCTATAATTCTATTATTTACACGTATTGTTCTCGCATATTTCTACATATAAGCAAACTAACAAAATTTTATACAAAAAAATTTAAATAGGTTTTATGAATACTTAGTTATTATCATTTTATTTTAATCTTCGAACACTAACTTTATTTTTTTTTCTATTGGGAATTTTTATTTATATCTGAGAATGTGAAGAGGTAACTTCAATGCAAAAAATGATAAGTCATGAAACAATTGTGAAGTTTTTATTTTGTAAATGCCACATGTTAGAATTTAAATATATATATATATATATATATATATATATAAAATTATGTTGTAGGTAATAAACTGATTTTTATATATTCAAAGTCAATATAACTAACAGAAATAATAAACGTACCAAAAATTGAAATTGACTAACTAGCATTGATTTATATGATCAGTTAGTCAAATTTAAATTTCGGCAAGTTCATTACTTCTGTTAGTTAGTCAACTTCAAAATTTGACCGTTATCGATTTCTGTTAGTTAGTCAAATTTAAATTTTGTCGCATTGTTTATTTCTACAAATATCTTTTGAAATTATATACCTTATTATCGCTCTGCTCACCCCTCTTTAAATAGATTAGGGGTGCAATACCTTTTCCTTACACATAAAAAAAAAAACATAAAAGATAAAAGAAAATCTCAAAAAGAGAGATCAAAATAAGAGAGTGATATTGGGAAGAAAAAAGTTGAATTTCATTTTGGCCAATTCAAAACTAAGGGAAATAATGTTCCATGAAAAAAAAAATTTATCAGTGTCCTCCTCTTCATGATCCACTGGTGAGTCCAGTTGATGTGTAATCCAAGGAGGTCAGGACCACCACCGGTGATGTGTTTGTCGTAGGAGGCAGCCGTGAAGATGAAAGAGCTACGAGGAAGACTGATGGAGAAGCGGAAAGGTTTAGATTTGGTGATACAATTTAAGGAGTATTCAAACTTATTACTTGTTATTGATTCTAACCCTTGCCAACTGATAACAAGTAATAAGTTTGAGTATTCCTCAAAATTGTATCACCAAAGCTAAACCTTCCCGCTTCTCCATAAGTCTTCCTCGAGCTATTTCATCTTCACGGCCGCCTACGACGAACACATCATTGGTGGTTGTCTTGACCTCCTTGGATTCCATGTCAACTGAACTCACCAATGGATCACGAAGAGGAGAATGCTGACTTTCCATGAAATTTTTTTATGGAACATTATTGTCCTTAGTTTTGAATTGGCTAAAATGAGGTTGTCTTTTTTCTTCCCATGACCACTCTCTTATTTTTATATCTCTCTTTTTGAGGTTTTTATCTTTTTTTTAATATGTACCGAAAATGAATTGTATCCCTAATCTAATTAAAGAAGGCTGAGCAGAGCGGTAACAAGGTATTGATAAAGCCATCAAAAACTGGATTAGCTCCTTAAGCTTTTCAGCACCACATCGCTTGGAGGGACTTATGCAACGTTGGTTTGGAGCTCGTTCAATTTGATTTTCTTCTTCATCATTTTGAACTAGTTTGATTGTATCCAAAATGTTTAATTGAGTTAAATTTTTTAACATATATTAAATATCATATTATGTAACTTAATATTTTCGAACGAAGAAAAAATATATGGGTTATTGGTTTCTAAAGATAATTAATTATCTAGTTTATAATTGTAATTTTGGATACATAGTATTTAGTGGGTATTTAGGGTACCCAGTTTTCAGTTCGGTTCTCATTCTTTCGGGTATAGAAATTTAGAACCGGATATCTGTCTCAGTTTTTGGGTTCCGTTCATTTTAGATCCTTCAATTCTGGATATTTTGCCTAAGTCTAAAGTATAACATAATAGTACGGGTGCAATTGGGTAACCCGACCCAATCCGACCCTAATCCATACAGGTTTAAAGGTTATAGGGTCGGGTTATGACTCAACCCATTTATTTTATGTGCTGTAATTTATAAACCAAACCAAATTATATTAATAGTCATAGGTTATATAGGTATTCATATATATAAAAAATGAGTAATAAATATATTTATCTTACAACAAATGAGTAATAATTTTTCTGAAACATATTATATATTATTAAAAATTCAAGAAAAACTTCCAAATAACAAATTCATAGTAATATTTGTGTAGTAATACAAAATAAAATACTCATAATTAGATAAAACATAAAATAAAACCATAAATTTATGAATATTTAACATATTCATTTTTTTTTTTTTGTGATAAACTCATGGGTAACTCATAACCCTAACAGGTTTACCCATTAAACTCATATATAGTCTATTAGGGTCAACCCACTAAAACCTATTTATTTATATGTGTAAACAAAATCAACCCAAACCCACTAAATTTTTTGACCCATGGATAATGACCCATTTTAACACCCTACATAATAGTACGACAGAAAAAATAATGTCTCTAAGGCTCTAACTAGTGACATGTAAAGGAACAAAAGGAATGAGAAGGAATGGAATGAGGGGGAATAAAATATATGGAACTCATTCCTTCTCATATTTTATAAGGAATATTTTAATACTAAAATTTCCTAATTAATATGGAATGGTAAGAAATAATATGAAATACACATTCATTGTGAATGGTATCATTTTTAGGGAATGAAGGGAAATTGTTTTATTCTCCTCATTCCTTGGTTACCAGTTACAGCTTAATAAAATAGTATTTTATTCCATGTTGAAAATGAATTGGTTACTAACTATATTTTTCATGGAACAGTATTCTTAGTTTTAGATCCCTCTAGAAATTTGACCCGCGATGCGAGGGATTAAAAGTATAGCAAGTTTTAAATTTCTTGTTTTTATTTAACTATAATTATTTTAATTTAATTATAAAAATCCTATTATCTATACGAATGATCTACAATATATGTTCAATTCAGAATTTTTTTTAAATATTGATTTTAACTATCGGCTCTTAACCATACTATTACATGATCATAAATTTTATAAGTATACTTTGAGAATTATTTTCCTATATACGAACTATTTTTACTCTATTCTGACCCGCTGCAATTCTATTATATATTTACACAAATTGTTCTCGCATATTTCGATATATAAGTAGCCACAAAACGGTAATAGCTTTCTGAGACAAATAGCTACAAATAATTTTTGTGTCTATTCTTTACTATGGTAATGTTGTGGATAAATCATGACTAACTAGCCACAACAAATATTTGTGGCTATCTGTATTATGTAAGACACAAATTGTCACAGACTTGTTTTCGTGTCTATATAGCCACAAATTGTTACATTACCACAAAAAAAAATTGATTGGTCTCTTTTATAGCTATTTTGATAACAATAAACCAAAGCAGGGAGTAACAATAAATCAAATCAGTTGAAAAAGGTGGCAGAAAAACCAATGAAGTTGCTGACTATGATTATTTAAAATGTTCTGATTGGTTCCCTGTTTTTTCTGAGGTATTAGTCTTAGGAATTCTAAAAAATCCTATGTGTCAACACCTTGAGAGACACATGAGATTTTGCTGTGTTGATTTTGATATAGCCACAACATAATTTGTAGCTGATTTGTAGCTATTATCAGTTTTTCTTGTAGTGTGAATGTATACATATATAAACATTAACAAGTCTAAGTCAATGCAAAGTTAACACGTTATTTGTTTACCGGAAAATATCAGCAAAAAAAGTATATATATATATATGGAGACTTCATATAACCGTATTAACGTAGCGATTTTAATCGTTAATTATCATCAACTCAGCGTCAAGGTGTGTTGTGTAAAATGATCTCTTGGGAAATAATGATGACACTTTTTACTTGGCCGTGTTTAGGTGTTTAGGTGTTTTGTTTTTTTCTTTTGGCCGTGTGTGCCAACAGGTTCGAATGTGGGACTCTTTTGACTCTGATTATTGATGGCAGCATATGAGGAGATAGAGTGGTACTGATGATGGAGATGATTTCTACGGTGGGGATTTTGGAGGTGGGAGTGGAGGGGGAGGTGATGGAGGTCAGGAGGTGCGATGGTGGTGGTGGTGGTGGTGGAGACTGATTTAGGAGATAAGAGCTATGCAATCTCTTAATGATTATTTTTAGTTTGGTTTAGCTAGACTTTTCTTATATCTAGGTTTGTCTTTCACGTCATGTTTATTTGCTTCTTACAAGTTCTTCTACCCGGGTGTTTTAGAACTTGGTTTCTTTATTTCGTTAGAATTATATTGTGGGTTTGCAAGGTTTTTTGTGGCATTTGTCGTAAAATTGATGCTTTGTTTTGGTTGTACCTTATAACTAAAATGAGTGAGAGTATCTTATTGATGAACTGGCTACCAAAATTGGTGGGTCCCTTCTTTTATGTTATCTAAATACAAATTCAACATCCATATACATCAATATATATATATATATATATATTTTTTTTTTCTTTGTTTTCTTAATATTAAGCTTAACAACATATGCTTGCAATTGCATGCATTGCCAATTGCCTGACTCGCTTATTTAGTCGATGGACACGGACGACGAGTCAACACAGTCTTGGCTCGGTGGCTGCACACTTTTGTAAGGGCACCTCTTTGCCACAATCACAAAGACACATATATTGGCAGCAATTAGACCGGCAAGAAGCCAGTAGAACCGGTCCAACCGGCTACTGTTCAGGTCCTTCCCAAACCAACTCTTGACCGAGAAGTCCTCAGCTAGGGTATCAACGGCTGTGATCAGTAGATTGTTAAGGAAGCTAGCCGCACCAATCACGCTTAAGTAAAACGCTATACCTAAGCTTCTCATGGAATCAGGGACTTGGTCGTAAAAGTACTCTTGGAGTCCAACGAGTGTGAACGCGTCCGCAATGCCGATGACTATGAACTGTGGAGCTAGCCACATCACACTCATAGGTCTATTGTTATCGCCACGGTCCAATCGTTTTCTCTCAACTAGAGCTGCAATGATCATGGTGATGAGGGAGAAAAGCATACCGGTCCCGATTCTCTGGAGAATGTTGATGCCTCTTTGATTCTTTGTGACGCGTCTTAGCAAAGGAACGAGGAGCTTATCATAAACCGTGAGTGAGATGATCAACGCGATACCGGTGAGAGAGAACATGGAAGCTGGAGGGACAGTGAAGCTGGCGATGTGCCTGTCCATGATGATTGCTTGTTTGATGAAGAAGGTCGTAGTTTGTGTTGCACAGATGCCAAAGGCCAACGTGCAGAGCCATATTGGAATCACGTTGATGATCAGCTTCGTTTCCTCTACTTTTGTCAACGTTACGAGTCTCCATGGACTCTGCTTCTCGATCGCCAGAGGATTCTTGTCTTCAATAATTGCTGCCTTGTCAAGAAATCTACAACAACAAACAAAAAAAAAAAAAAATCATTTCTTGATGCTCAAGAAACCAAGTTAACATTATTGAGTTTTGTTTCTACTCACTTAAGATGCTTTGTGTGAGCGAGAAGCCGTCCATTAGTAAACTCTTTCTTGGAAACCTCATGAAGCAGAGAAGGATCAGAGGGATAAGGTAGGTTTCTTTTGGCAATGGCAGCAACAAAGACCTGAAACATTGGAGTCAAAGGGCTACCGGAAGGTTTCCAGTAACGATAGAATGGTTTTCCGATGAGGAAGATGACAAGTGAAATAGCCATGAGTGTAGTGAGTATGATTCCGGCAACACCCCAACCAACACGGTCTTCGATATAGACAATGGCAGTCACAGAAGTTATAATCCCAGCGCATAGAACCACGTTCCACCAGTTAAAATAAGACATCTTCATCTTTCTTTCTTCAACATGATCACCGTCGAACTGGTCAGCACCAAAGCTTTCAAGGGAAGGTTTATGACCTCCAGTGCCTATGGAGATCAAGTAAATGGCAATGAAGAAAGCTATCACGTGTGATTTCTTAGGCTCAACACACACTTGTTCTTGACATGGTTTCAAGCCCGGTATAAACCAGGACATTGTTAAAAGGACCAAACCCTGTTTTGACAAAAGAACACAAGAGAGATCCATTAATATTAAGAGACAGTTTCATTAACGTTGTTTATGGAATAATTTAAGAACATATATATTACCATGAGGTAAATGGTGGTTGCAACCAAGACAGTGGTGTAACGGCCAAGATAAGCGTCTGCTACAAAGCCTCCAAGAAGAGGCATCAAAGTGGTGACACCTGACCAATAGTTCACATTTCTTACGGCCATCTTGAGATCTTGGTGGAGAATTGTTGTTAGGTAGACCACCAAGTTCGTAGCTAAACCGAAGTAACTCAATCTCTCGCTGAACTCAATTGCTGTGCGCAAAGAAGATAGAAAAAATACTTTCTTACAAAGAATATATTTTGGGCAATGATAGTACTTTCACACAATGAAAGTTTTGTTACCGATGATGAAGGATGCAGCTCTCCAAGCGCCAGTTCGAGCACGAAGAGGAACACGTCCTCTGCTATCGATAGAAGAATCAAGAACCCATTTCTGTTGATCATCGTACGAATCTTTAACTTCTGTAATCTCCTTATGCTCCATCTGTGGACAGAACACTATACACAGGAGAGATTATTCTTGAGGAGTGTGTGTGTGTGTGTGTGTGTGTGTGTGTGTGAAGTGATTTGTTAAACTTGGGTTCTTTTTATATAAGTAAGCTCGCTGTGTTGACTCGTCATCCATTTTTCTACAGTGTTATTTAGCTTATGTCCCCACATTGCCTTATTTTCAACCTCAAATAGTTTTTCTTCATTTTATCTTTTGTCTCACACTCACGTTGAGGATGATGATGAGTCAACAAAATGTCCATATTCACATAGATGAAAATATCTAAAAGGTCATATAAATTTGAACTTGCAAGAACTCGTAAGTGTACAAGATCGAGAACAATTAGAGAGATGTAAAGACAGAATTTGGGTGTGAAAGAACCTAGGATATCATTTCTTATTGATAGATTCTTAAGTATCAAAACTCTTGATATTCTTCCTTTTGTCACAATCATTCTCTAAGCCAATACTACCATTTTCTTTAACCCCTAGTCTCTAACCGCACTACGATCTAAGATGCTTTAGTTCAATACAAAAAACAAGTAAAGACGAATAATTTTTTTCTTTTTTTGTAAACGAATACTTAGTCCAATAAGTTCAATGATTCCTTTATTCACTTCACTCTCTAGTTTTCCTCTTTGTATGAAAATAGATCTCATCAACTCTTATCTTAATTCACTTTAGTACCTAGTTCACACACCTTATATGTTCGTGTAGACCTAAAATCCAAAGAATGACAAATCATTCAGCCGCAACACATCACCATGTCAAGCTAAGAAAATTCAACTTATATATAGCTTCTAAACCCTTAGCTTAACCATATACAGTTTACAACTTTACATGATCATTTTACTACTATACTACTGTTAGTACAATCACTCGTGAAAAGGAAAAATAAGAATCACAGCTAAGCATCAATCATATCATCAAACAAAATAATAAAAGAATAGCTAAATGCTTGTATCATACCAATGATTTGTATGGCTTTTTATAGAATTTTCTAGAAAATAAGATAATTCCTAGGTCTTGATACCAATGAATGATAAGATTGTGATCAGCCATGGGAAAGTTGTCAAGGTTTAGTCGATTTGAAACTGCTAACCAGTGGCAGTGACAAAAACATATCTTCCAAATCTTATTTATTTGATACGCTCCAATGGCATTCTAAGCCATCACCCTTTTTTATTATTAAAGAGTCAGTCAACTCCTATCTTATATTAAAATGGGATTTGGTGGTTATGCCCGAGGAAAGTGGATTTACCTTTTCCCCTAGTGCTGTAACCACTATAGACTATTAGACTCAATCATCTACAAGCAATACCAACAATAAAAAAACATAGTGAAAAGATAGTGAGAATCTTCTTGCAAGACTAAGCGCAGTTTAGCAAGTATGACTATGTAAGTGGTTGGCATCTTAAAGTAAATCAATTATAAATGTTGCCACATCAAAACATCAATTCTCCAATGAATGATCTTTTTTCATGTCTTTTCTTCAGCACTTTAGCAAAAGCACCTGGTTTTCCTAAGGAAGTTTAGTGAGGTTACTGTTTTAAGAAAAAAAAAGAACAAAAAAAAAAACAGCTAGATTGGGCTTAGATTCCCCTATTAAAGCAATTTTTCATATTATAATTAAGCTCATCATAATACTAGGGACAAACTTCAACAAGATTGTGTATAAATCAAGACCGCTCTCTCTAGAAACTAGAATCGATCCCGCTTTTAGTCTAGGAAAGAACTCACAAAAGTATATAATTCAATTCACACCGCATGATCCTAAAATTTTATCTTTTTGTTTTTCTTGAAAATGACATTTTGAGAAGTAAATAAAGAGCTCAAAATCTACAGAAGCTAGAATGACTACTTTCACAAGATTCCCATGGCAACAAGATAGACAACTCACTTTTCAGTCGATTTGATAGTTAATGGATACTAATTACTAACCTCCACTAAGCATTTCTTCTACTTCACGTGTTTTGCTCCTCGTAAAAAGTTAGCAATACAGTCTCTCATTGTTATGCACTGCTAAAACAGAAGAATTGTGGGTCATATGAGACACATGCCACTGTAAACTAAATGAAGCACCATGCAAATGGTAGATGAGTCAGAAGATGTAAAGATGACCAAATTGAACATCAGTAAAATGTCTAACCAATCAGAGCAGACTCCATGGTTGGTCTTACAAGCTGAACCACCCCCACTGGATCTCTGATTTTGAACCAGAGTACCTAAAGTTTAGTATGAATACTTTATCTGACACGGAGTCCAATTGTCTAACCATTGACCTGGAGATAAACGTACGTACCACATAAAGCAGTGGCAAGAAAGGCATTATCAAGACAAACTTTATGATAACCAATAGACTTACAACATTTATTAAGTCATGGTCCATGCTAAGCAAGAATACATAAAAAAAGCCTCGGTCATTATTATGCGTAATAATGCTTTAAGAAATTGGTCACTAGCTTGCTTTTATTATTTTTCATGATGAATGTATACATTCCATCCTGCATAACAATTCTATACGTGAAGAATAAAAATAAAATATTGTTTATACTTCAATCAACAGCTTTGAAACATATATAACTGATAAACCCTTCTTGGTTACTATCAAATTGGTACCAGTCAAATATCGAATATCTAGTCTCCTGAATTCAATTATAGAGAGAAGAACCCTTAAGCCAAAGGAACCATCTCTGAACGTCTTAGTTCACTTGATTTTCAAATATCACCATTCACCACTGAAGTATAATATGTGTGCGAAAGCAAAGAGATACTAATACAAGAAGGCTAAGGATTGCAATATGGAAAGAAGTAGTGCAAAGATAATGATATTCAATCAGCTTGTATGAGAATTGTTAGTCTCCTATCAGAAAACCTTAGTCAAATTGATGATACTTCAATAACATTTCAACAGATAATAATTACTTGTTCGAGAAAAGTGATTTCGTCCCATTTCCTGTCAAACATCCTCCAACTTTACTGGGGAATGGACATATGATCACTGAGCCTATAACTGCAAATACAACACGACTTCCATTAGCTCACATGAAAAGAAAAAAAAAAACACATCAATTCTTACCAGACTTGAAAAAGCTTAGACAAGCACATATTCAATTTTGTCCACGTACCATATCAGAAAAGTAACGATGTGGTACGACTTCAGCACTGTATGTAAACTCTGTTTAAAATTTTTGTTTTTGATATAGTTTTAACGTTTGCGATTTTGTCTATAAAAGCATGTAAAATGGACTGAAATTTGGTGGGTTGAGCCAAGCCCGTGCAATAGTGCAACACATGGGCGACTCGTGAAAGCCCAGATAGCAAGCTATCTTGATGGGCTTTCTCCCTTAAAAAATAGAGTTAATATCGAGTGGACCGATGGCCCGCATATCAGATATTAAACTGATAAGAACAGATACTACACTTGATCTTAGCCAAAAGGCCGAGAAAGGTATGATTTGCCCAATAACCTCAGAATCTTTTTTATAGCCAAACGTTATGACATATGCATCACTAACTTTCCGATGTGGGACAAAACGAAAACACTTTGCTCACTCTTATTCTCTAAGCAAATAAAGGGAAACCTGCCACTGCCTAACTAAACTCGAGATGCAGATGAGGCATACAATGCTATATACTTGTGCACTTTAAGAGAACTAAACTCGACACAGAACAGATGCAAGAAGACAGCACAACCAAAACTACATTGCTAAAACCTGACACTGCCTAACTCATTGTTACATGTGATGTCAAGATGATGGACTACAAAGATTAACGAGAAAAATAATCCTAGGCTGTAATGTGTTATACATCAGTTACCAAGTGGTTCAAGCCAATCAGAGCAGATAAAAGAATTCGAGATCACATCAAAGAGACTGATACTTTGAATATCTCAAGCTTAACGATGTCTTCTTAACCAGCAGAATTAACAACAGATTTTAGCAGATTCAATAAAGGCTTAATTATAAAACCATCCTACGTGAATGGAAGACTCATAACTGTAGACATTTGGCAACGCTTATAGTTTCGATCAGTGACATCCATCTCTCACAACTGATAATTGAACAGATATGTTCCCCCTAATTCAACTCCAATACAAAAATAAACGATCATATTGAATAATGACTTCACATTCTACAGAACAGAGCAACACAACAGTGCCACAAATTCTTATTCAACATTGTGTCATATACACACAAACTGAAAGACACAAGACTAAGTATAATACTAAAACTCTAAACCTGAAGGCTTTGCAGCTCAAGATGTGATTAGCATTACGCACGATTAAGCTGTTACAGATTACAATACACGTTTATGTTCAGAGACATTGTTGATTATGAACACAAGAGAAGAAGAAATGCTTGGAACAGACTCTTATCTAAGATCCAATTTCGTATCTCCCATCATTCTGCAAAGTCATTTCGTAAACCTGAGATCTTCCATTTCTCAATTTGCCACCATTAACACGATTCTCCATCCTCTTACCTTCTTCCTTTCTCTCTGCACCGTTGATCTCGACTTTCTTCCTCAGCCTACGACCACGATGACTTCCAGTTCTTCTGCTATCACTGCTGCTTTCTTCCAGTTTCATCCCAATTTCTTCGTGTTTCAGCGAATTCTCTTCGCCGTCAGACTCACCGGAGCTTGGTAATCTACGATACGGTTTCACACTGTGAACAACACCTTTGGGGAAAAACCTAGCGGAGGGCAAATCATCGACGGTCTCGAACAATTGCGGCCCATCCCGATCGGTCCAGAGATCGAACCCGCCGGGTTTCTGAAACCGGTCCGCGAGGACCTTAACCTGCTCGTCGGCACAAACCGAGAATAGATTCGGCGGTTTCTGAACCGGCTCCCATGGTCGCTCGAGCTCCGCCACCGCCGCCTTGAGCTCCGCGCGTTTCCGCATCTCGTAAATCTGGCGTTCCCGGGATAATCGCGCTTTGAGGAGCTGCTTCTGCTTCTTCGCTTGCATCCTCTTCCACTGCCACTTCGATACGCCGCCGGGAAACGTCCTCGGACCTCCGCCCATACGGATAACCGTCGATTTCCGCGGCTGCGGAGACGGTTTGAGAGTGAGTGAAGAGAGCTTTGAGTGCAAGGAATTGAGGTCTGGAGATGATAACGACGACGAAAACGACATCGGTTTGCAGCCGGAGAGCTGAAATCCGATCATCGCAGCCATTAATTGGTATCCAAACAAGAGGGAAGTCGATAAACTATTTTATCTCTTTTCCACGAATTGTTTTTTATTTTTATTTTTCTCCAAAGCAAACTTCATTCTTATCTTTATATTATTAATTGAGAAGTACATTCTAATGTTTGGATACAAGAATAAGATAAACATCTATGTGGATAGAAGAATAAATGGAAAAAAAATTGTTTGGATATAAGAATAAGAGAAAAATCTATTTGGATAGAAGAATAAATGGAAAAAACTGTTTGGATATAAAAATAATAACTTAAAACAAACCGATGGTTTAGAAAACTTCCGTTTTCCAACTCTTAAAAAATCTGCAAAAAATAAAAATTAACATAACTATCGATAATACCAAATCAATAGAATATGATCAAATGATATTTGCAAAATTTCCAATAGTGAAATTGAAATACGTCTAATTTAAATCAAATTGTTTTTGGGATTTTTTTAAAATTTCTGTTCGGTTTGGGTTCGGGTTTTTTTGGGTTTAGTTCACGGTTTTCCGGATTTTTTGGATTTTGGGTTTTCGGGTTTGGACATATTAAAAAAACTTTGGTATTTTAAAATTTTTATTAGGGTTTTTAAGTCGGATTCGGGTTTCGGGTGGAAAATTTTCGAGTTTTTTTTTTATTTGGTTCAGGGTTTTCAGGATTTTTTTGATTTTGGATTTTCGGGTTTAGACATATTAAAAGGGTTTGGGTTTTTTTAAAATTTTGATTAGGGTTTTTGGGTCGGGTTCGAGTTTAAATTTAGATTTTCTTCACAAAACCGCAACGTCATACCGCGCGTTTGCGCGGTCCTCTACTAGTCTATACTATTAAAGGAGAGGCACAAAATAAGGATTCAACCTTACAAAAGAGTCTATCTCTGTAGCCAAACATCCCTAAACCCGGAATTAACACTAAAATCAACTTAAATCGAACCAACTAGAGAAACCGGCTATTGTTGTCAAAAAAAATTAACCAGGACGCCAATTAAAATTAATTTCTAATCCGACTCAAATCAGGTCCAGCGAGATTTCCTTGCAATATCTTACGAAATCTTCCCAAAAGAACGGCATCATAACTTCTCCAGCCCTGATCCACGAGATATCTTCTCGGATATTCCATAAACTGCACCTGCAAAAAAAATCCGGAATCTAATTCAAAATCAAAGATTTCTAATGCAATAACTACTAAATGCATACTCTTCCAAGCAAAATATATGGACTTTCCACAAATCTCGCTAATTAACTAATACTAATATCGAAACAAATCAACTTTCTATAAAAAAATTCTGTGTTAAAATTAATAAATTTATCCCCTACGCAAAAACAGTGAGCTATTTCCAAATATCAACCGGTAGAAACAACCCGGATTCTTCTCCACGAAAAGCAAATCTTTAACCTAATTGTTTCGGTATAAATAGACCTTCCTGCCTACCAAAGAAACAAAAAAATAGCAAAGCTTTACTGTATTCTGTATCAATATGTTAGTGGCTCATTTTGATTTAACATACTTAATGTCTTTTCAGATTGGCGAATCCAAGCAAGCTTCTTCATGTTTGGAAGCAATACATGACGGCTGTTGGATAGACATTAGAGATGATTCTAGCATATCAAAAAGTAAGATTAAATTATAAGAAAATATATGAATACTTCCAAACTACATTACTTACAATATGTTTTTTTTATTTTTTGTTTCTGTTCGTCTGTGACTAGAATCAGGAGATAAAAAGAGAGTAGCTGAAGAAATATGAGGCATGGCTGGATAATTTGAGTTGAAATGATTAACATGATGCAAGGTTTGTAAATATTAAACCGTTGTTGACCCATGCATACCTAAATATACTAATATTTATAAAAAAAATCTTCGTTAATTTAAATAACAAGCCATTACCTTGAAGTCTTATATGTGAAGCCCTTCAAATCAAGTTGGGCCATCCATGTGAAGATCTTCCATACAACAGAGATGGTATTTTATGTAAAACATTGGAACTGCGTGTTTGAAAAAATACACGTGGTTCATCTATATCATAGCAGAAGAAGAAAGGTAAATAAACGTCGTAATGTGATACATGCTTACAATTCTAATAAACGAATCAGTTATGTTTTGTAGGGTGTGAAAATATATTTTTGAAAACATGCTTTACCCGTCTTGAAAGGAAACTTCATGTTTGAGTGGGCATCAAGACAGTTCAAACAATCTTCATCGTGTTTACAAGATAACTTTGTGACTATTTCAAAGCTGTGCACAAACCTGCGACCAAACTTGGAGAAGACCAAACTCAAAAGATATTAGAAACATAAAACTCAAAACTCATAACATGGCAAAAAAAAAAAAAAAAAAAAACAAAGCTCACAACAAAAAGATTGCCAAAAGAAAATGTGAGAAAATCACAATTATAACATATCAAGATCACTGAAATTAAGCAGATAAAAAAATAAAATCAAACTCCCCTGTTTCACATCAAATACAAAAAGAAACAGATATCAATATTAAATGTATACGGTGTCCTCAACTCTAAAAAGACAAAGACAGAGACTCCTAAGACAGTTTACATTTACCTTTTTTAAACAATGAAACATATCTGATGCAAATACAAGAAATATAATTTAAGGCATTCTAACAAACGATCTCTTCCATTGGAGTGTATATCACTAATGAATGAGATTAAACCCAACTTTTGACAAAATGTCTTACCAAATGAAGAGATCGTTGTCAAACATACCAATTTATTGCAAAAGCATTGAAATCAAGCTGCAAAAGCCATAAACATATAACTGATAGTTTTTACTGAAGAGAATTTATAGATCCAAGAACTAAACAAAAATAACAACGATCACATGATCTTAACATGAACAGATATATCCCTTTAATATCAAATACATCAGCCTGATCGGCAATATACAGACTAACATCATGATTACAGATGTTATCTATCAAACCGAAAACAAATGATCACACGAGTAACTAACCAAACAATATGTTCATATGAGAAGAATGATCTAATTCTTATCTAAAGCTAATAAGTCAAGATCTTGAGCACGCACAAGTTATGTTCTGTTTAGTTCAAATAAGCTAAAAGAGTTACAAGTAGACTGCTATATTAAAATGTAGCAGAACCTGTTTAGTTCGATACTAGATGAGAACATAACTTGACAAGTCCAGCAATTCTTATTCTTAAACTGTACCAACAACGTAAGATCACGAGAATACACTCCGATGTAAAAACAACGTAACAGAAGCGCTTCAAATCTTAATCTTAAACTGTACAAAAACATAAATTTGAGCATTCCAGAAGAAATCCGCAAAGGAGAATGAAAACAAAAAAATTACTAACAAATAGCGAGTTTGAACAATTCAAAAACCCAGAAACCCAAGATCACAAAATTCACAAATCATGAATCCCTAACAAACGCAATCTGAGACGATTGCACAGATTTTTTACTTTGATAGCATCTCTAATAAATTATAATCGATAACTGTTGATAAACGTTCTCTTTAATCGATTAATTTTAGTAGATTTCGATTGTTTTTACCTGTTTGTTTCCATGGATTAGTTTCAGACAATTGGAGGTAAGAAAATCAGCAGGTAGGGTTTAGAAGAGGCAACAAAAATCAAGCACAATCGAAGTCTGTTGAGCTGCGTAGTTTTTTTTTTGTGTTGCAGAGTAACGATTATGTAGAACTTCTGAAATTATGAAGAACAATTTTTATGTATATGATCGAAAATGAGAAAATGAGAATCGAAGAAGAAGAGAATTATAAACCCTTACCTATGTAGCTGAGGACTAAACAACCCAACTTTAGATTCCTTGAAATTTCCCGATTTCAAAGATCTGTTTCCAAAAATTGCAAAAATCCTACAAATTCGAGGGATCGTATATAGCAGAGAAGGGTCGAATTGGCTAGGCGGAGGAGATGGCTGGATCGAAGGAAGAAAAAGAAGATAAAGAATCAAAGGCTCAAAGCAGAAGAGAAGAAGAAGAAGCATCGGTGAAGAGAAGAAGAAGAGAAACAAGAGCAGCTGTCGGTGAAGAGAAGAAGAAAAGAAGCAGCTGAAGCCCGACGGGTCAAACCAGCCTATGTAATTGATTTCGGTTTTTAATTCAAACCAGCCTCAGTTCGGTTCGGGTGGCTTTTGTTATTAAATTTAATTACACAAATAAAATATCTTTTAATAATTGCATTACACAACATCGACAAAAAAATTACATTAGCAATAAAAATACAAAACAAATCAACACACTTTATCAACACATTATTTAGGTTTAGATTTTGTTTTTAACATAATTTGGAGAAAAAATGAACAATCTTACCATATACTTATGTATATGTGCATTTAAGCTTTAAATACTTTTCATAGCTGTTTTCAAATTCCGCGAAGAACAAACAAACTTTTGTATAAATATCTTTCTTGAATTTTGGTAATGATATATGTTGAAAAAAAATATATTCAAATAAATGGGGGCTAAAAATATGTTGTTCCAACAACATTTTAATCAAACGTTAAAACGATATTCAATCTTAAAAACTTAATGTTTACAAATTTAATTAACTCAAATATTAGTAATATCACGGGTCAGAACAACCATTCTTTTAGATCCGAGTTTTTTAAGAGAGACAGAACAAAAGAAGATCAATAATTTTGACTTTAACATGTCTTATGGACAAATTAACAAAAGAAGAGAAAAGAAGAAAATTGGATCTACAAATTTTAGGTTTTGATACTATATCAAACTGAAAAGATATTAATTTATGTTTCATCAATAGATTTTTAAGTATTATCATGTTTTGGAAACATTATAATGTCTCAGGTAATTATTCAGAGTAATTATCATATGAAAGAAATTATAAATAACAGTGTATAAGAGTAAGAACTCACTAAAACAAAGTAAAATTTCAATTTTGAATTAATATTCTAACTCTAAAGAATTAACAAACAGTTCCTTTGTAGTTTGTATGAATAAGTAAGAAAAAGGGGTTCTTTGATAAATACTCTACTTATGTTTAGATATTTGAAAAATATTTAATAAAAAATAATTGCTAATATTAAATAGTTGAGAGTTAAAATATGATAAAAAAAAACATATGTTGTCACAACATATGTACTATTAAAGGAGAGGGGCAAAAAAGGATTCGAACTCTTCACGACACATAGTTTCAATATCAATTCGACAATCGACGATGATGTGAGTAAATATTGAAAGAAGAGTTAAAGAATCACGATTGTATCTCAGATATAATCAGACATAAGAACTAGGGTTCCATTTACAGTTCTAATGTCAAGTATGTTATCAGATTATGTATATATTTTTTAAAACAAATCTAAAGTCTGTTCGAATTTGTTCAACTTAATCATAAATTGGAAAACACCCTATGAAACTGATACAAACAAACATCCTACATATTCAAATAGTTTGTAGATAGAAAAATCCTAAAATAAAACATATCCTAAAAGCGAAAATGATTTGATAAAGGGTTCCAAACTTATCTTAATATGATTTGGATCTATTTCGTACGTTGAAAGTCGATTACTGATGTCAATGGATAGGCTTCGATCATCACTCACCCGACAACACATCACATAAACAAACAATTCGATTAGGAATTTGTTTTTACAGAAAAACAAGTATACTAAGATTATTCCTAAAACATCTATCCAATTCTCTTAATCAATTATAACAAGTTAATCAATCAGGACTGTTCTATATGTATGATTTATGAAACTAAATCAAAGAGTAATTTACGGAATTAGGCTAAGAATTACACACCTCCATGAGCTCCCAAAAAGGCAATTCGTATTCCCATTACTAAAAATCAAACTCTCAGATTTACGTTCACGACACATAGTTTCTATATCAATTTGACAATCGACAATGATGTGAGCGAATATTGAAAGAAGCGTTAAAGAATCACGATCGACTAAAACATAATCAAACATAAGAGCTAGGGTTCCGTTTACAGTTGTTTCCCCCCAATTTGTTTTTTTTTGTTCAAAAATTGGAAATTAATAAAACGATGTCGGATTGCTGAAGTTGACAGTGTTTCTTTTCGCTTGGTAAAGACTCATTTCGATTATACAATCCGACCCATCTATAATTTTCAAATTTCCGAGCCCAAATAGAAATAATTATATATTCAGAATCAGAATTACTATGTTAATTACTTAGATCAACTCAACATAAATTATAACAACCGGTATTTCAAAAGCACGGGTCAGGATCTAGTTAAATATTAAAATTGTACTTTTGGTTGACTTGTTAATTATTGAGTCAACTCATGAATTATATTTCCCACGAAACTATATACTATTATTGAATTTGTATATATTCGTCAAAGTGTTGTTTTGTTTTTTTTTTTTTTTTTTTTAGTTAAAGGGTTTTCTCAAAGTGTTGTTTTGTTATTCGTGATAATAAACTTTGTATATTTTTCTCTTTTTTCATTCGAATGAACACACAAATCAAATCAAAAACCAAAAACCAACAGTTTCATTGGGTTCGGTTAAACACGAAAAAGCTGAAGATCACGTACGGTTCTTCTCCACAATGCTAGCTCTCATCCTTTTCTTATTAGACTTGTGTATGATTTGTTTATAACCTTTTTTCTAGGATAAGATTTTCCATGATATTGGAAAGAAAAAAAGAAAATCATACACAAGCCTAACAAGAGAAGGATTACAGATTTTTCAGTGTGTCTTAAATTGTTGGGAAAGGAAACTACGTTTCTCAAAAAATTCAAAAACAAAAGGAAACTACGTATATTATCCAAACTCATATTGAAATGCAATTAATTAATCTTTACTAAATAAAATCCTATAACTCCAAGGAATATATTAAGTAAACCCCTTATAAAAAGAGAGCTAGGGTAGTCTCTTTTTTCTCACTTACAACAAATTCATCAAAGCTCTTTGACTCTCAAGTTCTCCCTAAATATTTCTTCTTTGATATTATTGTGATCTTTCTTGATCGATAATGGCTACAACAAAGAATCTTCTGCTTTGTGCTTGTGCTGATGAGCTTCACGGCTCTAATGGGATCTGGTTGCTCGGCAAAATCTACAAAGTCGGAGACTCCGATGGATGGACCACGAAGGACGACACCTATTATGCTTGGGCTGAGCATAAGGAATTCCACGTGGGCGATTCTCTGATCTTCAAATACGACCGCAACGTCAGCGACGTCACTCAAGTCTCCGATGCTCAGGAATACGAATTCTGCAACTCTTCTTCTCCTAAGGCCGTCTACAACACAGGACACGATATCGTGACTCTCACGGAACCAGGCTCTCACTACTTCATAAGCTCAAATCATTCTCAATGCGTTACCGGACAGAGACTCCACGTTCTTGTCGTCCGTGGCTGGTCTCATCCATCACTACCGAGAAAGATCCTTCCTCTAGGAAAAACATCAAGGTCGGTGATTCCAACGAATGGAGTGTTCCTGAAGAGAGTGACTTCTATTACAAGTGGAGTGAGGAGAAACAGTTTCATGTGGGAGACAATCTTCTTTTCTACTACAACGACCAAGTCAACGACGTCTTAGAAGTCAGCAGTGATCTTGAGTTTATATCTTGCGACTCATCTTCTCCTGTTGCCATGCACAATACGGGACAAGATCTCATTAAGCTCACAAAACCAGGAATCCAATATTTCATAAGCTCAAAGACTGGTCAATGTGAGGCTGGGCTTAAGCTTCGAGTGGTGGTGCGGCCACTATTCAGAGCTCTTCCGAGGACTAGGAGGATGAGGTCGTCACCTTTGGACCGCTTCTTCAAGTGGTTACACAGATTCAGACCCCAACCCCATCACTAAGCATTCGTTTTTCTATTTGATTTGGTTTTGGATTAGCAAGTAGATTTTTCTTTTTCTTGTTTTAGGTTCTTTACTTTTTTTTTAATTTCTTTCATCGTTTGTGTGGTTTTTTTATCAAAGCATATTATTCAATAGAGTTTCATGTCTTTTTAAAACATAACTGAAGCACAAAACTAAAAGACATGCATATCACAAATATGTACGGAATATACCAAATAGCTTCACAAAAAGCAAAGGAAATCGAACAAATGACAGAACAAATTTTTTAAACCAAAACCAACAAAAAAAAAACAATACACCCTTTTGACCAAAAAAATAAACTTTTTACTATACCAAAGTTTGCATTGCTATATTTGAGCGTTAAATATTGAATTTGTATATTCGTCGAAGTTTACTATAACGAATAACAAAACATCATGACTCACCAAATGCAAGGCATCACAATTCACAAACACAGCTTTTTTTTTCCCATTCAAATGCACACACAAATCAAATAAAAAACCAAACGAATTTCATTCTCGTTGGGTTCCATTAAACACGAAAATGCTGAATATCACGTACGGTTCTTAACCGTCGACCCGACCACCCATATTCCGAAACGCCCGCCCACGGAAAACAGCAAACCCAAGAGCATGCCCGAAAATCGCGGCTATGAAAACGCCGCCGTTGAACGAAACCACGGCCAGGATCACAAGGTAACTAAAGCCAGACTTGACGGCATACATAGCCGTACGAAACGCAACTTTCGCAAGCTTATCTGCACCCGGTTTGACGGTGGAAGCTGCGTCAGAGCACCGAGCGAGCCACTCAGCTAAAAACGCCAAAAAGAAGACGAAAATAAGTGCGAGAGCATACATCCCACGGTTCGAACCAGGCCATCCCGAGAAAAGCACTTGGCAGTTGTAACTCCAGTAGAAAGTTGGGTGTATCAAAGAAGGTCTGTGTGGCGTTTGCGTTTGCGTTGTTGTTGTCGTAGTGTTCCATGCCTCTGAGACGATGTCGTTTTTACTAGACAACATGTCCTTTAGTTAGGGGAAAAGGAGAAGTGGGAGGTCGTTGTCGTAGTGGAGATATGTGACTCTCTAGTCTCTCTCTCCCTATAAAAGTGTTTTCTTCTTTGAGAGGGAGATTGGTCCTACAAATTATATGCTATGTTCATGTTATCAAGCAAAGTCAAGATTTGCTTGTCGGATTTTTCTTTCAAAAAGCTACACTATGCCCATCAATTAAAGTATTTAGCCGTATAACTTTTGTATTTTTTTCAGCTTAATTTCGTACATATAAACACATAATACATACATAGTGTATTGTAAGATAAGTAGCTAGCCAAGTACAGGTCAAGTATCTTTTGTTTTTCGTTTTGTCTACGTGAAAAATTGTTTTTGTTAAAGGTTTTTCTTTATGATAGTTTCACAATAAGAATAAAGTTCATCACAAGCCATTACGAAACAAAGTTTAAATTTGATTAAGAAACTGTGGAAATATATATATACACTTACTTGATCCACTAAAATGCTGATAACTCTTGTTATGTTCGTTTGTTACATACCATGAAAAAGTGATTCTATATATATTTTAAAATGGCGTCGGAACAAAACAAGTCATTATAGTCATTTTTTCTCAATTTTGTTCGGCTTCTTGTATTTTTTTCATTTTGTAAAAGGGGAATGTTAAACAATATGTCTCTGGCTTTTACTTTATTAAATAAAAATAAATGGGTGAAAAAAAGAATTTTAGAGTTATGTTTGTGTTTTACCTCTTTTTCTTAATTATGATACAGTATACACTGTGAGAGAGCTACAATTCAAACAGAACCCCACGAAACGAATCTTCAAACATAGAAGTATAGAACCACCATAAATTGTTCTTTGTTTTTTTTGGATATCTTGCAGATTTTAGACCATATATTTACAGAAATTTGTCGCTTCATCAAACTTTAGAAGATATCCACTAGGCTCTTCTAATAACAGCGGCTTATATCATATCGTACATAGTTGCAAAACTATGTTCTTAGATAGAATCGTTTGTTTTACATATGTTGGACCAATTAAACGTAAATTCTGCAAACGCATCCATTTTACAGACTTGGCCTGAAAAGAAAGAAAGAAAAAGACGCTTAAGATTATGACTCTAAACAGTAGGATGCACGGAGCAAAGTGGCATACCAACGTTGTGGTGATCAGAAGAAGGATCTGTATGATAGTTCACTCTCCAATCCATCATCTACACTTTGTTTTTTTTTTTCCGAATAGCCAACGAGATCAACATTCCACCACAACTTTACACTTTTGTGATGAGTGAGACCTATTCAAAAACTACACTTTGCTTTTCTATATGCATTTCAAAATGCCACTTGATTGATGTAAAGTGTATAGAATATTCGAACAATTGGTTGAATCTAGATCTATTGTCGAAAAAAAAAATCAATCAGTAGTTTTTTTGTTAAGGGTCTACAAAATAAAATAAAACATCAATAAGTTGAGGGAATTAAGTGTGTACTGTCTAGCTTTCTATTTTTTGTGCTTCAGCGGAAACAGTTGCGTCAATGACTAAAACACACAAGAAAATAGATATAGAAAAATAATCCACAAGACAACAACACTAATCTTAGTCGGACCACTTCCTCCTTTAGTCCTTTTGGCATAAGATGAAATCATCACCACATGCGGCACCACCAATGGACCACCCAATTCGATATTACATCCAAAAGATTTCCTCACGACAAAGTACCGGAAATATCAAACCAAAATATAAAAAGGAATGTGATACTACCAAATTTAGAAACCAAGAGAATGCTTGATTCATATCTTTAAATCCGACATTTGTAGTTGTTTAAAGGGTTTTGTGCAAAAAAACCAGGCAATTAAAATAAAATTGCAAATCTAACCCTCAACTATTTTCTGTGCAGGTCAAACCCACGAACTTCAAAGTCACCCGCTAAACGGCCCCCACGTGTATCGTCGACGTGGCCGTTTCTGGGCTTTAAAAAACAACAAAACGCCGCGTTTTGCTCACATAAACGGGACGCAGTTTAATTTTTCGACGCCGTTTTCAGACAAAAGGCAAAACACGTTAAGTGTAATTGTCGGGATTTTTTAGGTTTCAGAAACAGAAAAATCGATTTGGGAAAAAAGTTTCGATTAGGGTTCTTGGCGATTGGGGAATTTCTGGGTTCACTCAATTGAAGCTGCAATCGACTTTGTCTGGGTCGGCATCAGTGACAGAGTTTCGTTCTGAGCTCGAGATGAGGTAAATTCGTTTGTCTCACCTTGTTTACCTCTCTCTCTGTAATTGAATATCGAAATCTAATCTTCGAAACTCATTTGTGGGGTTTGGGGTTGTTTGAATTGACGATTTCTATAGGGTTTCAGTTTGTTATTTACTGATTAGTTGGGTCCATGTCTGAAGTCTATTAGTTGGGTCCATGTCTGAAGTCTAATCTTCGAAACTCATTTGTGGGGTTTGGGGTTGTTTGAATTGACGATTTCAATAGGGTTTCAATTTGTTATTTACTGATTAGTTGGGTCCATGTCTGAAGTCTACATTATGGTTTGCAAATCTATTAGTGTTGGTTTCGTTCTGTTTCTAAACATGTCAGGGACCATTTGTCATTTTAGGTAGATTAGTATTGGGTTTAATTTTTGTGGCCATATGCTATCGTGAATCTGGTGCATTTGTCAATTAAGGTAGATTGCCATGGAAAGCTTGCTTAAGTAAAAAATATAGAAAGGTTACTTATCTTAGATTATTGGTAGCTTCTCCTCTGCGCAGAAGTTGTGTGAATCTGTTTATGGCTCTGTTATGCACTTTAACCATTTGTGGCTTTAAAGAATTAGTCACACTGGAAACGCAGTTTCACATTGTAAGTTGTCTAAGTTTTCTTTTTTTACTATGCAGTTTCGAGTTGTTCATGTTTACTGGAGGCTACTGGTCACCAAATGATAGATATCTTGGCGGCGAGTCAAGTCGTGTGGGTACCTTCACTGTAGAAGAATTTAAGATGCGTAGGGTTCTGCTAATAATTACTGAACAGCTCGGGTATGAGGACAACATGAAGAAACTGTCATGGTTTCCACCAGAGACTCCGGGGACGAAAGTGGATATCGAGGATGATGAGACCATGGATAAAATTGCTCACTATGGTGTTGGGTTCGGGGCTGCGACACTGTATGTAGTCCGTGAAGATGATCCATACATAGGTCGGCGCACAGGGTGGAACACGTCACTGGAAGACGATGAAAATCTTTGGATGGAAAATCCAGATGTTGGTAATGTTGGTGAAGATGGTGATGGTAGCAGTGGTGGAGATTCAAGTGATGAAGCTGAAAACGTGACTGAAGATGAGAGCAGTGGTGATGGAAGAAGAACTAATGTGGATGACAAGAGTTACAAGAAATTTGAACTAGGTCAGGAGTATATGAGTATAGACAGCTTCAAGAACGCTCTTCACAAATATGCGGTAAAGAAGAGGAGGGATATTAAGTACAAGAAGTCAGACAGCACACGAGTCATAGCTATTTGCTCAAATGGGAAGTGTCCTTGGAGGATTTGTGCCTCCATAAACAGCAGCTCTCCAAGGGTAGTTGTCAGGACACTACAAGAAGAGCACAACTGCACTTGGCAAGGTAAAGTGACACTTCTCACTTACTCAAGAATAAGTGAGATCTACATTGAGGAATTCAGGCTGAATCCCTATTTCTCGGCTCAACAGCTCCAAGAGAAGCTCTTGGCAAGAAACATTAATGTCCCTTGGAGCAAATGCGAGAGGAGCAGATTGGATTGTTTGAAGAAATTTGATAGGGAGCAAGATGAGCAATTTTCCAGGCTGTTTGACTATGTCTATGAGTTGAAAAGAGCAAACCCTGGGTCAACAGTGGAACTGGTGGTCAAGGGAACTGAGTTTGAAAAGTTTTATGTCTGTTTTGGGGCATTGAAAAGTGGATGGAAAGCTGCGTGTAGGAAGATACTTCATCTGGATGGGACTTTCCTCAAGTGGCGAATGAATGGTATGCTTCTAGTAGCTTGTGGGAGAGATCCGAATGATCAAATGTTTCCCATTGCATGGGGAATAGTGGAGAAGGAAAATACGCCAAACTAGAGATGGTTTCTAGAGCATTTGGTTAGTGATTTGGGCATTGAAACCGGAAATAGTTTGACGTTGGCTAGTGATCAGCAAAAGGGATTGATTGCAGCAATTAAAGAGCTCTTACCATATGCTGAACACAGGATGTGTGCTCGCCATGTGTATGCGAACTGGAAGAAGAGACACAGTGGCGCAGATTTGGAGGATTTGTTCTGGAGTGCAGCCAATTCTTATTATCCAGAAGATTTTGAGAGAAAGATGAAAGCATTAAAAGAATATGATCTTGTTGCACATGCTGATTTGAGGATATCTCTTTGGTGTCCCTGGTCAAGGTAAGTCCATTTACATGTTTTATTTACTTGCATATTTGTCAATGTTAAAGAGCTCTGACCCACTGTTTTACATGTCTTATTGAAGGGCCTTTTTTACGGAGTATTCAAAGTGTGATGTTGTGGAGAATAACTTGGGAGAGTCCTTTAATGCAGCCATAAGGATTGCTCGAACAAAACCCATCGTCGAGATGCTTGAGGAGATAAGGCGAAGGGTTGTGGTTAGTAATGATAAGAAGAGGTTAGAAGCGGAGAAAGTTAAAGGTGTCTATACTCCTAGAGCAGTTGCGCTGCTTGATCAACAAATCGAACTTGTTAAGGATTGTAGGCCACTGTCTTTTGGGTTAGGCAAGTATGAAGTTATGCACGTGAATAAACACATGAATGATAGGTTTGTAGTGCATCTTGCAGACTGTTTCTTATTAGCGAGATTCCTTGCTGCCACATAGCATCAGCTCTTAGGCTAGAAAGAGGAGAAGAACAAGACCCTAAGACTAGGATTAGTCAATGGTTTACAGTGGATAAGCTTAGAGCGTGTTACTGTACACCGCTAGGACCAGTGAATGGAATGAATCTGTGAAAACTGACAACTGGACTAAGGGTCACTCGTCCACCATTTGGAAGTCCTGGTGGAAGACCTCCCGGAAAAAACAGAACAAGGGAAAAGGGTGAGAAAAAGAAGGAGCCAGAGAATGGAAAAATGCCAAAGTTAGGAATAACAATTGTAAGTTTTCTACACACCCTATATACATTGGTTCTTCTAGGCTTTATCATATATAATTTTGAATAGAAAATGTCTGATATTTGACTACTAATGTAAAACCTTGTCTCCACTTGTAGCACTGCGGTAATTGTGGAGAAGCAGGGCATAACAAGACCAAATGCAAGAACACGCCAAAGCCTAAACCTCCTAAGAAGCCACCTGGTAGACCACGAACAAGAGAGATTCCAGATGCTCCAGGTTGGACTGCAGGTCGCACAGAAGGTACACAGCTGCTTATTGATGATTGGAGGCCATGGAATGAAGACGGAGCTGGAACTTCATCCCAGGCAGACAAACCAACTGGTAGAGCTCGCAAGAAACAGAAGCTCTCACTCTCTCAGCCTATTCCGGATGCACCAAGCCTCTCTTCTGCATTCCCAAAGAGGAAGCGTGGCAGACCAAGGAAGAACGAGTCTGAGAATCTGCCTCACTCGCAACCTGAACTTACATCTCATACTAAAGAGCCTGTGTATGATACAGGACCAAGGCTTATTCCAAGAGTAAGTGAGAATTCATTAATAATTCTTGTCACTGCTGATATGTGTACAAAAATGTCTAATACGCCTTGTGGTGGTTATTTGGTTTGTAGGAAGGATATGTTTTCAAAGCAATTAAGGGTTTTGAGACATACATATTCTCTACTTTAAGAAGGCGATGATCATAGCCATGATGATCACCACAACACCAAACACCACAACAATCTTTAACTCATTCGGAGTAACATTTTCCATTTTTTTCCCGGAATCCTTAAGCTTCGCAACATCATCAACAAGCTTGTCCATACGTCCGCAATCCATAGCGATGTGGAGGAGCTGCGTGTTCTGCTCTTCTATTTTTCCCTTAAGCTCGTCAAACTCCTCCATAACTGCTTCATCCCACCACTTATTAACATGTGGTCCGGGAACCTACACCATGTAGCACCACTTATCAATGTTTGCAAAATAACCTACAACTTAGCAGTGATATACTTGTTAAAGCAATAAAAACGCAAAACACAAGTGATATGAACTGAAACAAACTTCCAACTACTCGTTTCCTAACTAACTACAACCAGGACACGACTTATTCGACTGAGACTTAGTCAATAAACTTAAAACAGAAACAAAAATACTTTATTCTTCAATACTTACCGATACAGGTCCAGTGCATATGAAAAACCTTCTTCCTGGATCTATCTGAGAGACACGAAGCTCAATCTCAAAGCCACATGGACACTTCTTTGGAATCCCAGGTTTTGTATCACTCAGACCTCTGTATCTACCATTTCTCATCGATGTTGTGGTCCAACTTCCATTGCTCAAAGGCATCTTGCTCCTGTCAATTATCGATTTTTACTACTCTTCATTAGTATACAAAAATGTAAATAACACCAACTCAACACTGTATCCATAAGGATTAAGCTTGTTTCTACATAATTTTCATTTTACGAAAGACAGACCAAATTTTTAATTTGTTTCTCCAATGACTCAATTCAGAGTACCTATTCCTGCAATAAACACCTAAATGAACAAACATGCTTACCCAGACAAAGTCGATTGTAGCTTCTATTGAGTGAACCCAGAAATTCCCCAATCGCCAAGAACCCTAACCAAAAATTTCCCCAAATCGATTTTTCGTTTTATGAGACCTAAAAATCCCGACAATTCGCTTAAACGTGTTTTGCCTTTTGTCCCAAAACGACGTCGAATAAATAAACTACGTCCCGTTTCTTTTCCCAAAACGCTGTGTTTTACGTTTTTTGCAAGGCACAGAAACAGCCACGTCGACGATACACGCGAGAGCCGTTTAGCGGGTGACTTTCAAGTTCGTGGGTTTGACCTGCACAACAAAAAGTTTTTGTTGAGAGTTAGATTTGCAATTTTAATTAAGTTGCCTGTTTTTTTTGCACAAAACCCTTGTTTAAACACAAACACAACACTATTTTTTTTTTTGTCCTTTATTTTACAACTCTAAATACTTGAAAATCCCATCGCCGAAAAACGAAAAGTCACCAATGTTTATGGTAAAATGATAATTAGCGCAAAATTGGATATTTTAACGGAATAATCAAGTACGCATGAATAATATCCAAAAAGAGTATGACGTGTGGAAATAAATGATTAAAGAAGCAATTAAATGAAGTAACTGAAACTAGAGAGAGTGTGGACTCTTCCGTTTGGACTTGAGTGGCGGTTTCAAGTTCTTTGCTTCGATCCGAATCTTCGTCTTCCTTCCTTCCTCCCTCATCCACCTTTCTTTTTTTTCGCGCCATCATATCTTTTTCCCTCTCGCAACTTTCTCACTGAATTTTCTCCGATCCGCCTGAGTTTTTCTTGGTAAGTGGTCCACTTTATCTCTCTCTCTCTCTCTCTCTCTCTCTCTCTCTCTCTGTGGTTTGGTTGGAGTGAGAAAAAGAAAAGGGAAAGTTGCCAATTTGCTTTCTCTTTCTTCGTTTCACACTTTGGTTCATCGATTGTTAGCTAAAGATCCTGAGATTCTCCGAGGTTCCTAGCTAGATCTGATAACTTTCTTTTGCTTCTTCCCTGCGGTGAATTCGAACAATTCTTTCCGTGTGAGTGATCTCTAAGAACAATTCAGAATCTTTTTGATCTACTGATATCCTCCACAGTCTCAATTCTTCACAATACTGGTAAGTTTTGCTAACAATTTTGAGTATGAAGCATCAAATTATGTTTCATCCATTTCAACTCAAGTCTTGTTTTTTTTCCCTAAGTAGAATCTGAATGTTGTCAGTCATTGAATTCTCTAGTAAATTCAGTATATAATCTTGTTTTTTTCTCTGTTCTGTCTTATTGTTGCAGATTGTTTAGTGTAAAACTCTGTTCCCTGAATGCTATATAGAGCCATTGCTTTGAAGTTGCACTTAATTATATCAATATGGTGAGGCAACATCAAAGAGCCTCCAAGGTTCATGAGGATAGATACCCCTCGTGTCATTCTGGTGTAAGCTTGGAGCATCAAGGCAAGAATGAGCTGGTGAAGCACGATATGTTGGATCCGCCAAGATATCTTCGAAGAAACGAAGATATCCGCGGCAAGGCGCTGAGTTTTGGGGTTATGGATTGGAAAGAGTTAGAGAAATGGAAAGATTCTTGTTCTACTGCAGATGGAGGAGCCAGAGGAGCGTCTTGTAGCTATGCTTCATCATACGCTGGTTCATCGGAAGCTGCTGCAAATTCGTTGGAACTTGATTTATCAACCGGAGTTGTCAAAAGATTGGAACTTGACTTGAAGCCCCAGGCACCAAGCGTCAGTTTATTTACAGACTTGAGAAATGTCAGTTCCTCACTTAGATCACAAGAGTATTTAGATCACCAATCTCCGAGTAGGAAGCAGAAACAAGATCAAGAATCTCTGAACAAGAAGAATCTTGCAGAGAAAGAACAGAGCTGTCAGACAAATCCAAGGTCAGAGACAGGTTCCAAGCTTTTATTGTCTGAGGCATCTAGAACAGTTGAATGTCAATATAGAAGACATGATGTCCAAGGCGAGTGTTCAAGTCCTGTAAATGCAACGGAGAGGAACGAGAAGATCTCTGCTGAGAAACCAGGCTTGTTGTCGGATCAAAACATTCCAACTGTGACATCCAAAAAGGGAAGACACGCTTCTCCCAACAAACGGTTTAGCTTCAGTTTCAGTCAGATGGGAAGAAGTTTCAGCTCAAAAGAAAGCTCATCCTCTGTTCATGCCTTGTCTACCACGTCTCATGCTTCACATAAATCAGGCCCCTTGACATTCCACGACTCAGTCTACACCACAAAGCCTAAGAGTGGTCACAACAGAACAAGATCAGGTCCTATATTGAAACCCAAGAATTTCCCATCGTTACAAGTGGCTTCAAAGCCTTCAAACCCTAAACCACAAACCGTGGAGAAGAAGCAACGCAGCTCAAGGTCTCACGCTCTCTTGCAATTCACTTTGAGAAAAGGTATCAATCTGTTTCAGTTTGTGGTTGACGATAACAGCAGTGACGTTCTTGCTGCCACCATGAAGAGTTCAGATTCTTCTAGAAGGTCTTACACATTGTATTCCGTCAAAGAAGTTAAAAACAAGAGTGGAGGAAACTGGTTAGGTCGTCACCACAAGAACGAAGAGAGAAACCATCATCCGTTCGTACATACGATCATCGGCGAAATGAAGACTAACTCGGATTTAGCAAGACACAGATCAGAATCTGTTTTGTACGGTGTTGAGACAAAAGATGAGCTTGCGGCAATGGTTCAGACAAGAAACAGAGCTCAGAAGAAGAGCGAAACTAGTATTATATTCCCGAGTGGAGCTCACACGCTGCCTAAAGACGGTGGTGATGCACCTTTGCCGTTGATTGAGCGGTGGAAATCCGGTGGTGCATGTGACTGCGGCGGCTGGGACATCGGTTGCAAACTCCGTGTTCTCTCTAATGATCATTCAAAGTCTCAAACTTTCTCAAGCTTTCAATTGTTTGATCAGGTGATTAAACTCGTTATATGTTCATTTATCTCTCTAAAGTATTAGATGGTCTTTAACAGTTAAGTTTTCAACAGGAAAGAGAAGAACCAGCATTCAAAATGGTGACACACGACGATGAGCTCCACTCGGTTGAGTTTGGCTCATCGATCACTCTCTTGGAAGCGTTCTTCATTTCGTTAGCAGTAAGCAGTCATCAGAATTGGTGTGAGGAGGAGGAGGAAGCAGTTTTGAACAGAGATGGTCTGTTGAAGAGAGAAACATCGTCGAGATACGCATCAAACCCACCGGTTTCTCCAATTGGTCGGGTCTAAACCTTAAACTGGCAGAGACGTATGTATGAGAAGATCAAGCAAAGTGTGCAGAGCTGGCTGGGCTAGACTGTGTTGGGTTGGGCTTTAAGATGGCTGTAATTAAGAATTTTATATAGCATAATTGTGTAGAAGTTGCTCATGTACAGAATAGTGAAATGCATTTATGAAAAATATTAATAATAGGATATAAGTATCACGTAAGACCAAAGTTAAACTCTTACTATCTTTATAACAAAACATGTGTAATGTACAGTTTTTTTTTTTTCTTTTTTACAAATGTTATGGTTGAAAATCCGAACAAGAATTATCTTCAGTAGCTAAGTAAAAAAATAGTTAATCTTCTTTTGATTTTGTTAGATACAGTTAAACGATTTTTGATAAAAAAAAAAAAAAAAAGTAAAGGAATAGAGGATAGACAACTGAGCATGTGAGCATAAAAACCGTATTTGACAGACATGCTTCGCTGCTTAACCCTACCCACATGCTTGCTAATGCTACTCCAAATCTATATCCCACCACGTGTAGTGTTAATTCTGAATTAGTATTTAAACCTTATATTAAGTTATTTTGTTAATGAACATCTATATTCAGTTGCAAATTGGCCACTACTAGCTCTAATCCCCCGACATCACCTTTGAAATTTCAAATTAAAGCGACAATAACGGTTGGTGGGTTCTTCTTCATGTCGTGACCATTGACTACTACTTTTTAGTTTTATTGAAAAAATCTCTTTCTGAGAGTTTTGAAAATTCTAATATTGACCCATAATTGATCTTTTGCTAAGGATTTAGACGTACTTGTAGTTTCGTGTTATGTGCATTTTTTTTTCTTTTCGAAAGTGTATGCTGTACGTTGAACAAATAAAAACGTGAAAGATTCATTGTGTGATGAGAAAATATCAAGCAGCCGAATCAAAACCAGTTGTGAGGATTCTCGGAACACCAGAATTTATCATATGGTATGTATAATCATATCACTGATAGATGACTTTCAATACGTATTGATTAATTCCTAAGGAGACTTTTACGACTTTTCTTACCATTCGTCTTTTTTTTCGCCTAACAACTTTCTTTAAAAACCAGAATTGCAATCATTGAAGAAATAGAGGACATTAGGACAAACATAAAATGAACACCATGGATCAAATGATTGAGTTTTCCCTTTTCTTACCATTAGTCTTTGTAACCATACAAAAAAATCCTTAAAATATATACACACTTTCCCTTAAATATTTGTAATTACTTGATTTAACATAACGAAAATAAAAAAACAAATAAAAAACGTACAGTTATGCAAACATATGTTCTGACTATATTAAATTAGATTCAAAATAAGAAAGAGAGTAAAGATGAAAAGTCTTATATTTCCTATATTTTCAGTTTTCAAGTTTCTTTATTTACTACTTATCATATACAAAGTCCATAGTTAAAAGTTGACGATTTTTTGTTGTTGCTAAAGACACAATTACTGTAGATCAACTAAACTTTGATCAATAGTTAAATTTATTGCCAAATGCCAACACAAATAAATCACAGCTAAACACAACCAAATTTTGACAGAATACTACTTATGTTACCATTTGTACCCATCACTCTCTAAAATTGGTATAAAAATGAAAAGCTCACAACAGTTATCAACCTGATAGACATATGATAATTAATGAAGGCAAATGTGAAATGTTAAAAGTTAAAACCACAACAAAAATAAATACAGACTTTTATTTTATTTTTATTCATGTAGAAGAGAAATGTTTTTTTTTGTTTTCCTATTAATAAATTTTCCTAATTTCTTCGTGGGTGCTTGAGAATTTTATTTTGTTTTGAATATAATTTTCAATTCAACCGTTTATCCGTGTTGAACTCGCCTTTTTTAATCGTAGGGCTTCGTTTCTCAGATTCTGCTAAAAAGAGATCTCTTTTCTCACTTACAAAAGTTTAATCCTTCTTCAGACTTTCTTCTTCGATCTCTCTGCTAACCTTTTTTTTTTCCTTTTTTTCTCTTTCGTTACGTCTCTTGTTCTCATTTCTTCTTCCCAGATCTTGGATTGACCGCCTCGATCGTTGACCTCCCGAATTTGATTTCGGCTTAAAAATCCGACCTTTTCTCCGGCGAGAAGCTCAAGACTAAGAATTTATAAAAAAGGTTGAGTTTTTGTTGAGTGTTTGGTTTGGGATTATGATGTTGGCCCAATTCGTTGGGGTGTGAAGTACCTATGGAACTGATTATCACACGGGAAGAAGAAGATTAACAACAAACAAGAATCAGATGACGCTTTACATTCGTCGCGAATCTTCCAAGGTTCGTCCTTTTTTCCACCTAATTCAGCTTCTGGAGATTTTTTTTTTACAAATTTTAGGCTGATTCGTTACTGTCTCGGCCTTTGTTAGCTATGGAAGAGATTTTACTCGGAGTTAACGACGGAGATCGGTCTTCTCGCTGAGAACTGGAAATACCTTCTCGCTGGTCTTATCTGTCAGGTTTTCACTTTAATTTCTAATTTCCCGATTTAACTGAGAAACTTTCGTTTGTGAGATTCACTCATTTTAAACTCCCGATTTGAAATTTAAGAGCTTTTTTAAAAAAAAATGATTCTCGTCAGATTCAGATTAAAAGCTTCACTTGGATCGTTATTTCTTATGCTGATTGTTAATGATCGTTTTGTTATACATATGGTAACTTTTGAGAGAAAGCTTCTGCTTTTAGCTATCCGTGCTTTTTCAGCAGAGTAACAGTGTTGTTAACAGCTTTTGTGTGATAGTTTTTTTGTTTTTGTTTCAACAAAAATGTAGCTTTTGGCCTCTTGGATTTAACTTAGTTCTTGATTGCTCCTGTTATGTGCAGTATATTCATGGTTTAGCTGCTAAAGGAGTTCATTATATTCATCGCCCGGGACCAACTCTCCAGGATCTTGGCTTCCTTCTTCTTCCGGTTTGTCTCAAACACTTCATCTGTGTAAGCTCACAAAATTCATCGGATCTGAATATATGTCTTATTGCTTTGGTTTTGCATTGTATAGGAGCTTGGTCAAGAGAGAAGCTACATAAGTGAAACCGTGTTCACTAGTGTGTTTCTTTCCTTCTTCCTGGTGAGAGTCTCTTCACCTTCATAGTTTCTTACATGGACAAAGTCTTTGTCGATACATGGTTATACTCTGATACTAATGCTCCTGGAGCCTTTTATTGCAGTGGACATTCCATCCATTCATCTTGAAAAGCAAAAGGATATACACAGTGTTGATATGGTGCAGAGTTCTTGCATTCTTAGTTGTAAGTACCATACCTTACTAGTTACTACTCTATAAGCTAAGCTTGCTGTGATTAATCTTGAAACTTGCCGATGTTTCTGCTTTTCAGGCCTGCCAGTTTCTCCGTGTGATAACTTTCTATTCGACTCAGCTTCCTGGTCCAAACTATCACTGTCGTGAGGTAAAGCAACTGAGATCCATACATACACAAAGGTCTCATGTCTCTAATCGGTTAAAGCTTAATTTGGCTCACTTTTTCTCTACAGGGCTCTAAAGTTTCCAGGTTGCCGTGGCCTAAAAGCGCTATTGAGGTTCTCGAGATAAACCGTGAGTCTACATCTACATATTGTTCTTTAAGTTTACATGTATTTCTTTGTTTGTTTGCCTCTGTTCTAATGTGATGAAGGACTCTGATCTCATCAGCTCATGGGGTGATGTACGGATGTGGAGACTTGATTTTCTCATCGCATATGATATTCACTCTGGTCTTTGTCCTCACTTACCAGAAGTACGGCACTAAAAGGTAGAAACTTCATCATAAACTCCTTAAGCTATGTCTGAATCACCTTCAAAAGATATCTCTGAATCACTCTTCTGTTTTTTGCTATGTCTCAGGTTCATAAAGCTGTTTGGGTGGCTCATTGCTTTCGTGCAGAGCCTCTTGATCGTTGCTTCACGCAAACATTACAGTGTCGATGTTGTTGTTGCGTGGTATGTGTTACTGTCACGCAAAAAGTACAAAATTTCCTCTTTGAGTACAGAGATTTATGTATTGACTTGGTTGTTTTGATTCTTTCTCTGTTTAGGTATACTGTGAATTTGGTTGTGTTTTGTCTAGACAAGAAACTACCAGGTTTGAATTTCTTCACAGAAATGAAACATTTTGTTTGTCTAATTTTGGCAGAGTTCTCACATTCTTTCTCAAATACAACAGAGTTACCAGACCGGACAACGGTGTTGCTCCCTGTAGTCTCGAAAGACAGAAGCAAAGAAGAGAACCACAAGCTGTTGAATGGGAACGGCGCTGATCCTGCTGATTGGGTAAGTATCTGAATCTGTTTCTTGTTATACTTTTCTCAATCTTGAACCAATCACAATCATTTTTATCTTTAATGTTCCTTTTTCTCAATCTTGTTTTAGCGGCCGAGGGCTCAAGTGAATGGGAAGATAGACAGCAATGGAGTTCACACTGATAACTCAATGAATGGCGCATGAATGAAGACTTGTGTGGTCTTTTAAGTTTGGGAGATTTCCCAAAATTGGACTTGAATTCTCTCTGCAAGTTGGGGTAAATTTTTGTTTTGGTTTATATTGTTCCCAGAAAAGGAAGAAGAACAACACTCACAGAGAGAAGTTGGGGGACCGAAATTGCTATTTTGTACATTTTTCCAGTTACTTATTCCCCAAGTAATCTTCTTTTGTTGGACATCACGTTGTTTTCTAATCTTAATGTCAGTCAAATTTGTTACAAGAAAACTGTTTTGAGCTTTTTGAGACGATATTGTTATGTATAATGGTTGCTTCTACAGCTTTAAGTATTTATATATACAAAAATCTTCGGTTTCAGTAATTTTGTTGTTTGATTGCAAGAGTATCTGTATATATAGTTTGGTGGTGTTTCATGAGGAAGATGAAACATGGAAATGGAAGAGCCATGATATGAAGAAGCCAAAGACCATACAAGCTAACACTATATTCACCATTCTCTGTGGTTGCCACCTGTTCTCTACCGCGGCTGCTGCTACTCCCGCCGTTTCCTCACCGTTTCTTAACTCTCTCTCGTCCACCGTTAACGTAACCATTTCGTTTGCACCGCCTACGTTTCGAGCTAACGATTGGCAAATCTCGCAGACTCTGTTTCAATAAAAAAATACACGTTATATTATCCGTCAATAGTTCAATACAAGGAAAAAACAAACATTTACGTGCTTAAATTGTTATTTTCCTCCTCAAATTTGAAAACCAATCATCAAAGAAAAAGTCAACAAAACGTCCTGAAATAAATGGGAAAATTTGTAACTCAAGAGTAACAAAACAAAATGATTCTCTCCTACGAATCCTAACTAGACTTTATTATGATGATCAAGTTAAATTAAAACCCGTAACTGCAAAATTTCAATATAATATCGAAAAAAGTTATCAAGAACTCAAACAAAAAAAAGAAAAAAAGAAAGAGAAGCAAAGGAGTTTTACTTGTCGCCTTTGATCTTGAACCAAGTCTCAGCACAATGTCTATGAGCAACAGCTAAATCGTCCTTACACGAACACCCCAACTCAATCGCACCTCCACCGCTCGTTTCCACCCCTAAATGACATATCCGGCAATCTTTCTCCGGCGGCGCCGTCGCATCATCATCATCATCCGTCTCCGAGGGACTCATCACTGACGACACTTTCCTCGACTCATCTCCTCCTTCGTACTCGTACGGTCCTCCATTCGTCGAGTAGAAGTAAGAGTAGCATGACGTCACGTCTTCCCCGTCTGAATAATATACGCTGGCGTCACTCTCTCCGAACGACCTCCGGTGGTATCCGTACGCCGCTCCTTGTTCTAAATCGATCTCTGCCATTGCTAAATTTTATTTTGAATATTGAATGGAATTTAAGGAAATGGGTTTTTGGTGGATTTGGTGAGTTTACTACTTAACAACTAAAATAAGAATTTTAATTTATGAGGAAATTGAGTAACGAAAATGTAGGAGGAGTGAGTAACTAATGGTGATGGAGCAGGAACAAGCTTGAGAACAGAGTGAAAGTGAAACTATATTATCAAGGAAGAAGATATTGTTGTGGATCAAGAATAAATTATTTAAGTAAAAAAATAAAAGAATAGTGACAGATTAAATAAAGAGAAAAAAGAAAAGGGAACAAGTTTCTACCAAAATTAAGGGATTTTTGTTCCGAATTCTGTACTTTCGATGGTACAACGTTTTAGCGACGCGATCTCACTTTGAACACCGTATCCAACGGCTCATATTGTGGGGATCGAAGGATTATCAAATCTGATTTACTTTTTGGATAATTTGTATACGAATGTTATAGTATAAGTTTATGAAAACCCGAATCACTCCTCATAAACAACCATAAATAGAAATAAAAGAGGGGGTAATTATGTCAGTACGTTATAGAAATTTTCCGGTTTTGGATTTTACTTTTGACCCATTCCCGCCTCCGACCAATTTAATCACGCCCGGATTTGTTTGATCTCTTTAGATTGAATTGTACTTTGTAGTTTGTACATTGGCAAAATCTACGGTTTAAAATGGTATGTACTCTCGGTTTTGTGTCAGCTTCTTCTGAAGGAGTTGTTGTCTTCTTTATTAGAGCCGGTCTAACTAAACCACTAATTTGGATTAAGTTCTAGATAGGAAAGTTTCTGTTTAATATTTTAGCATCTCTCATCGGCGATTTATGTCGGCTCTATCACGCCAAAGTCCAAACACAATTTTGAGAAACAAGAGATGGCTAAAATGTATTTGTGTCTGAACCATATCATTAGACCATGCCTCAACATCAGGAGCATATTTCCATTTTTTGTCATATCACTATCACATTCTCTTGATTTTTTTTATAGGCACTTACTCATTCTCAATAAATACTTCAGCCACAAGTGGATGTATTACAGCATTATGGAAGTCATATACACCACTAAAATCTTTAATGAAGTTAACCTTGGAATATCAGGGGAAAAAAAGCTATACTATTTAATGTTACTAGTTAAGAGTGGAACAGATCTAACAATAATATTAAATTTTCTTTTATGAGGAAGAAAGGTACGTCAAACAAGCAAGGAATATCGATTTATTCTTAAAGCCATACAAATTAAAACTAAAAAGAAATAGGAATCTCATTTTCCACGTCAAAATGTTGAACCACCATGGACACCAAAGGAATAAAAGAAACAAAGAAACAAAAAGAGTAAAACGAATTTTGATGGGGGAAAAAATAAGAAAACAACAGTTTATCAAGTTGGTGGGTCTAGTTCTAATGGACAAGACATACCTATTCTTTGTTTCATTTGAATCTTATATTTGGAATTTTCTTCTATCAATATGTCGACAGATATTTTAAATAAGTTCATTATCTTTTCTGGGAGCTAACTAAAAGTATGAAATTCTGGCGGTTTGTTATCCATATTGGGTGTTCTAAATATGTAATCTAGATGTTTGTATAGCCGGCATCTAGACGCAAAACGATTATAAACTATAGTGAATATCGTTATTGCGTTGGGGTTATGTGTTTTTTGTTGATTAAGGCGCAAAAGGGGTTAATCGAACATATCATGTAAAGTAAAATATTTGAACATATGTTTTCGATTTAGAAAATAGAAAAAATGTTACGTACATTAGGAAGCATGAAGGTTAATTAGGATCACCTCCTACGAGTGTATGATGCTCATATATTCTGCTCAATTTCTTTTTTCTTTTTGACTCTTTATGGTTTGTTCGTTAATGAACATCGAAAGGGACAACACAAGTAGTTGCTCAGTCTCAACAGTTTCATGTTCAAACTGGAAAAGTTGTTACAAGACCAGAAACTGGACGTATCTAATTGTTAAGTAGTTTTGTTCAGCAGAAACATTTGGCTGGTGAGTCGGTGACCCAATTCAGGTGGACACTTTAAAATAATTTGTTAAAATACTAATCAAAGTATACATAATGTTCAGTATTAATCATATGGTATAAACTAAGCTCAATTGTTTTCCTTAATTTTTCTCAACTGTCGTGTTCAGCAGAAACATTTATGCTATTTTTTTGAACATTTTTCCAGTTGCTTATTCCTCAAGTAATCATCTTTTGTTGGATCACGTTGATTTTCTTTATGTAAATTGTGTTATAAGAAAGTTGTCTTGAGACTTTCTTTATCAATTTTTTTTTTGTCTTGAGACTTGATAAACAAGTTAACAAACCTGTTCACCACTTTGCTAACTCTCTGTGGCTGCCACTTGTTCACCATTTCGCTAAGGCTGTTGGTAAAGCTATCTATGACTCTCGGTTAAGAATCCTAACCGATCTTCATGTGACTGGTCGTGACCAGTTAAAGGACTCTGATTGAATCGGTTCAACCTCTAGTTCACATATAAACCAGAAGTAGCATATCATAGGCATAATGCATACACATATATACTGATATACACAAGTCTTTTTGGACTAAAAATAATTACATAGACATTGAGAACAAATATTGTCAATGATATAATGAACGAGTTAATCAAATAGGTGGATAAATACAACTTAATAAAAAAGAAAAAGTTGGATTTTGGAGGACCATGTTTTGTTAAAGAATGTGAATCTTTATTAAGAACTCGTTTAACGGTGAGGAAAGTTGTACAATTTTGTTGTTCATAACTTGATATCATTGTCCACGTCAAACTCCTGACCTGTGTCAAACTTTGAGTATGTAAAGATAGTCTACTATTTTATTTTTATCATAAATGGGATTTCTACGAAATTTTATAATATCGTTAATCAAAAAAATTGTATCTATGGGACAAGACGATAATTATGCCCACCACCAATTAGTATGATCGAACTGTGTGCTTCAAATTTTCATATTCCTATAAGTTAATAATTTTCTATAACAAAACACAAATTGTGAGAATAATTTGTGTTATAACTTATAAGTTGTGTAACTGTATGAAACAAGATCAGCAATTAGAAAGCGTTGGGGTCTACTTTTGAAAAGGTAAACGTAGAGGGGCTAAATAAAAACAAAAACAGAAATCCGGGGAAAGTTGTAATTTAAAAACCTTAAGTTCCGTTTTCGTTTCCTATCGGAAATCTCTTGTTCGTCTTCCGACTCTCCGATCATCTTTTAGGGTTTGACGAAATCGGAAAGATGTACGATGTTATGTTGGATGAGGCCAACTTGTGGCTCAATGAACCTCCGAAGCGTAAGCGGAAGCTCGAAGCTCCGCCTGCACCGATAGAAGATTATTCATCTGCACCACTTTCGGATTCTGACGAAGACACCGAGATCGATTTGGTGGGGAAGGCGAAATATCGACAGCAAGTTATGGAGTCTGGCGTAATCCTCTTCACACTTTCATGATCGATTTAAATTTCCCAACTTTATTGAAAATTTAGCTGCTTTACGAAAATTTACCTCTTTGGGGTTGTGCATCGGATTGATTAGGCTTCTATTGTCATCACAATGATTTTGAGTTTGATTGAATTTGCGTAGGGATTCGATGTCGACCCTTTGCTTGTTCGATATGGAAAATTACGGTTATATGGATCTGCTCCTGACACCATACTCTTTAGCAAAGTTGGACTCCATTGCTACAACTTTGACAAGGTTACACTCTCTCTCTCTCCTTCTGTGGAATTCTTCTTGTTTTGGATGGGATAAACTAGCTTACAAAATTCAGGACTGTTTTTTTGTGTGTTTCCTCCATTCTTTCTTGTAGGGGACAAATTTACAATTCAGGACTGTGAAAAAAGCCAACACAGAATTCGTTTCATTTCTCACTTACTATATAACGTTGGAGGCAATGGATCCGTTGAAAAATGCACTTGTTACTTTCCAAACCTCTGTCTGGGATGCTGCTACGAAGAACAAAGAGAGCTTGAGATTGATAACAAAAGTGTCCAGAATAGCAGGTAATGGCGTCTAACACATTCTCAGGCGTAACTTACTAGCTGTTTTTCATGTCCCATTTTGCTGCTGTTTTTCCAAGTCCCTGGATCATTAAGATGATTCATGTCGCAAGAGAGTAGGTGGTTAAATTATGACTAATCGTTTTAGAAATGTTATAGGAACTGAAGAAGAAACTTCCCTATGGGACTCAGATGGTGTAGATGAGTTCTATAATAAAGATGATATGTCTCAGTGGCTTGAGGATGATGCTCTTACTGGAAGTGATAAGCTACAATACTATGAGGTTAGGTGTTGGTTACTTTTGACCTCTCGGCTCTGTTTAGCAGCATACACACAGGAATCATACGTTATTATTGCAATTGCAGGTGAAGAAATCGGATCTGCGAGACAACGAGTGGATGTATCTATATGCTGAAGTTGCATTGTTTTCCAAGTGCGCAATTGACCTGGTGAGGATATAAACAAGCATAGAGAGATTAGTGTAGGACATTCGTGGACACCCTTGCCTTAACAATGTTTTCTGTACGATGTTGTTTTTGCAGAGCGCTTATTTGCCAGTGGAGATGAAGAGAGTAGTGGTGCGAACAAGGGAAGATGTAGAGCCGAGTATGAAGCTGAAGTCACATAACGCAACTTTCTACATGAACTTCAAGACCCGTAGGGGTCAAGATTGCAGAGGCATAGTACGGCGGACGACGGATGGAAGACCACAACACATGAGCCTCCAAGTCAAATGCTGGATCGACAAGTAGAGACTGCGACAGAGATGTGGTCTTTTATGTATTTTATTGGTCTTGCCATGTTGAAATTACCCGAGATGTTTTATATATATTATCTATGGCTAATGTCACCACTTAATACAATAAGTAGTAAGATAATTTGGCTTGTTGCTTCCTGTTCGGTTTGAATCTTTCACAGTTTTTTGTTTTCCCACATTGTAATATATCCTAACAAACAGGTACTTAGCAAAATCCAATATATCACATAGTCATTGAACGAAGCAAACGTACACACCACTTGGACAAAAGAGTTTTTTTTCTTGTAAAACAAGTTCCAAATACCGAAGTTATCCCATGAACCAATCCTCAAAGCTCCATTCCGTCGTAGGAAACTTGGAGCTTGTCTTGATCCATCTTCTTTCTTAACTCCTCCTCATCCTCTGTGAGTAACCTTGGATAGCTGAACCTTCCAATAAGTGATCTGGGCTTGCTAAAATATTTCACAGCGATGGGATCGTCAATTTCCCCAGGTGTGGGTATGAAGGCAATGACAACTTCCAGTGAAATCTTTATGTAGCCATCCTTTCCGAATCCATCTCCATGGCTTGTTCTCCCTAGAACATATTTCTCCCCGTTTTCTTCACCCGCGTCCACTAGAGAAATCGCATGCAGGCACTCTAATTTAGAATTTTGACTCTCAGGTCCACGATATATCTTTACCACAAAATCACACAAATAAGGTTAGTATATATATATATATATATATATATATATATATATATATATATATATATATATTCAATAAGGCCATATACGTATCTTTACCACACAATCACACCACACACTGAGCTTAGTTATATATTCAATAAAGCGATGCGATATATCTTTACCACACACTAAGGTTAGTATATATATTCAATAAGGTAAGTATATATTTTTATATATAAACTAGAAACGAATATTTGACTCACTTTATCTCCAATAGTTCTGTACTCCGGGAGAAATATCGCCAAAGCTGCACCGATGGGCTGTTTCTCAAGTTGGAGAAGGGCATCATGGATTTTGTTGAGTCTTACAGAATCTTTGATATACGTACCCAAGTTCAGCCGTAGGAATGTAAGCAGGAACCTCTTTAGAACATCCAATGAAGGGTCTGTTTTCTTCTCTCTGAATTCCATTCTTCTTAACGTACTCAAAACCCTTGGTGAGATTCAACGGGTAGCAGTAGTGACCTTCCTTGCTCCCCACTTTTCGTTGCTCAGCGTCTACAAAGTCAATCAACTCCTGCGGTGAATATCTTATGTTGACGTCTTCATCACGTTTTTCAATTTGTCTCACAGCCCATATGAGCTCACTCACAACAATGGCCCAACAAACATCTACACAAAACAAAATAAAGTCCTTAGATTCTCTCACCGATCAAGCACAAAGGTATGTACATATAGTATTAGAGCTTACCATGGTCTGTTTGATTTCTCAATGCTCCCATCATATCTTGCCATCTCACCCCCTTCACGGATTCTGGGATGAGCTGCAATTTCTGAGTCAGTTAGTAACAATTTATCTAAACATTTATAATTTAAGCTTTTTTGTTACGAAACTATTGACAAGAGTACTACCTGATGTTTGAGCCAACACGCATATCTCACACATCGGGTCTTTCCACCTACTTTGTTGACACACTCGATAACTTTTATCTCGGGATCAGGTTCACTTGCTACAATGGCTGCTAGTACATCCTTAGGCACCATCTGAAGGACATCGGCAACTAACGGTTGCAATTTAGGGTCAACAAGCTTCATTATCTCATCGAGTACACGTAGATGCTTCTTTGGGATGTCAAGAAGTACCTTGCAAACACAAGCAATAACAGAGAATTATATCCAAATCAAGAAAAAAAATGAAACACAACACATGAGTACATGACCATTGTAATATTCATCTGCTTACTTTGAGAGGCTGAGTCTCCGAGCTTTCTCCGGTTTCCATCATAGTCTCCGAGCTTTCTCCAGTTTCCAACATAGTCTCCTCTTCTTTCAACTGCGCAAGATTGAAATTATCTTTACGTCAAAGTTGAAATCTTGAAGCTAACGTACTCAAGAAGTAAAACAAAGTTCATAAACCAAAATGCCATACATGTTCTGTTGGAAACATATAAACCATCAAAACAAACTATAAACTTTGTGGGTCAAGAACATGATATACAGCTCGCTTTTTCAATTAAGTTGTAGAGGATGTAGCTGATACCAAGGTTAACCATCATAGTGGTTTGATAACATTTCTCTCCACCTAATAGAAATTAGAGAATGCCAAGAGCTCTTAAATATCCTAAGTTAATAGATTTCTTAGAATGTTTCCATTACGGGTATACATTCTTGGTTCATTTCTCAGATTTTGGTTCAATGACACGTTCGACTCTCTAACCGAACAATGAACATAGATCAAAGTTTGTATTTGCTTCAATTCATCCAACACCATATGAGAAGCAAACAAAGCAAAGCATAAACAAAACAATGATGGGTTTTTGGAGCAATAAATCTCGACAGGATTTTTAATCACTAATCGACCGTCAAAGTTAAAAATATAGAAAAACAAAGTAGAACCATTTGGACTATATTTCTTGAAAACAGAAACCCATTTGAACCGAAGCTTTTATCATAAAAAGTTGAAGCTTTGTTTTTTATCATATCGTATTCAGGGGATTTGAAGAGAACAGCGATATGATTCGAATAAATACCGATCTTTGTAGTCGAAACGTCGTAGAACTTTCCAGATTACGTTGAAGCTACTTCCGGATTCTGGCTGTCTTCGATGCTCTGTAAAAAGTTGAATCTTTAATATGTATGAAGCTTAGCTCATCAAAAAAAATCAAAGCTTTGATATGTATGAAGCTTTTTTCATCAAAAAAATAGAAGCTTTGGTATATATGAAACATTTGACATCAACAAACCGAAGCATTGATAAAGATGAAGCTTTTTCATCAAAAAAAATTGAAACTTTGATAAAAAAATCAAAGCTTTGATATGTATGAAGCTTTTTTCATCAAAAAAAATAGAAGCTTTGGTATATATGAAACATTTGACATCAACAAACCGAAGCATTGATAAAGATCAAGCTTTTTCATCAAAAAAAATTGAAACTTTGATATGTATCAAGCTTTTATCATCAGAAAAGTCGAAGCTTTGATGTATATGAAGCTTTTTTTCATAAGAAATAAAAATCCAAACTTTGATATGCACGACACTTTGTTAATCAAAAAAATCCATACTTCTAGTTTGCTTGTGTTTGTAAAGGAAACTGAGATGAAGATCTGAACACTTACTAGTCTCTTTTGCCTAATGGAGGTAAACTCTGCTCATAGCCAAAAAAAAAAATGGAACCAGGAGGAATAACCAGTAAAAGATAAGGAAGGCAAAAATGTTTTTAAGTTTTTAAATTTTATTTATTTCATTACGAAAATAAATTAGCAATAAAAAATATTTAACTTTTAAGTGATTTGAGCTCCCTAATTTGAGCTGACAATACTCAGCAAACGTGACATCGTACATCACATCGTCATTGTACAATGTAACCAAATTGATGAAACCACATTTGAAACTGAAAAATAAGTGGTAACTAGTGCCTAGTTAACTAATTAGTTCGGTTTGGCATCACAACTATTACACTCATTAGTGCCTAATGGTTCTTTATCTTTTTACAATGTAAGATAAAATTCAGTCTGTTTTTTTCGTTATTACCGTCCTATAATATTAAAAGGAAAACTAAGCAAGAGAAATATAGTATAGTCGCGTTAAGATCAAAATGTGTTAAAAATAATAACAACGAACTGAGCATTGAAGTTAATTCGTATATCTATTAAGTATTAACACATCAGGCTCGGAATAATAGTTCTGTATTACTAAATTTGTAAATGCTTATGGATTCTAGAAAAGGGCAGAATTTTGAACTCAAGTAAATGCCGTTGGATATTTTTTGTTTGTTTTCGTAGTTTATATTATTGGGATGGAAATTTGCATGTTCAATCATTTCTCTTTTCATTCAAGAATATCAATCTATGTACTACAAATACTGGCACGGCGAGAAAACATCTTAGACGTAAACAAACTCAAAATGTAGCTATGACTTAACAGATTGTAGTGATCTTTAAAAAGTTTTTAAAGTACTATTCATGGGCAACTTCTTACGTACGTAAAATTATACTATTTTTTCTTGATAGAAAATGTACACTACAGCAATAAGTAAATTGCTTATTGGTTGCCTTTTAAAAGAACAATGATTTAGATGATAACTAAAAGAGGTTTTATTATTATCATTGGATGAACAATATACAACATCATTAAACAAATGACTAAACACAAACGAAACGAAACAAAAGAAAGCTGAAACAAAGTCTTAAACAGCAAATCAAAAATCCAGTGAAGTTTCTATCATGAATAAACTCATTGATCATTTCATGGTTAGTGACGATCTTCACGACTTTGTAAGTGTCATGAAACATAATGTTTCCTCTCTATTCCAATCTTGGAAAGGAATGTTTTATCCACCAAATTGGTCAGAGCTAGGGGCAACACGTCTGATTCTTGAATCTAGAAAACGTCACCTTAACATTTACTTTAATTCGTAAACAAACATTTCATTATGCAACAAAGCACCCAATTTCTATCACACTCACCTCATCATGAGTCAAGTCCAGTAAGATCAAGGTAAGGCGGATAAAGCATCTGAATAGCAAGATTATCAAATAGGGGGAACCTGGTGTTACTTGTACTATCAAGCACATTCAAATGTAACTCTTGTCCCTAAAACTTTTTTATTTTAATTTAAAAAACAGAATGTTGATGAAGCGATGACTATGATTATGAGGACAAATAAGTAGCTACGATCAACGCCATTGACATCTTCGTCAGCTTTTCCACATTGATTTGGAAGGTTTCAAACTTTCAATTCATATATTGAGCTAAAAGAAGAGATGCTAAAAGAAAAAGAAAAAACTTTGGTGCTTGTACGTTGAATCGAAATGATAAGTGATTCTCTTAGTCGTACGTAAGCTTTCTCTTATAATCATTCAATTAGGGTGCATGAATTCATTTCATGATTAATTCCAAGAAAGAGCACATAATATCACATTCCAAAACCATAATATCAATCACACGTAATAATCAGTATTTAAATTGTTATCTTATTATATAAAGCTGGATGCGCACGACGTGGTTGCGACACGTAGGATTTTTATAAAATTCAGGATCGCGACATGTGTCACTTTTAAGTTTATGTCCGTTAAGATCGTGACACGTGTCTTAGAATTAAAAAAAAAATTCCAGATAAATGTTAATTAAAAAAAACGAAATTTAATTTAATCTATTATATCAAAAAGGAAAAAATAATATTTGCCATATCCAAACAGAAAAAGGTTTCCCATTCATCAAATTTTTTATTATATAAAGTTGGATGCTTTTAGATAAAGGAATTAAAAAAAAAATATATATTACAGTTAAAAGAAATAAAAATATATTTGTCATATCCTAATAGAGAAAGGTTTTCCATTCATCAAATTAATATTATCCAAACAAATAATAAAATCAAAATAATGTAATAAATAAAATCTATTTGTATAATGTTATGTAATCAAATTAATATTATCCAAACAAATAATAAAATCAAAATAATGTAATAAATAAAATCATATTTGTATAATGAAATAAATAATGTTATGTAAACTAAATTTCATATAACTGAATAGGTTACTTGAATCCCTATAAAAGAGAGTCAAAGTTTCTCAATCATAAATTCATCAAAGCAAATTCATCAGATCCCTTTGATTCTATTTCTCCAATTTAAAAATCATGTTTTTGACAGTTTTGCGATACATATGATTTTTATAACTCACAAAATTGTGACATTTGTTTTAGAAAAAAAAAATGAAAGTATGAAGATCGTAACATGTGTCATAGAATAAAAATAATAAAAAATTAATATGTATAAGACTAAATAAAAATTAGAAAATCAGATAAAAATAATTAAAATGAAAAAATAATAAATCCATTAAAAGTAATAAAAAAAAAAACAAATAATTTAAATTCTTTTGTTACATCTATTAAGAAAAGGAAAAAAATGCATTTCGAAAAGGAAAAATATCAATATATATTATTTATAATGGTATGAGGCAAAAACAAAATTGAGAAAGAAAAAATATAAATAGAAAACTAACAAAATAATATTCAAGCAATTAACTAATATTAAAAAATTATAATCGATATTCTAATTTTAAATAGTTTGATTTTCAATTTTTGTTAGGTAAAAAAAATTGAAATAAAGATTTCATCAATTAAAATCTCTTGAATGGAATAATAAAAGTTTGATTAATTAATCAGTTGATCAGATTTAGACATGTGTAAGTGTTTATGTATTGGATAAAAATAATAGTAAAACAAATTAATTCATTTTGTCATATCATAAATTCAAAAGAAAAATCAATTATAATAAAAATGTAAAAGTATTACCAATTTATTTTATTTAAATATTTTTATCGGGTTTTCAATATTATTTTGTTTACGTTTAAAAATGATCAAATTTTGTTTAATATTTTCCATGCTTTTATTATAAAATCTTAAAATATACCCGCGTATACGCGGGCCTTAATCTAGTTGTTTTATAAATTGGTAAAGTTGTATATATATATTTTAATCATTACCGTTAAATATGATATGATTTATTGTTTATCTTCTTTTAGTGGAAACGAAAAAATATTATGCAAAGTAAATTCAAATTTGGTAACATCATATATGTTAAGTTAAGTATGTATTAAATGAAATCATTTCTAAAAAATACGATAATATATAAAATCAAGGGATCAACTCTTTCTAATGTTAAGAAGTACTTTGGCTTGATAAAGATAGTTTGGTGGTGGTAAAGCAAATATAATTTAAAAGTCTAACAAAAAATATATTAACTTACATGTAGAACTAGTTAGGAGCCAACAAAAGGAACTAAGGATTGCATTCTCACAAATTGTAATCTACGTTAATGTTTTAAGCTCTCCAAATATCTAGAAGCGTGGTTATGCTATATAACTCAGAGGGTCTGCATTTTACATTTTTGGGTGTCAAGTGTAGAACATATCAGTCAGTTTTGACTCCTCTGTCGACAATTCTTGGCTGCAGATAGACGAAAAATTGTCAAGTTAGGGAGAAAAGATACATAATGGAAATATCTGTCTGTGGTATTGTTATATAAAGTGAGAAAGAGCAATTACCAGGACTTAAGATTCGTAAGCATTTTGTTATGGACTTTAGAGTAGTCATGGAGTCTGATCCTGCAAATTGAAAACAGCAAGACAAACATCAGTTAAAACAGCTATAGCATTATATATCTACAATACTAAGTAAAGAACGAAACTAACAAAACACACCTTGTGTGTTGATGTCTTTTCCTTGAATCATTTCTGTAACTGTTGACGTATACTCTGACATGACCTGGTCAGGCACTAGATTCCCGCTCATTGATTCAGGAGACGACCTGTGAGTTTCACAAATTTGATCTGATAAGTAAAATGGCAGCAGAGATTTATTAAAGCCAAAGAGATAAAGAACATACCCTGAAGCAGTCTCTATGTGAAAGTTTGATTGTGGCAGGCAAGGATCTGTCATTCCTTCACAACCAAGATCGAAATCGAAAAGCAGCTCCGAAAACGGAAAGTTCTCACTCAGAAGATCAATATTGGAGAAATCTAAGTCGAACAAATCAGTTTCTGCTTCAGAGCCAGATGAAGAAGCTGAGACCAAGTTATCTCCATTGAGAGGTGCATCAAAGTGCATTGTAGCTTCAGTGTCATCGAAGTTGAGTCTTCCTTTAACGTGATTTCTTTTACTCGGCGAGAAAGAAGAAACCATATGGCTTCTTTCCACTGTATAAGAACCAATCTGTTTGTGAGGACTGACTGTGATTCTCTCTTTAGTAACAACTGTGCAGTTTGTAGGCGTCACTTCTTGCTGCTGAGGAGATACTTGCTTTTCCGGCGTCTTAACACAAGCTGAGTTGCTCGGAGGCGACAAGTCCGATCCGTTGAACAAACACTTGGCCACAGTTGATGCAGTAAGATCAGACGACTCATTAGCTACTACACTGCTGTTATTCACCGGCGCTTGTGATGATGCTTGAAACGTCAAGTAGTTAACGGCTTTATCAGCTCGTGGAATCGTTTTCATCCCTGGAAACAAGAAAATAACACTTTTAATGGAGACTTAAAAAGCTATAACAGAAGTTATACTTGCAGAAGAAGAACTGACCTTTCTTGGAGACGGAAGAAGCTCCTACAGAGGAAACCTCAGGAATCTTTCGCTTCTTGGTTATAGATGGTGCTGTGAAATTCCCAACTCTTTTGTTACCTGGCAATGATGCTGCCATAAGATTAGCTGTGACACCTGGAAATGAACAACATATCATTAGCTTCATTAGATACATCAAGCAAAAATCCAATGAAATTGCTCTTGAAACAAAATCAACCAATTGTCAAATCTAGTTACCAGAAGAATCACACAGCAGGTTTATGAACACAATTTCAATTTGCAAAACTATAATGGATGGATGATATGATACTAAAAATCAGCTCAAGTAGCAATCAATGACAACACAAACTAACATAGTAATCATAATCTGACTAAGTCCAAGTAATTGACCAAAAGGAGCAGAAATGTTTGAGTACCTGAAGGAGAGACGCCGGAGTTGTTCAGTTGAGAAGTAGAGGCAACCGCTTGGATAGCTGCCGGAGCTGAAGACGGGATCGCCGGAAGAGGAGGAGGAGCTGCGGCAGCGGTGGAGTTGTAAACGTTCATCACGTTCTGCATCCCGTGCAAGAGGTTTTGAACGCGAGTTTTCTCCTGATCGAGTCTGACTTTCTCCTGATCCACCGCCACTTTCTGCTCCTTGAGAGATATGTATTCGTTCAAAATGTCATCCAGAGGTATCAAACTGTACGGAACCTAAGAAACAAAATCTATCAGAAAACTAAATGGGGTTTTTAAGAAAATCAAATAGACGGATTAAATTGAAAAATCTACCTCACGAATTGGGGATTTGGAGATGAGAGAGGAAGCTTCGGATCTGAAGAGGGATCGGGTTTCTAAGAATCGGTTATCGCAAAGGTAACGATCGACGAGGTAAGCGACCTGCATCGGAGTGACTTTACCCTTGCCTATGCGATCGGCGGTCTTGGATTTGCTCGACCTCACCATTTTCTCCGACTATGATTCGAAAACCCTAACGACTGATTGTGAAGCGAATGTGAAGATGAAACAATCTGGAGAGAGAGAGGGAGAAGGTGATTTAGAAGAAGTGAAATTAAGGAGCGGGAGATTTCTGCCGGGTTTTAATTCGATTTTGCCGGGAGATTTCTGCGTCTGGTTGTGGCGGTAAAACTCCCAATTTTTTGGTATGGGTCAAAATTAGAAAACGTTAACCGTTCGGTTAAGCGAGATTCGACAATTTTTGTTTTCCATTTGTCATTATGGTGGGCCTTGATTTGAAAACAGAAAGCATATGATGTTATGCAATTTCGCAGCTGTCATTATGAGCCTTGATGACAATTTCATGCATTCTATCAGATTCGGGTTGGATTTTGTGACAACATCAACACCAGAAGATAACAAGTCTTGGAAGATACGTGTTCAAAAACTTATACATTTTTGTTTCAAATATTTGACATTTATTGTAGATCCATGACTAATGATTTTCCATTGGAATCAGTCACCTTGGCAGAGCTTAAGCTTCCATTAAGAAGTATGGTCGTATGATAAACATACCCGAATCAAGAATTCGTCCAGACCAGACACAATCAAGACTACATTTTCTGAAAAACCAAGAGAGTAGTCCTCTGCTAAGAAGTTGGATTAAGTCAGGTTTTGATCATTTGGTTTATTGTTCCAAGTTCAACTAGATTCACTTCCCCATGTTGACAAATTAGGCAATCCACTTACCCATTTTGGAAATGAAAGCTTTCGAGACAGACTAATCGAAGGTAGTTTAATTTTTTTTTAACAATCAACCATCTCCTTATTAGGTTAAGCACAAAATAACCCATTACATACTAATACTAATAATAATCTATAGAGCTTCAAACAACTTGATTTTCACCTTATTATAAGGATCGATAGAAGTTTACTTTCAGTTTCTTTGAAATTTGAGATTCACCATCTTTGAAAATCCTATCTTAAATTTCTTCAGGAAACTCCTTCGACAAAATTCATAAGCATTGTTGGATTTAAGCTATTTCGTCATAAACACAACTCAAATTTTAGGAAATTCAAACTTTACGAACCACGTTTGAGCTTTTGGAGAAAGAAACTTTCATAGTTTGAGAGAACACTAAATCAAAATCGGATCTCTATACTATTGACATTGATGATGATTTCTGAAGCAACAAAATCAAAGTAGGGATGCAGAATAAGGAAAACTCTCATGATTTGAATGAAACAAAGTTTTTTCATTTTGAATTTTGTTTTCGAGAAAAGTTGAGTTTACACGACGAAAAAGATGGAGAAACAGTTAAGAATAACTGATTTAATGATGAATAAAATTTAATAATTTAATTTTGGTTTTATTTAGCACCGGTTAGGTTTGTCGGTTTAATAAATGACTCATAGTTCCTTCTTTTTAACAATTTCAAGTCTGTTTAACAACATACATTATTAAAGTGACTTTATCTAATCAATTTCTTCCAGTGATTGCTGTTTTAATATTAATTTATTAATAAAAATAATTTTAAAAAATAATTTGATAATAGTTATATATATATATCTTTTATTAAAAAAAATGTTCTTAGAATAAAATTTTAAAAAATAATTTGATATTAGTTATATATATATATATCTTTTATTAAAAAAATGTTCTTAGAATAAAATTGTTATTAAGGGCCAATAATTTTGTAGTTCGCTTTAGGGGGACTACGGGCCAACAATATCGATGGCAGCATAATATAAATAAGAGATTTCTTTAATGATAATTTAAACTTTTCAATTATGAGAGTGAATGAAAGAATATTCTCCAAAATCACTTCAAAAAGTAATAGTAGAGTTACCTTATTCAAAAGATGAACATAGTTTAGTTAACTTTTATTTCTTTTGCACTTTTGACATAGTTTTGATCGGTACATATATTAAACTCATCACTCATTAGAGATTACAGTTTCCACCTGGTCCTCCGAAAGAAAAAGCTACTCCATTAAGTTTTTCATAACCCCAATATGTTAGTCTATAACATTGGTAAGAATCTGAATAACTTCTTGTTTTCTTATTGTCAATATCAACAAATTGATAGTTTGAATTCCTAACTTTTACTTCCACGAAATTTGAACTTTTTGAATATTTGACTACTTGAAAATGGCCATTTCCCATTGGAGGACTAATTCCATTTGGAGATGCAAATGTATTTCCTCCAAAACATATTAAAGAAGCTCCTTTATTTAAATGTGTGAATAATTCTTTTGGCCAATAACCAACTACTTTATCCAGTATTTTTAATGCCCAGTTTCCGCTGAAGCCATCCTAAAATAATTAAACACATATATATATATATATAAACTTTATAAACACAAATAATAAGAAAAATTAACATAAAATAAAATTAAGCTAAAAATGTTATAATAAGATTGAATCCCCGTATTTTGTAAGTTTATTCTTTTTTTTTATAATTGTATCCCATATCACAAAACAAATATATGAATTTTTTTAAACATTTTTGTCAAATAAACTATTTATCACGTATAATACAAACAAAAATTACCTGAAAAATCTGTGGTGGGAAATATGTTATTGCTTTTGCACCATAAATAGAAGTCTTTTCAAACATTTCCCCAACCATGGGAGATCGAGTTACAATAACAAAGCCAGGACATTTAGTATTATAGCATCCAGTTTTTTTATAGCCATCTGCCTGATATATTAAAATGAAACATAAGATAAACTATTAAAACCAATGGTGTGACTTTACTTTTATAGTTAAGAAAGATTTATTGATTTATCATGTATAAAAAATATACTAACAAAATAATGAATTTACTTACTGTCCAATATATTGTAAAACGCGTAAAAGTATCACCATATAATTTTGGATGTACCTAAACAAAATTATGAATTACATGATGATACATACATGCTTCGATTTGAAAATTTTAGTAGTAATATTCTTTCTTGACAAATAATTATAATAATAATAATAATAATAATATAAGTATGTAATACACATTTGACTTTATAAATATAATAATAAATTACTGCCCAACCAACTTGTATGCTATTGAGTTGATCACGAGGTCCATTCTCTATCCAAATTTGACTTTTACTGTATTGGTTGTTTTGTAGAGTTACGTTATGAACACTTATGCCAGCTTGTGCTCCTGTGTAGATGCTTCCATCCAAAACAGTTTCAATTGTTGCAAACTGCATGTATGAATATAAAAGTCAAGTTATTTTAAAAGACTGTCCTCATATAGAATTATGAATATACAAATCGAATCGTTTTAACAAATTGTGCTCGTTTATAATCACAACATTAGTAAGAAGATAATAATGCGAGTCTACACAATATAGTCATTTTATTTATGCTGCAAAGTATATAATTTTTTATATATTATGATTCAGATAATTCAATTAGAAAAAAATGGGAATAAAATATTACATGTTGGCCTGGATACTCGAAAGTTCTCAGTTCCATTTCGTTCTCGTTGAATTGGGACTGTTCCTTTTGGACAACTTTGATCATTTGTTTCATATTTGTTTTCTCTATCAAGGTTTTCATCCAAACTGAATTTTTCCTGTAATGTAACAAAAAAAGAGATTAAGAAAATAAAAAATATTATAAGAGTATGCTCTTCATACATCAAACTATTATCAACACTATACATTGTTACCAACATTTATTGCATATTTGATGGGATCAAGGTCGCTACAATACCTGTATCTTGTGGTGTTTCAATAATGGATGTTGGAAAGCTGGTTGTTTGTATATATCAACACAATCGAAATCCTACAAAATAAATAGATAAAGAAATTTACTTCAAAATGAAAATATCAAATGTTAAGAAATGGAAAAAAAGTAAAAAATATATAATTTTTCTTTGATGTTTCCTTTGACCACTTGCGTTAAAAGCAAACAAGAAAATAGAACAAACACTAAATGTAAAACCATTGTTATATCTTAGGTATATTTCTCCATTAACATTAATCCATCATATATAAACTAATTTCAGTCAACAACTTATCAATTTAATACTAACATCATACCCAAAAAAATTAATTTATTGCTAGTCTCACTACTTCATATTTTATGAACTTACCAAAAGTGTTAATTACAAAAATTTAATTGCTAAACTAAGCTGTAAGAAGTCAAAAAAAATGTTATAGAAATATAGTATCTTAGTATATAACTGAAAATTTTGACTAAAATAGAAATATAATTAATAAGATTTGAATGTTATGGATTTATGGTTTAGTCAACTGGTTATATTTAGATGATATGATTAGGGGCAGATCTAGAAATTAATTTCATCAGGGGCAAACATGCATTTTAACCTTGTAATATAGAGTTAACAACAGGGGCAGATCAACAATTATACCTAAAATTACACTAATTTGAAAAATTCATGGGGGGCAACTGCCCCTCCTACTTCTAACCTAGATCCAGAAATAACAGTAATTAAAATAAAAATTGATATGAAAATTCAACAAAATTAATTAATTAAATAAAAATAACAGTAAATTGATATGAAAATTCAGAAATACAATTCTAAAATAATTAGAAGTTACTGGAATTATGAGTTAGTACCCAAATTAAACAAATTTTACTTTTGCTTTTCATTTTACAAGGTTAACATAAATGTTTATGCTAGCTTATGTGGGTGCCTTTTGTACCAATATCTGTTTCACTATAAACAAAAGATTTACTACTTCATTTTTTTTCTTTCTTTCTAATAATTGTAGAACATTGATAAGAGATGGCAAAAAAGATGGAGTATAAAAGTATAATATAAAAAGTAATTCATTAATACTGTTTTCACCTCATCTAAGAATACAAAACATTCCAGTTTTTCAGTGTGGGCAATCGTCTACAATAAATATGATTAATAATTTGCAGTGATGTTCCAAGTTCAACTAGATTCTAGTGTATTCACATGAAGTTGCCAATTGCAGTAACTCGTGTTTTGCTATAAGGAAATGTAGTCTACGCTTTTAGTGAAACTGCTTTGAATATGATAAAGCCTATAAAGCCTACTGCAAATAACCCTAATTTAGTTTTTCTAAATAAATGGAGTTTGTGTAGGACTGTGAACAAAAAGTTCATTTCATTTCTTATTCATGGGAAAACTAAGAGTTAATCCTTTTATTGCAAGTCTATACTAAGTAAAGATAGATAAAACATCAAATTTCTATTACGTGGAAGTAGACATTCATCCGAGTTGTCAAAATTTTGGTTTACAATAAATAAGCATAATTAGGTCCAGGCATTCGCATTTTTGGTTAGGGTATTTTGGTTTATGGTTTATTTAGTTTTAGAGATAAATAAACCATTCACTTTTTTTTTCTTCTAATTATCGGTTGGGGTTCTGTTCGGGTTCATATCGGTTTCAGGTGGCGGAACATCAGATAAAAAATTAAAAATAATAGAGTTTAAATGAAAATAAATTAAATTTTGCAAAAAAAAATGAATAAATATTATTACAAAATTTAGGACATTAACAATATTTTTGATATTTTATTCTAAATATAACTAATATATTCAGTATAGAATTATAATTTTAGATAGTTTGTTTGGAATCTTATATATAATTAGGGAGTTGCTCTCTCCATCTAGAGTGTTCAGCACAAAAACATTAAATTCTATTTAAAATATTTATTAAATATATGACTATTCATATTTATTTACATTTACTAATATTTAATAAAAATATACAAATAAATTAATTAATTAATAAAAAGTATGTGATAATTTGATGTTAAAAGTTATCAAAAAGTTGGAATATAAAATAGAGATGGAGTAAAGAAATATTTAACTTCAAATAGTATATATTTACTTTTTATTTAAAGGATTATCATATTTAAAAATGTTATAATGTGTTTACAAGTTAAAAAGTTATATATAAAAATTAATTAAGATAATAGAAAGCTAATAAAAAATTAGAGTTAGAGTTTGTTTTTCTAAGCAAATAGAAATGGAGTTTTATATGTAAAATTGAAAAATAAGAATATGTTTACAAATTTTAACATTCAGTCAAATGTATATACATATTTATAAATTTTAACTTTCAATCAAATACATATACATGTTTACAGTCTAATAGAAGTAAAAATAAAAGTAAACAAACATACTATTTATAACATGATAAAATTTTAAAATAGGAAACTCGAGATAAAGCGGGGTGTTAATATCATAATAAATTAAAATAAAAACAAATTATTCATATTTTTTAGTGTTAGTGGTTGAGTTAACTCAAAACATAACAAAAACATGAAAATTAACACAGAACCATCATAATTCAAATCAACAAGTTTAATAAAATTAATCAGAAAACTATCCCAAACAACCCGTGCTTGCGCAAGCTTCAAACCTTCAAACCTAGTACAATTAATTATATTTTAGATATCCATTTCGCTTTTTAAATTCGGTTCTGATTTTTTTGCTTTATAAATTTAAAAACCATTTGGGTTTTGTGTCATTTTCGGTTCGATTATATCAAAATTGGTTCAGTTCGGATTTTTTGGTTACGGTTCTTGTACCCAAGCCTAAACATAACATAAACAATATATATGCAAATTATAAGTAAAATATATAAAAAATATATAATAATTTTATCATGTTTTGCTAATATATGATTCTTTTTAAAATAATATGCTTAAGATTGAGAACCCCTTATGATTGCTTTCATTGCAACTTGTATCATTCAAAAAAACAGGGGACCCAGAAAATATTAGCATTATTTCTTTATTTAAAATAAAATATGTTAAGTATATGCAAATAAATTATGTAAATTAAATTAAGAAACATATCATAAATAAAAAAAAGGAACATATCAGTGATTCAGTGAATGAAGATAACTTCAAAATATTAGGCTATTAGCATATACTCCTTTGAGATGAATTATTGCTTTGAATTAAAAGTTACTTCTACTACGTAGAAAAGAATGAGAAAGTCATTTGATGCTTTGAGATCACCTCACTTTTTTATATCATAAAGATGTGGCTAAGAACTTTAGGTTGTTCATGGATTTGTGAGTCCGATCATCCTAAAACTATCATTGACAGTCCTGTTTATCTCAATTTCATCGACATGGCGGTTGAAGAAAATCGTGCAGCTCATAAACAATTTAGGCAATTCAAGTGTGCTAAAGTCAATTAGCCCTAATTTTCACAATCACATATTCGATTTTCGTGTGCACGCAATATCCTTGCGTTTTTGGGGGCCACATTAACAATGTTCAAAGGTTCGTCTTTCAAAAGTATGAGAAATTTAGAGCTTCGGGAAATTAACAATGGTGAAATTAAGACGAATCGAAAGCCAAACAACAAGACAGTTCCTAAACTAAACTAATTTAGTTGAATTAGGCTATCAGATCTCAGCGTTTTCTGTATAGTTTCTGCAACTCCTATAAAGGAGATTTTAAGGAAGATAACGCAGTTTTAAATGACATCATCGATCTGATTCTAACACCAACACGAAAGCTATCCAAGTAATAGTAAATCACAAAGTAAAAGTGCCAACAAAAACATTGGATCTCAGGTTTTTATACTGTCTTAAGCTTTTGAAAGAGATTTGAAGATAACACCAGCAAATCTCCAAAAGCAAGATGAAGACAATAAAAAACCTTCATCGATTCGATCTATTAATACACCAAAACAAAATCGAGATTCGAGTCACATAAAACGGACCAAGTGAAAAAAAGGAGAAGCATCTCAGAATTAAAACCCCATTTTTTTCTTCACTGGCAATCAAAGTGCAAGGATAACAATTTGTGTGGATTCATCACCGATGCTCCATCAAAACAAATCGGACGAAATTAAAAACTATAATCGAATAAGCAGAACTAGGATCAGAGTGAAGGCATCTTAACACAGTAAAAATCAAAAGAAAAGAATCGGATTTTTAGAACCAAGGGCTCGAGACCTATTTATATAAGGCGCCGATAAAAAAAAAAAGACAAAACAAAACCCTACTCCTATGTTTGGTAACTCGTATATCTTAAACCATACCACGGACAGGACACACTAATCTTCCAGGACGATAACTACGTGTCGTTTCAATTAACTCCTCAAAAAACATACGTGCCGTTAAAAATAATAATTTATACTATTAGTTATGTATATCTTTTTTTTAAAAACGTTCAATGGAAAATAATTTGTTAATTATTTATATATATATATATATTTTTTTTTTATATAACTCAGAGTAAATCTCAGATCTGTGGAAGGGTTAGACTAATTCCTAGAAAAGGTGTAATCTACATATAGACTCTCTGTCCGAATATTCAAATAGGCCGAAAGCAATAATTTATTATTTATTTAAAAATAATAATTTATATTATTACGCTAATTTTTGTCCATGCCTTATGTATCATGATCTGTTTCACTATAAATAAAATATTTACTACTTTATTTTCTTTCTCTTTTAAATAATTTCAGAAAATTGTTAAGAGATGGCAAAAAAAATAGGGTATAAAAATATAAATAATATAAATTAATTTATTAGTGTTAGAAAGAATAATTATCTTCATCACAATATTATATTGTTTGCTTATAGGTGAAGTTTTTTCACCGTCATCAAGTCGGTGACTTGATTTCTTTAATACTTTTAGCTCCCTATAAATACATGTACTTGTAACTTGTTATTCATAAGTTCAATACAAAAAATTCACTACTCTCTTCTCTCACATACAAAATCTCTCTTACCCTATCTCCCTCACATCAAACGTAACTCTCTCCTCTCTCCTTTCCATCTCTCTCATCTCTCTCTCTTTTATTAACAAGTTATATCAATCCACTATATCAATATATAGTGGTACATCTTAGTTAGTTTATATCACGTTATCAGCACGAACTGCTCTTATATTATGTTTTATTGTTTATATGCTATGCCGGGATGGTAGGCTATGCCTTCTCCGAGCCGATTGTTATGGTAGGCTTTGTCTCCACAATCGAAAAATCATTTCTTAAGCCGGGATGCTAGGTTGTACCTACTCCGAGCAAATGATCATATGGTAGACTATGTCACCTTAGATCATATAAGAGTTGATGGTGAAACCTCCTCTTGGAGTAGAGGCTTTGCCTCCTCCTGAATATTTACTTTTCTGTAATTTACTTTTTCGCTATTTACTTTCTGCCATCTAAATTTCTGCTAATTTATACTGTTATAATGCTCAATTTTTTTGCAAAATTTGAATTTGAATTTATATTTAATGAACTGATCTATGATCTATGCAGATATCATGTCAAATTTGGCTAAGCTCGAAATTTCCGCCCTTGATATTTCTGGAAACAATTATATGACATGGGCAATAGGTGCAAAAATGCATCTAAAAGGAAATGGGCTTCTTGATGCCATTGACAAGTCGAAAGAGACGCCAGATGAGAAAAAGGCGAAAGCCATGATCTTTCTACTTCATCACATCCACGATGGTTTAAAAGATGAATACATCACTAAAGAAGATCCTGCGGATCTTTGGCAATCTTTGAAAGAAAGATTTGACCATCAAAAATATATAGATTTGCCCAAAGCCAAATACCAGTGGCTATATCTCCGGTTTCAGGACTATAAAAGTGTTGTTGAATATAATTCTGCTTGTTCAGAATAATTTCCAAGATGGTGCTATGTGGAGAAAATGTGAGCGATTATGATATGATTGAAAAAACGCTCTCCACATTTCACCCTGGAAATATAGTCCTGCAACAACAATATCGGGCAAATGGCTATACTCGTTATTCAAAATTGATGGATGTTCTCCTTGTTGCAGAACAGAATAACGAGCTTGTGATGATGAACCATCAGACTCGTCCCACTGGAGCTGCTCCATTCCCAGAAGCGAATGTAGCATCGTCCAGCCAAAATAATGGACGAGGACGTGGACGTGGATATGGTCGAAACCGAGGTCGTGGCCGTGGCCGTGGACGTGGTCGGGGACAAGGAAAAGAGTACCGTCCCGACGAGTCCAACAATGAAAGGAATATAAAAGATCTCGAGCAAATGATTACGGCCGAGATTCTAAAAAGCAAAAAGAAAGTGTTTGCTACAGATGCGGCATGAAAAATCACTGGGAGCGTACTTGTCGTACACCCAGACACTTAGCCGATCTGTACCGGGAATCACAAAAAGCAAAGGAGAAAGAAAGTGAGACTAACTTCATCTCCAATGAACCCGGTCCTTCCTTTCACGGCCTAAACGATGATACTCATCTTGATGTTTCAGATTTTCTGGTTGACTCCGAAGAGATCAACGGAAAAACAGACGACTAAAAGGACATGATATACATAGTTATCTTCCTGAATAAGATAACCTAAAAGTTTGATCTTTTTGTTGTAAAATAGTTTTTAATGTGGTATTTTGTATCTTGTGATATAAGCTTTGTATTGTTTAATACTTATTAATGCATCTTTGTTAAATCCAGAAATGACGAAATTTGAGACTCGTGATGGAGATATGTGTCTTGCAGACAGTGCTACAACGCACACAATACTCAAAGATAAAAGATATTTCTCCGGTCTCAAAATTAAAGATTCCGTTGAAAGCGTGAATACCATTTCTGGTGGTGCAAAAATAATATTGGGCTCTGGAAGAGCCAATTTTTCAATGCCAAGGGGAACAAAGTTTGAAATAAATGATGCATTATATTCCCCGAAGTCTTATAGAAACTTATTGAGTTTCAAAGATATCCGTAAAAATGGATATCACATAGAGACTATAAATAAGAATGGCATTGAAATCCTTTGCATCAAATCGGAGGGACAAATATTGGAAGAATTGAAAATGATGTCCTCCGGATTATATTGCACAAATATTACTCTGACTGAATCATATGTTACAGTAAACCCGAAGTTTACTAGTACATTCAAAATCTGGCATGAAAGGCTAGGGCATCCAGGTTCAGTCATGATGAGAAAAATTGTGCAAAACTCAAATGGCCATCCGTTGAAATACGGGAAAATTTTAGAAACGGGCGAGTTCATATGTAATGCATGTTCTCAAGGAAAACTCATAACTCGGCCATCACCAGCGAAAGTTGGGAATGAATCCCCTGTGTTCTTAGAGAGAATACACGGTGATATATGTGGGCCTATTCACCCACCATGCGGACCGTTTCAATACTTTATGGTATTAATTGACGCATCAAGTAGATGGTCACATGTGTGTCTTTTGACAACACGAAATACGGCTTTCGCAAGATTCATTGCCCAAATAATCAGGTTGAGAGCACAATTCCCTGATTATACTATTAAGAAAGTGAGATTAGATAACGCTGGTGAATTCACTTCACAGCCTTTAATGACTATTGCATGTCATTGGGAATCGATGTTGAGCATCCGGTTCCACATGTCCATACACAAAATGGCATGGCTGAGTCTTTGATTAAACGGTTGCAACTGATTGCAAGACCGTTAATAATGAGAACAAAACTCCCAATTTCAATATGGGGTCATGCTATTTTGCATGCTGCAGCGTTGCTCCAAATACGACCAAGTGCTTATAATATATATTCCCCATTGCAATTAGCATCTGGTCAGGAGCCAAACGTATCCCATCTCCGTGTTTTTGGTTGTGCGGTTTATGTTCCGATAGCACCGCCACAAAGAACAAAAATGGGGCCACAAAGGAGATTGGGAATATACGTTGGGTATACGTCACCGAGTATTATTCGGTATCTTGAACCTCAAACTGGTGATATGTTTACGGCACGTTTTGCCGATTGCCATTTTAATGAAGATGAATTTCCAGCGTTAGGGGGAGGAATTAAAGAGGTTCCAAAAGACCTCACATGGTGTACACCGAATTTGTTACACTTTGATCCCCCGACAAAACAACGCGAATTGGAAGTTCAGAAAATTATACATTTACAAAATATGGCAAATCAATTACCAGACGCGTTCACAGATACAAAAAGAGTGACGAAATCATATATACCCGCTGCAAACGTTCCATCAAAGATAGATGTTCTAAGGAACAAAATGATGGAAGCATAGCAAATGCACCCAAAGTCCAATTAAAGAGGGGGAGGCCGATGGGCTCTAAAGATAAAAATCCCCGAAAGAAAAAGAATTTGGGAGAAAAGGTTCAAGAAGAACCTTGTAAAGAAATATGTCTAGAAGACATAAACAAATGGTTTTTGAAGAACCAGAGAAAGAGATTCGTCCAGAAGACGAACATGATACAGAAAAATTTGAGATTTCCATCAACTTCGCCCAAAATGGAAAAGTATGGACAAGAAATGAAATAGAAGATGATGATGGAATATTCTCTTTTTCTGTATACAAAGAATTGATCATGAAAGTGATGATCCAGATCCAGAAACAATATCAGAGTGTCTCAAAAGACCTGATTGGGAGAAATGGAAAATGGCCATCCAAGCTGAATTACTCTCCCTCAATAAAAGAAGTGTTTTTGGACCTATTGTCACAACTCCTGAGAATACAAAACCCGTCGGGCACAAATGGGTTTTTGTAAGAAAAAGAAATGAGAAAAATGAGGTCACAAGATATAAAGCCCGACTTGTGGCTCAAGGTTTTTCTCAAAGACCGGGAATTGATTATGAAGAAACATATTCCCCAGTAATGGATGCCATAACATTCAGATTTTTGATGAGCTTAGCAGCGTCTCAAAATCTTGAAATGTATCTCATGGATGTTGTGACAGCATATCTATATGGATCTCTTGAAAATGAGATATATATGAAAATCCCAGAAGGGATTAAAAATGCCTGAGGATTTGAAATCAAAGGCTAAGGAGATCTGTTCGGTCAGATTACAGCGATCACTTTATGGACTAAAACAGTCCGGACGCATGTGGTATAATCGCTTAAGTGAATATTTGTTGAGTAAAGATTACGTCAACAATGCGATATGCCCTTGCGTATTCATTAAGAAATCCTCGTCAGGATTTGTGATTATTGCTGTATATGTAGATGACCTGAACATGATTGGAACTCAAAAGGAAATTGATGATGCAAGAACTCATATGAAAGAAGAGTTTGAAATGAAAGATCTTGGAAAGACAAAGTTTTGTCTTGGGCTCCAGATAGAGCATTTCCAAGATGGTATATTTGTGCATCAGTCAAATTACACTAAAAGAGTGTTAAAACGCTTTTATATGGACAAAGCAACTCCTTTGAGTACTCCAATGGTTAATAGATCTCTTGATGTTGAAAAGGATCCATTCCGTCCTTGTGAGGATAACGAGGAAGTGTTAGGTCCTGAAGTACCTTACATGAGCGCTATTGGTGGACTAATGTATCTTGCAAATTGCACTAGACCAGATATAGCATTCGCTACTAATCTGCTTGCAAGATATAGTTCGTCCCCTACGCGCAGACATTGGAATGGAATAAAACATATTTTTCGTTATCTTCAAGGATCAATTGATTTAGGATTATTTTATCCTAAAAACTCAAAATGTGTTTTAGTTGGTTTTGCTGATGCAGGATATCTATCAGATCCACACAAAGCTAGATCACAAACAGGTTATGTTTTCACAATTGGTGGAACCGCGGTCTCCTGGCGTTCGCAAAAGCAAACTTTGGTTGCAACGTCTTCAAATTATGCAGAAACTATTGCTCTCCATGAAGCATGTAGAGAGTGTGTATGGCTCCGGTCTATGACTCATCACATACAAGAATCAAGTGGAATAGTCATAGAGAAAGAGCCAACAAAAATATTTGAAGACAATTCTGCATGTGTCACACAACTCAAAGAAGGTTATATCAAGAGTGACAGAACGAAGCATATTCCTCCAAGATTTTTCTCATACACTCAAGAACTCCAGAAAAATCAAGAAGTGGACATCGAGTATATTCGTTCAAGTGACAATGCAGCCGATCTTTTTACAAAGGCGCTTCCTACTACAGTGTTCAAGAAGCATGTTCACAGTATTGGAATGCGTCGTCTACAAAACTTTGAAAAGAAAAGATTATATCTTTTCCAGGGGGAGATTATGCTGCGGTACTCTTTTTCCTAAGTCATAGTTTTTATCCCATTGGGTTTTTCTATGACATAGGTTTTTTAACGAGACCGTACATAATACATAGCGGATAATTAAGGGGGAGTGTTAGAAAGATAATTATCCTCATCACAATATTATATTGTTTGCTTATAGGTAAGTTTTTTCACCGTCATCAAGTCGGTGACTTGATTTCTTTAATACTTTTAGCTCCCTATAAATACATGTACTTGTAACTTGTTATTCATAAGTTCAATACAAAAAATTCACTACTCTCTTCTCTCACATACAAAATCTCTCTCACCCTATCTCCCTCACATCAAACGTAACTCTCTCCCTCTCTCCTTTCCATCTCATCTCATCTCCTCTCTCTTTTATTAACCAAGTTATATCAATCCACTATATCAATATATAGTGGTACATCTTTAGTATAGTTTCATATCAATTAGTACTTTTTTCAGCCCAGACATTCCAATTTTCAATTTGGATAATCCTTTACAATAAATATGATTAATACTTTGAGATTGTTATTGCATCCGAATTCCACACCTAAAATCCAGCTTACAAGAGTCCATTATTCCGATTCAGAACTAAAGGCCAAAGCCCACCTAGATTTAGAAGAAAAACCTCGAACTCATCAAATATTTCTGTCGATGCCTATCTAAATGACATTCGAGCTATTTCGGTCCACTTAAGACGAGCTGTAACTAAATCAAGAACCAGTTCATCATGACAAAGCATAACAGATCGAGACCGCTTTTCACCTGATTTTTATTTAGAAATTACCTATTTTTCTTTTAGATTCATCTGGTACTTTTCTTCTAAAAAAAAATGTTCTTTTTCTCTTCAGAATTTTTTTGTAACATTTTTCATTTGATTAATACAAATCATTTTCTCTAAATCCTTATTTACGAATGAAGACTTAGCCTTAAACCCTACTCCTATGTTTGGTAACTCGTATATCTTAAACCATACTACGGACAGCAGGACACACTAATCTTCCAGACGATAACTGCGAGTCGTTAATTAAATCCTCTAAAAACATGCATGCCGTTTTATGAAAACCACACGGTTAAAAAAGCTTCGTCGTGGAAGCAAGAAGCTCCACATGAAAATTAGTAACGAAGTAATCTGAACCGCAGAAACCAGAAACGTGTCAAACTGTTTCTGTAAACTTTGGTCATCAAGCAAGTCGTAACAATGACGCGTTGCGTCTTTTGAAATTTCGTCTGATTTTGTTCCAACAACAGCCAAAATCCGTTTTGAGTTTATCGATATCTCCTTCTATATATATACTGAAATATAATATACACATATCAAATGCTGACCACACATTTGCGTTTAGCAACCGCAAAAACCAAACTGATAAATAGCAATCCAATGGGAGCAGTATTCGGCAAAACTTACATAATGGGAATGGTTTTTGGTAAAATCGTTGTGGAGACTCCAAAGTACACGGTGCCCAAATCCGGCGACGGTTACGAGATCCGTGAATATCCACCGGCGGTTGCGGCGGAGCTCACTTACGATCCGTCGGAATTCAAGGGCGACAAAGACGGCGGGTTTCAGGTCTTGGCCAAGTACATAGGCGTGTTTGGCAAACCGGAGAACGAGAAGCCGGAGAAGATCGCGATGACGGCTCCGGTGATCACGAAGGAAGGAGAGAAGATCGCGATGACTGCTCCGGTGATCACGAAGGAGAGCGAGAAGATCGAGATGACTTCCCCGGTTGTGACTAAGGAAGGAGGCGGTGAAGGAGGGAAGAAGATGGTGACGATGCAGTTTCTGTTGCCGGCGGTGTACAAGAAGGCGGAGGATGCGCCGCGTCCGACGGATGAGAGAGTGAGGATTATAGAGGAAGAAGGGAGGAAGTACGGCGTGGTTACGTTCAGTGGAACGGCGGGGGAGAGTGTGGTGAGTGAGAAGGTTAAGAAGCTTACTAGTGATCTCGAGAGAGATGGGTTTAAGGTCACCGGAGATTTCATCCTCGCTAGGTTTAATCCGCCATGGACGTTGCCTCCGTTCAGGACCAATGAAGTCATGATTCCAGTTGAATGATATCTTTAATATCTGAAGTTTCAAGCTTTTGGTTTCAAGAACTTGTTTTTCTTTTTCCACAGTGTGTTTGTAGTTGAAACTTGAAAGTGACAGAACAATAATGTATACAATGTGAGCTTTCGGTTTAAAACTTCTATGAATCAAGAACGAAGTGCTTATTCTAACAAAGGCCAAGAGAAAAAAAGTTGCAGAGATGTTTTGGACTGGATTGTGACCTTATTATTAACCGGAGAAGAGCTTAACAACGATGACTATCAAGTTAAAGAGCATAAGAGGAAGCCTCATGTATTGACAGGCGTGGATGAGACCGATGATTTGGCCTTTAAGAGAGTTTCTTTTGCCTGTTTGGTGGAGTTCTGCGAGTGTCCATCCTTTGGGAGCTAGAAAACGGTCTTCGTTGAGGATAGCAAGCGCGTTTGCAAATAGGAGCAATCCTTCCATTAGCGTCCAGAATCCCATGATTTCTCTGTGTGACACACCAAATGATTGAGAACAATCAAAAACCCACTTGTAATTTTACTCTATACAAGTGGTCCATGAAAATAGCATAAGGAAAATCTTGATTCTAACACATTAATGAGCACTAACCAATTGCAATACTATACTATCTACAAGTATAATAATCATTTCCAGTGAGCTAGGAAGGTCCTGGTTGTCATTATAACATCTCCAGGCAATAGAATCATCACATAAGCATCTCCAAAATAGCAAAAAAATTTAGTGGAGCTAAGAACACTAGACATGTCTTTCTCATGATATCTATGGATCCTCATGCTCAGTAGCTGAAGCAGCCTAGAGAATGAGTTATCATTTTATATGTGAGGAACACAGTAGAGATCAGACTTGGATGCTATGTTACATGACGATCCTAGCGAATCCATTAGCCTAAGAGAAATGTTGAAAATGCTATAAGAGCCTAAGAAGGATTTTACTTTTGAGAGGAAATACATACCGAGAGTTAAGGAAACTTGACGTTAAGCTCAAGTCTTGTTTATAATGCTGGCCTCAAAATTCTGTAGAAACGGATAACACAGTACACAAATTCCCCATTTTATCAATGTATGCTCTGGATTCACTTTCCTAAGAAAAAACGATTTTAGATGCAGAAACTTAAGAGTAATCCAAATCCTGCCAAAATAGATAATTGATTGCTCACATACAATCGTTAAGTATAAATTCATCCAAGATCCACGATCTCTAGTAATTTGATTGATTGATCTCCCTACAGAAATGAACCCCAAATCTCGAAACTAAACTTTCAAAAGGAAGATCGATTTTTTTTTCACAAAAGCGCCAATCAAAACTGAGAGCTGAACCAAGACCAAAATCATCACCGGAAAGTGTCATCCCGTCGGAAATCAGCAGCTAGAGAGAGAAAATTCCGACGGAGATAGAAGCAGAGGAATAAGGAATGAAGAGAGGAAGAGAGAGATACTTACAGTAGATTCGAAATCGAGAATCGAATTAAGGTTGAATGTGAGATCTTGTTGAAGAAACGAAAGACCACGAAGCTTTAGCCTGCAATTTGTTTTTTTTTCCCTTCACATTTTTAACTTTAAAGTTTAAACCACTAACTCTTAATAAACCATAACCGGGTTAACTTAACGCAATTCTAAATTATTCCCGGTCAGGACCCGGTATGACTTTTATTGTTCTTTTGCTTTCAATCTGCATTATCTCTGTGGTACACAAGGCAAGAGTTGTGAACTCCAATCACAACTTGTGATCAAGAAAGCAATCAACATTGAAGCCTGAGAATCTTGTATAATCCTTATACCCCAATGTACAATGAATCTTTGATGGCCAAACAAACAAAAATCATGTTTCTTGACAAGAACCAAGTCATATATGTCTCTCTATTGGTTTCCTCTGCTCTGAAGAGAGACACAAAAGACCAAAAATAAATTGCTATATCTTTTAATGATCCTGTATGGTGTGTGCATCGATTCTACAAACTGTATAGAGATCTTCCAAGAGAAACCGTCTTCTTCTTCGTTTTTTCCTATATTGTACAAGAAGGCTAAAAACCAAAAAAAGAAGTTGAATCAATCTGTTGTGTAAAATGTTCAGTGCTTCTTGTTTCCTTCTATCTTGAAACACTCTTCTTCCATCTATCTGACTCTGTTCTTAAACTTGTTTCCCAGGATTTCTCCCCAGGCTGAGACTTGTTACAGATACAATCCGGTTGTGGGTTTGCATAGAAATTCTCCTCAAGCCGAGGAAACTCACCGGCAAGTCTCTCATAAGGCGCACCAATCCTCTCTCCATGCAATCTCTTCACCTCTGAACAAAACTCTTCCCATGACATCACTCCTTCGTCTAAATGATCTATCAGTCCAACAAAACTCAACCTGTGACATTCACAGAAACTCCATATAAGTAAACAAAAGTTTTAAAGAGAAAAAAATGTAGAAAGAGAGTAATGATTTTCAAGACCTGTCTGGATTGATAGTCTTCTTAAACCCTTCAAACCTCCTGTGACCTTGCACAGCCTTAGCCATATTCCCATCATAAGTATACACAAAGACATCGCTCTCGAGCGCCACAATGTAATCCAAAGCAGCCAAGCGGTTTTGGTAAGGCTTAAAAGGTTCTAACTCTTCATCAGTGGCTAAAGTTGAATGAGAGAAGACGTTTGGGTACTCTTCTCTGAAAGCATCCATACTGTTCCCTCCGTAGATCTCACCAGCTACTATGTAGACAGTCGTAGAAGACGGATACCCCATTGCCTTCAAGAATATCGCCGCTTCTCGTGGAGACATCGGACAACCGCCTTGTATCCGCCTCTCTCTGCTGTCAATCTCTTTCTCCTTCCAGTGTTTCACATTGTACCTCATGATTCTCAGCTCTTCTGCTTCTCCTGCTGTGAGGTTGTGGCTGCAGCCTGTGAATGCAAGCATGTCTTTCTCGTATCTGCATTTTTACAAAGACTCAATCTTGTCAAGAAAGAAACAAGAATGAGGGATGAAAGAGGATATATCAGACTATGCATTACCTCAAGTGGAGAGCAATGAAAGGTTCACTGTTGTTTCTTAACCGGTTAACAAGAACTTCACCAAAATCTTGAATCTCCTTGGAGTAACCTAATGCCTGGTAATTAGCACGGCATCTAAGCCGTTGGATCGATGGTGGCAAGCCGTTGTTGGCGAGGCGTGAATCAGTGTGTGTGAACTTTATCACTTTGTGTTTCTTCAACAGTGGTAGCATCTCGCTTTTGTAGTAACTAGCCTGCATTCAAAAGCTTGCAACTTTTTAAACCACAACTGAGAAAAATCTGTTTTGGGGAAGTGGTAGAGACAAAACATACAGACCTTGGACCAAGAAACAGGAGCCTTGAGGAGAGGTCTCATGGCTGCATAACGAGGAGGCAAGTACTCGATAATGTCAACGTCATCTTTCAACACGTTCATGAAGTGTCTCCAGTCAAAAATGTCTTTGAAAGTGCTGCAGATTATTACAAAGAATGTCTCATCAAAATGTCTTGTAGCTTTGTTGTGTAGAGTAAATAAGATATAAAACCTTGGGTCGGTCCAGAAAGATTCATGGTCGAGGAGAGGAAGAACAAGAGTCGCATTCATAATCTTTGCTACAGCAACCATGTCACATATCTACATGTTGATTTGACAACAATCAATAAAGATAGGTAAAGTAAACAAGAGATCAAAATTTGTGTAAAACACTCACGCCAGTTCTCATCTGATTCAATCCTCCATTAGCGTGTACAAGAAGATAACCGTTGGTTTTCCTACGCAGCCCTGAACCAGACACAATTTCAGACAACCAAAACAGAAACTGCAACACTCTTGTACAATGAATCTGAAAATGCAAAAAGGTAAGTGCTTTTACTTGAACGGTTCTTGGGACGTGACGCACACTTACGGTAATTTCCACTTTCCGGTTTCTGCCATATTTCCGGAATCTGTAGAAAAACGCCGCCGCGAAACGCTTTAATATCAAAGTCAAAACAGAATTCATTTCATACATTGAAGGAACATTACAGAATCAGTTCACACTCAAACAAAAGTTAAATCTAGTCAAAGTTCATGAATTTGCAAACCTCCCAACAATTAAATGCATTGCTTTAAAGCATTGCCAAACTCAAAGGAATAAAGCATTAAAGATCTTTCATGTAAAGTCTTCTCCAACAATCGAAAAGGTCACAAAGTGACAAAATGTCAGGGCTTTTTTCCAGTGATTATTCAATAAACAATAATGCGTCGGTTTCAATAATACTCCAGCAAAAGATTAGCAGAAGGTCAATGGAAACTGTAGAGAAGTGATGATGATCCATACCAAACAAAACCTGCCTAAATTCCATTTGACTATTCCTCGTCAAATCTTTGTAACGAATTTTGATTGGTAAATGACATAACTAGTAGCTTAAATTAATGGAAATTAATCTGCCAGTGACGCAATCAATACAAAACATTCCGAGAATTCCACATGTATCATACCACCTCTACCCCACTTTTCTATTATAGAATTTTCCCGAGAAAACGAACAAAAACAGAGCAAGAGTTTCTGTTAAAAATCCGATCTTTGATTGATCAACAAAGTTAGAAAAACAGAGGATCAAGTTAAAACTTTGTTCGCATTGATAAAAACAAAAATTGATCAGAGGCATTGATTGGTCAAAATGACAAAACTAATTGGAGATTTGGGGTGTTCATAAATTGGTCATCGATCAGAAAAAAAAAACCCAAAAAGTTTCGTTTTTTTTTCTCGGGAAAGTAAAAAAATTTCAATGCAAAGAAGAAGAGAAAAAGGTAAAAAAAAACTCACGGGAAGCTTCTCAAAAGCAACGTTCTCTGTCATTGCGCGTTGAGCCATGGACCAATCTTCGTGTAACGCCCTAACGACGACGAGCTCGTTCAAATCTCTCCGGTGCGCGTGGTCAACGACTCGGCCACCCATGAGAGAGACTCTGAGGAAGAGAGAAGCGACGACGAGAAACATGAGAAGACCCAAGATCCGACGGCCCACATTTCTCCCGAAACAGAATCCTTGACCCACCACAGCCGTCGATCCACCACCGTCGCAGAGAAACGGCAGCCGCAGTTTTCGGTGGAGAAAGTACCGAATCGTCGGGTGGTGGTGGTGGTAGTGATGATCGTGGTGGTAATGGGATCCGCTCGACGAGGAACCCATCGAGGAAGGTGAGGAGCACGCGCCGTTTTGTCCGATGGCGTCTCCGTCGTCTAAATCCGGCGAGACGGAGATGTTGACTGTGTTGCAGTAATCGGAGGAAATGGAGGGTCGTTCGGAGGTGGTTGTTTCCTGTGAATCTCCGACGCGTCGGCGTGTGGTGGTGGGTCCGGCAGTGATTGGTGCAACGGCCAAAGGGCTAGCGCCGGCCGCCGACATATCGCCGCCTGAGAATCAAAAATCAATCTCGGAAAAGCGCCAAAACAAAAAATTAAAGAATGTATTTTTAGAGAGAGAAAGGGTTGGTTTTTTTTTTTGGTTTTTGTTTTTTGAGTTTTTTTTTTTAATTTGGGTAATTTGATTTGAGGGTTAGTGGTTGGCCATGTTATGGTTTTTGTTTGGGTATTAGCCACCGTGATATTCGGCGAAGCTGAGAGCCGTCGAAGCTCTCTCTCTGTCTAATCTCTGTTTCTTTCGTTCGTATTGTAATATTTTTCACCCCTATTTTTCACGCATATTTATGCTTGTGTATGTATGTTTGTGGGCCTTTGGCCAATCATTTCATTCGTTTCCCGTTATTTTTACTTTAATTTTAATTTGTGGAAATACAAACATTTTATTTTTTATATTATTTTCTATAGAAACTACTCCATATTTTACAATCATTTTATTCACAGAATATGGCGTTCGTATTGCATACAATAAAAACATCACCGTGAGTGAGTCCGTGACGATGTACTATTATAGTATTTGATCTTGAAATGCTCGTATTGGTTATCTTTGTTTCTAGCTTGCGTAACATTAGAAAGTTGTTCTCAATGAAAATATAAATACCCTTAAAAAGATTACCAAAAAAAAAAAAACCCTTAAAAATTGCTCTAGGTTAAACAAAAGCAAGTTTTTGTGATTTTCATAAGGGTTTTAACTTTCAACAATACATATAGTCAAATGACTCAAATCAATTCATTTAAACATCCCCGCAGTGCACACATTCACAAAGTGTGACATTCTCACTACACACTACAAATTACTAGTTCATAGAATCATAGTGTCACACTAAATTGTAGTGTGCTACATTACATTCAATATGGTGTCAACTTTGATATACAACCTTATAGTCGGGAGAACCGAGAACATATATAAAACCCTTTAATATTTTTAAAGAGAAATTACGCACGAAATTATTAATTGGTATTGTTATCGTTATTGTTACATTATCTTACGACAGTTTTATATGCGATTACCTCACTTAGCACGACACATGTGCCACGCCACACATGTCGCTCGTTTCCCCCTTAATTACTTTTGTTAATTAGGAAAACAAACTTCCAACTTAGTTGCTATCATTACCTGTTTTAAAAAGTATTTTATTTTCCTCTAATTGTGCATGTTTGAGCTATTTGATGTAATTAGGAATTGAAAAAATCTGAAACTCTGAATTAATTTGTATCATGTGGACCAAACCGTAGATTTGCCGCCAATATAATTGAACACGTAACCCTCAACACATACATCAGGGTCATGCATCAGCCTCCTATCCGATGCTACCACGTGTATACATGCCAAACACTTTCCGGATCTCAAGCCGGTCCGCAAAAGCACCACCAGCGGAAAATTCGTTTTCTGCATCTTCTTGGTGCATTAATGGCCGTTGGATCCGAATCAGACGGCCGATACACGATCTCTCTCGATCCTACATGTGAACTTGTCACTTGCGTAAGTAAAGTACCATATCATTTGTATATTTTTCGGACGAAGAATAAGAAATGTGAAGACGGTGGACGTTGAAATAGTGTTGCAAAATCGATTTAGTTACTTACAAATGTCAACAGGTATATCACCTCACCATCGTTTATCTGTAAATGGAGTTTAGTTTCTTAGTTTGGCTTTCACCTGTTCTCAGTTATTATAATTATGTAATTTTGGGCTTTTGAAAATTTCATTTCAACATGTAAAGAAAATATTCTAGATATGGTAAAATTAATTTTCATTTTATCTCAGTTTTATAATGTTTTGAACGTAGTGAATATTACTGTAGTGTAGTGTGTGTTTATAAGAGTTGACTGTTGTCTATTTAGGATGTACAAATATGCAAAAAATAAGAGATTATCAGTTGTAAGAGTTATAAATTTCATATTCAACGTACAGTGTAAACGACTAAAATCTTGATGATGAGTATTCGTTTGTGAATTGACCAGTCATATAGAAACCGTAGAATTGTGTGTTTCTTAACGCCAAGAAAGCAATTACAAGACGAAACCGTGGAGGAATTAATTCCACATGAAATCTCTTGTTTCTGTTAAGAATTATCTGACGTTGAAAACTGGTTTGGTTTATTTAGAGGTTAGTTTTTGTTTTTTAATGAAGAAAGGTTATTAGACTGTTGGAGTATATAATGATATAATCTTCTTCGTCCAAAGAAGCAAGTGAAGTGGAAAAAATATACAAGAAGAAATCATGTTGAAACAGAACCTTAAAAACGTATAAAATCTTAATGTGTATGCTGCGTTGAGAATTATTTATTTTGAAAGGGATCGTTGCGGGTGTAGAGTGCACATAACAAAGACGCACGCAAGAGATAACCGGTGAGACTGAGAGATGACATTTACTGTACAGTAGTTCTTTGTACCAACGATCATGTTATCGTATAAGTAAGATATGTGTAGTTAAATTTTGCTATTTCTTACTTATGACAAATCTAATTAGTGGACGTCTCGTAGAAACCAACCAAAATACCCACTATATATATCGATCGTGTATCACGTTTTATGTTCTAACAATTTATGGATTGATAATACAATGACTTAATTTTGTACATTTGAGAACATATAGAATAATTAAGACATGTCTTCCGTTCCTAGATGAAACAAGTATTGGCGGATCTCGAAATTATTTTGATTGAAGGGATTATGAGACATAAACGTTGGAGTAACTGGGTGCAAATATAGTTTGACCACTTAATCCACCATTTCTTCACAAAACTACATATAAAATTTCAATACTCATATTTTCAACAGGAGTAATTAACTGCCACCTCTCACTTGGCTCTAGATCCGCAGATGGAAACAACTAGAAACTCAAAATGGATCCTATCAGATGTTTTCTAGGCTAGATTATATTCGGTGGTAACTCGGAGTGATAAATCTTTTCCAAATAACTCAACGTATGTAAAGCCGTAGGTTCTTTCATTATTTGTTACTTGTTAGTTCCCTTGAACTCACGACCAAGAGATTCTCTACTTTCTTGTCTTTTCAGATCTTTTGGACAGTAATCATTTTCAAGTGTTCCACCTTCTTCACATTTGAATGTTATATATGCTTGAAACTTTATACTCGAGAGACCAAATTAGTCTTATTTATCGATTTCAAACATATTTTATGTTGGTTCCGTGTTCGAACACCTTCACATTCTTTTGTTCCAATGTCATTCTCTTTTTTTTTTGATAACTCAAGGTAAATCCCAAGCCTATAGAGGAGCTTGGACTAATAACCCTGGGGGAGGTGCAACCCACGGATAGACCATCTCTCCGAGTATTCAAATGGATCGAATATTCAAATGGATCGAAAGCAAAGGTTTATATCCATGTGGTCAAATGGGATAATTCTACTAATTTCGCGCTTGAGGGGAATTGATCTTTGGTCTTGACCAACAGGGCAACTCCTCCATCAAGTGGAAACCACTAGACCACCCCCACTTGGTTTATGCCATCATGTCATTGTCTCTTCTTGCTTCTGTTAATAAAAGACAAGGAGAAATCTTGCGTTTTGATATCAAAACATGACGATCGAGTCGCAAACGTCGGGTTAATGGCATGCTCTCGATTAAACAAAACGAAAATGTCACAAAGGTGCACATGCTTTATATGTATGTTTCTAACTATGAGAAGTTGAGTGCTTTGCTTAAAAACCTTTTCTTAAGCGTGGGATTGAAACTGTAACTGAAAAAACTAATTCGAACAAACCAAGACCAAAATGTGTTTATTAGCCGATTGGTTCTATTAATCGGAATCAAAAATTCAAAACGGAGCTGAAACCAACTTTACTGGAACCGAACCAAACCAAATAGAGCTTTATAAACCCAAGTAATTTAAATTTTATATTTTCATACTATATAAACACATTTATTCCAACTAAGAAAAAGTCAAAAACACATTTGAAATTCATACAATCATAATTAAAAGCATGGTTTTGTTATTATATTTCAAGTTAAAAATAAACAAACCGAATATTTTTTTGTGTGTAAATAAACCGAATCTAATCAAACAAAAAAGCAAACTGAACCAAACAAAAAAATCACTAAACCGAAACGGTACAGACATTATAAACGATTTTGAGAAAACCATACAATTTTTCGTTATTTAACTTGAGAGAGAGAGAGAAAAGGTTTAACTCAAAAAAAAATTCCCAAAACCCTAAAAAATCTAGTCTGTCTTTCTTCCTCCACTCCCAATTCCAAACACTGCGACGGGAAGAGACATGGACATGGAGACAGACCAACAAATCTACCAGGTCGATGTCGGAAACCTTCTCGCTTTCAATCCCAATCACCAGTTCCCTTCTGCTCCTTCTTCAAGGTTCACCTTTCTCTCCTTTCTCGTCTCATCTTCCTGTAGCTCCTGCTGAGTTCCTCGGCGGTGGCGGCTCAACTTTTTATTTTATTTTCTGTGTTATGATTGCCTTTCATCTTAATTTAATCGATTTGTGGTCGGTTTATGTTCTTACTTGCTGTGAATTTCTCGATTTCCGAATTAAGTGAAGTAAAGTATCCATTTTTCGTAAGATTGATTATTGATGAAGCTTTTTTTCGTCATGTTCCCCTGTTTTGGATTAAGATTAGTTTGTTTGAGAGATGTATTTCTCTTACTAGTCTCTCTAAACATAAATCTCGGTGGTACAAGATTGAGATATCTAGTCTTATCATATCTTAAACCATGCTCCAGTTACAATTTTTTTTCTGTAACAATGGTGAGTCACTTATGAGTTTGTTCTGTTTCTTGTTGTTGATGATTGTTTCTCCAATTTATTATAGGGAGGAGCTTGTGAATGAGTGCATTACGGAGGGAACAAAACTTGTTCAAGCAGTAGCTGATGTTCTTTTCAACTTTCCTTCTACTGAGACTAGTGATGGTCCCATTGTTCAGTTGCCTCCGCCTACAACCAGACTTCCTAGAGAGAAACATGTAAAGATCTTCTTTTTACATTCTTTACCATATCCAATCTCAAGCATGCTAACATTTCTCCTTTTTGTTTTCCCCAGCTTCCAAGGCCTAAGCCTCCTACAAAGTGGGAAGAGTTTGCTCTAAAGAAAGGTAAAAGCTGATTTAAAAATTCGTTTTTGAAGATTGAGAGCTTGATTTGTTTTTGTCTTATAGTTTCATGATTGATTATAATGTTGATTTTGCTCCAAATGGTTCTTGTTTCTTAGGTATACAGAAGCGTAAGAAGGACAAGATTGTATACGACGAACAAACCGATAAGTTCAAGCGTCGTCATGGTTACGACCGTGTTAACGATGACAATGATGTTCCCATCATTGAGGCAAAGGCATCAGACGGTAAGTCTTGTGAACAAACTTCTCATCTTTTTGATTTTTTCTTAGTTTGTTGTGGCAATACATTGTTGAAATGAGAGAGCTTTTGGATAACTGCAGAGCCAGGTGAAGATCCTTTTGCCAAGAGAATTGAGGAGAAGAAGAAGAAAGTTGGAAAGCAAGAAAAGAACAGACTACAGAATCTGAGGGTTGCTGCGAAAGCTGGTGCTTTACCGAGGTACATAACAACCTTCTTTGACTACTACCTGTTTCATTGTTTTGATAACTGAAGATCCAAATGAGTCTAACACATTTGTTTTGCAGTCATATCCAACTTGCTGCAACATCATTGCCAATATCAGGCGTGAAAGCTCAGCCAAAGAAACTCGGAAAGGAGGCACTTGGAGATGTAGCCGGTTTAGCCGCTACTTCAACAGCTAGTGGTGGAAAATTCGATAAGAAGCTGCCTGGAGAGAAACCTCCTAAGAAGCAAGGCAAACATCACAAGGTAAATTCTTCTCAGCAACAATCTTTTCCTTTTCTTTATGTAAATTTGTCTGATGAGTTTTCTTATCTGTGGGATTCTTTGTTTTGCAGTATTTACCGGTTTTACCAAGTTATCGTAAGGATCAGAACAAATGTATTCCTGTTGACGAGGAAAAGGAACAGACAAATAAAGTACTTAGCAAGATATTCTCAAAGCATTCGCATGAGATCCTCAATGTTGGCAAGGTAAAAAAACCAAAAAACTCTCATTCTCTGGTGTTTAGTCTCTTGCCTCTGATGTGTTTGTTTGTGAAATGATTAATGTTAATCCATTTGAGTTTATTTATGATTTAGGCGATAAACATGGTCAACGAGAAGAAGGAGAAGAAGAAGTCAGGAAGATCATCAGACAAGTTGAAACCTAAGAAGGACATCACCAAGAAGAAGCCTGCAACAACCAAAGCTTAGTGAAAGAGACGTCTCCTTTGTTTTTACTTCTAGTTCTCTCTCGCATAACAAGAGATTACCAAATTTTGTGTTTCATTTGCTCCTTATCTGTTAAACAAAATACTCTACAATATGTCATATTTTAATCTTTCTCAATTTATTGCACAAGAACACAATTTGACTCTCTTAAAAGCTTACTTTGGCCACACAACATGTTTACGGCTCTGTTTACAAGCAAACTCTCTCTGTTTCTTACATTCTCTTCAAACTTTTAACCACTCAAGACAAGGGCACAAACCCCAGCAGAACCTTGCAGGGTAATAATCTTTCATGTAAATCTCTTTACCAAAACCGATTATGTAAAAGTTGAAAGCTTTGCCACGATCTTCCATGGTGACACGAGTCACAGGCACAACAGATATGGTGTGTCTCTCACAGACCACATTAGCCGTTGTTGGAACTTCAGCTCTCAAGGAGATAACTTCCGAGGAAAACTTGTTGAGGAAATAAGAGTCTGCAAAGTAAGCAGGCGTGCACTGGTAAGCTTGTGTGTTGCAAAGCTGAACACCTTCTGCTCTGTGAAACACCTCTTCTGGTACCGATCCAGCTCCTCTTGTTGCACTCACCTTTCGCTTCGACAGAGTCTTCCTGCGAAAACCCAAAAAAAACAAATCTTGAAAGTTTCCACTTGAAGACATTATCATATGTTCTTGAAGGATTTTTCAAAAACTTACCATTTTACAACAGCGAGACTGCTCGTTAGAAGAGAACCAGTACCGTGACAAGACTGACATTTGATTAACCCGCGAGATTGGCAATTTGGGCAAGGAAGCTTTCCCTTACCGTTACAGTCTCCGCACCTGTGAAAAATGGTTTATGTAAATAGAAGCCACAGTTTGCATTTCTGCAACCATCAAGATGAAAAGTTTGAGTTCTTGATTATGAACTTACACTGTGTCGGATCCATCTTTATGAGCAATCAAACCTCTTCCATAGCAAGCAGGACACTTCATCACCTGATTCTCCTTGTAAAATCCTGGATCACCATCTGCGTTGCACGTTGGACATACTACTTCTCCTCTTCCTGTGCAACCTGTGTATCCGAGCCTCTCATCAACAAAATTCTAAATGTAATTATGGACATACAAAATTTGTTACCTGAGCACTTGTCAACAGTCTCAGAATGAGGAACTGGGACTTGAGTTTCTTTATAGGGGACAAAGAGCGTAGGAAACTGCGATCTCAGGTCCAATTGCCATAACTCTGGTGCAGATCCATGTTTCTTTCCGTTGAAATTTCCGCCAGTGAAAGGCACTGTCTGTGTTAAAGCTTCCCTCTCTTCAATGAAAGTGTCAAGAGTTCCAACGTAAACATTGCAGTCTTCCACAGCACGAATCTTCCACGTCCGAGCAGGACGGCTTCCCCAACAGCAACGGTGGCCGATGTGATCAATAAGCAGCTCTCTTATCTCAATCTCATCGAGAACCTGCCTGAAAAAAAAAATCTCATAACTTCAACATCAAGTCTACAGCCTCAAGTCTTTGAACCCTAAGAATTGCAACACATTCCTAAGACTTACTTTTGCAATCCATGACCTGCTCCAGATGCACTCGGATAGCCAATAGCTTGCTCTGTGAAACGCCAAGAAGAAAACAGATTTATATCATCAGAGTCATCATCCAGAGAGAGAGAGAGAGGAAGCAAAAAGGTTCCGTAAAACACCAAGAGTGGAGAAGATCATCGGAAGTTTCACACTTTAAGATTGATCAACGGAAAGTCTCACATTTCAAGGATGAAAGTTTCAAATTTTAAGGATGATCATTGGAAAGTTTCACATTTTAAGAAAGATCATCGGAAAGTCTCACATTTAAAGGATGAAAGTTTCAAATTTTAAGGATGATCATCGGAAAGTTTCCACATTTTGAAGATGATCATCGGAAAGTTTGGCAATTTAAAGGATGAAACTTTGACATTTCAAGGATCAAAGTCAAAAGCTAGAGGAAGCAGCGTGTATTCGATCACCTTAATTAGCAGTGAAACTTGCAAGCTCGAATTTAGTTTTCAGCTACGAATCGTTCAACCAATTGCAATGAGAGCGATCAATACAAAATTTCAAGGATCTGAAGAGATGGAAACAAGAGGAGACGAGGCTTACGAGTGGGCAACGAAACGGGGGACGTTAGAACGGGAGGATAGAGAGCCGGAGGATCGGAAAGAGCGGAAGCGGAACGGACTTCCTCGACGGTGACGCCAGCTCCGGCGAAGGAAGCGTTACGAGCAGAGGAGCTGTTTCTCTGCAGGTACTGGTACGAATCCCATCTCTCGGATTCCTTGGTTTTCTCTGATCGATCCACAGAAGAGAATTAAAAAAAACAAGAACAAATTCTGATATCAGAGAAATTCAAAGAGGAGATAATCATATGATCGGTTTGTTTGAATACCTGAAAGCAGAGGCTTATCCATAGATTACGAATCTCTCTGGCTCTTTCTCTTCTTCACTTCCTTGTGCTTCCCAATAACCGAAAGATATAAATTAGAGATTTTTCTTAGAGCTTAAGGAAAATCCAGGTCAATTCGATCTTATTTCTTCTCTTCTCGGCGTGACATTTCACTAACAGATGGTAGAAATGGAGACAAAACCCGAGTTTTCTTGTCGGGTCAGGTCCGGATAGGATCGCCCCGGTTTTCAATACGAATTTTGGCTCGGTTTAGGATTTATTCGATTCAAAATTTCTTTTATGGGAGACAAAACTGTTTAGTATTCATTGCTTTAACACAGTTTTTAAGTTTTATGATCATGCCATGTCTCGCACAAACAGATTAGAGAGTTAAAGCCAAGCAATGGTATGTTGCAAATATACTGATTGGTGAAACATACCTAGATTTCGTCTTTAGTTCGTTTTTGAGCTTCAATGCACTTTCCTACCCTTATTTACATCACGTTTACCTTCTTTTCAAGAAAACCAAGTCTTTATTTATTTCGCATTGGGAGATTCAGAACTACATCAGTTGTGAAATGGGTACTAGTGGGTAGTGGGAACATTTCTTGAATTATGATGGGAAAATTTCAAGATAGTAGAACAATGATAACTCTCACTTCTTTAGCAACATATGAGCCAATAACATAAAAATTCACTATGATATTCTTTTCACATTTGCTCCAAAAAGATTATATATGTGATATAATAAAAGATTATAATGATTACTCTTTCTTCTTCTTTTCTCCATGTGAAATTTATTACAATAAACTGAGATTATTGAGCTTTCTAGTGGGGTGGTTATATGCCACGTCGTGTCAGTGTTTTGGTTGAGGATTTCGCCCACCTCTGATTTTGCAACTATGTAAAGATAGGATTGCGCATATTATCAAATCTTTAAGAGCTCACATGTGACATGGATGGATGTAGTAGCTTAAAGCCATACCACATGCCACATGGACATAGAATTTAACGCCTTAATTATCACCATAAAACTTATAGAGAAACAAACGTTTCATCGTCTCTTCTAGAACTACCGGAACACGTCAAAAATGACCAAAACACCGAACATGATATTATACAGACATGGCGAGTCGGCCACTAAATGGTTTATCTCATGAAGGTTTGATGTGTTTGTTAATGTCAAACAACCGATCTTCAAAAACACGCCGCAAACATTCACAGTACAAACATGAAGATGTGGTATATAGTTCTTCAAGCATAACTTGATTGGTGAAACATGCCTAGATTATACATGATTGTTAATGTTAATGTATTACAACTGTAATTTACAAGTTCTACCACTAAGCCAAGCATGGAATGTTACAAAGTTTAAGTTGATTGTTAACTTGTAACATTAACAATCAAGTTAATTATGTTACATTAATGATTGGTAGATTACAAATTTTAACTTGTAACATCAATCAGTATACATGATTAACTTGGTATGTTACACCAATCAGTATACATCTACTAAGCCTAGATTTTTAGTAGTGGTAGATTATCAAGTTCTACTAAGCCAAGCATGGTATGTTACAAATATACTGATTGGTGAAACATCCCTAGACTTTTCTTAGAGGAGAACACGGAATGGAGACAGATTTTGCTTTAAAATTTAATTGTCGTACGTGTCGGGTCCCTATGTGATATGTGTGAAACGGTTCAGGATTTCACCCCACCTCTGATTTTGTAAGAACGTGAGATAAGGTTTGAGTAGGGAACATTATAACGCATATGGTCAAGTCGTCATTAAGATTTCACCAAGACAATCCAAGTCCAAGGAAGTACATGAAAACAACGCTTCAAGCCGTATCACATGTCCATTATCGTCACCAAAATCTCTTTCATAGTTAAAAATCGATATTGTTTGTTTTTTTCTCTGTTTCCATCGTAAAACCCCAATTCTCCAATCTTTAAACTATGGTCCTTTTCCTTACTTTGGCACTAATCTTTCTTTGAGCCCCCGTCGAGTTCGCGTGTTTACTTCTTGATTTCCAGAGTGACAAGTCACCAATTAATAATCCTCCAAGAAAACAAATTTCCTTCCAAAACGATTATTATAAAATATCTTTTTGGATCTTTGTTCTAATAGAAACAAAGACACGAATCCTAAATCAAGGAACCCAAAGATAATCTGCATTATCAGTTTATCACGACACGACATATTAGTGCAAAAAATTATATTAATCGTTTTGGAAGGAAATTTGGGTCTGTTTATTATTAGTGCAAAATTGCAAATCAAGACACGACATATATAGTATACACACTCATTAAGTCATTATTATGAACAAAATCCAACTAAATTTAAACGCGGTTTAATTTAAAAATATGAATTTGGAAAATTTAATGAGTTGGGTAAGCCCAAAGACCACTGACCGACATCCACTCGCGTCCACATTTGAATAATTTCTCTCTCTCCCACTCACTCAGATACACACACGCCTATGCAACGATTTCAATCTTTCATGGCGGATTCTCTCTCTATTTCACTCACTACTCCTTCTCTCGTGATTCTCCTCTAAGATCCGCAAATCTATTTCCTTCAACCTCGTCTATTCAAAAACCATGGCCGTTTCAGTGCCGTTTCAGTTTCGGCCTCTCCTGTTCCTTCTTCTTCTCTCCGGAGCAGTTTACTCGTCTTCTTCAGAGTACTTAATCGGCGTCGGAAGCTATGACATCACCGGCCCCGCCGCTGACGTCAACATGATGGGCTACGCGAACACCGACCAAATCGCGTCCGGGGTTCATTTCCGTCTCCGAGCTCGCGCCTTCATCGTCGCTGATCCCCAAGGAAACCGCGTCGCGTTTGTCAATCTGGACGCCTGTATGGCCTCTCAGATCGTCACAATCAAAGTTCTCGAGCGTCTCAAAGCAAGGTCCCGAATTAATCTTATCTTCTTAAGCAGAGTGTTATTGGAATTTGAATTTAGTCTTATCTTCTCTACATTTTATAAGCTTTAGTGTTATTTGAAATTTGAATCGATTCCAAAAGTTAGAATCTCATAATCAAAACGAAATCGATTCTGCTGAAACTGTTAGATTATATTGGTTGTTGCAGATATGGTTATCTGTACACAGAGAAGAACGTGGCAATAAGTGGGATTCACACACACGCTGGACCAGGAGGATATCTTCAATACGTCACATATATTGTGACGTCTCTTGGATTCGTTCGTCAATCTTTTGACGTCCTCGTTGATGGCATTGAGGAAAGCATCATCCAAGCTCACGATAGCCTCCGTCCTGGTTCTGTTTTCGTCAACAAAGGTATAATCTTTGTTCTCCACTTCTTTAATAGTGTTTTTTTTTTATCATAGTAGAATAATGTGTGTCTGTGTGTGACAATATTAGGGGATCTGTTGGATGCTGGTGTGAATCGAAGCCCTAGTTCTTATCTCAACAATCCATCAGCAGAGAGGAGTAAATATAAGTACGACGTGGACAAAGAAATGACGCTTCTCAAGTTTGTTGACTCTCAGTCTGGTCCCATAGGAAGCTTTAACTGGTTTGCGACACATGGGACTTCCATGAGCAGGACTAACTCTTTGATTAGTGGAGACAACAAAGGCGCAGCAGCACGTTTCATGGAGGACTGGTTTGAGAATGGACAGAAGAATGTCCCTCGGCGAGTATCAACCATTGTTTCTCAATCTGACCTTAGCAGAAACCGTGAGTGAACAGTCCTTTCCTTTACCTAATGTGGCAAGATTGTTTTGGATGAAGTGTTTTTTTTTTTGTTTTTTTTTTCAGAGAGTAGACTTTTGGATGTTGCAGCGAGGTTTAAGTCATCTAGAGGAAAGAATGTGTCTAAGTCTCTTGAATCTAAAGTCCGAGTGAGGAATGTTTCTAAGCGTAAGTTTGTCTCTGCCTTCTGTCAATCAAATTGTGGTGACGTGAGTCCGAATACTCTCGGTACGTTTTGCAACGACACTGGACTGCCTTGTGATTTCAATCACAGTACTTGCAATGGAAAGAACGAGCTGTGCTATGGCCGTGGACCAGGGTATGTATAATCATTTGTTTCTTTATGCTTTTATCTCTCTGTGTGTCTTGTCTTTATCTATCTTTCTGAATTTGGCCTTGTGTTGCGTGTTTCGCAAGGTATCCTGATGAGTTTGAGAGTACACGTATCATTGGAGAAAAGCAATATAAGATGGCAGTGGGACTTTTTAACAAAGCTACAGAGAAGCTAGTGGGGAAAGTTGGTTACCAGCATGCATATGTGGATTTCTCGAATCTTCCAGTCATGGTTCCTAAAGCAGGAGGAGGATCTGAGACGGTGAGGACGTGTCCAGCTGCAATGGGGTTTGGTTTTGCTGCTGGCACAACTGATGGTCCTGGTGCTTTTGATTTCAAACAAGGCGATGATAAGGTAAATCTTAAAACTCTCCTCTTGTGTTCTTGTTTCTTTCTCTGCTTCCTTATGTTACTGTCTTTGATTTTGAAAAGGGTAATACGTTTTGGAAACTGGTGAGGAACGTGTTGAAGACGCCAGGCCCGGAACAAGTCGAATGCCAAAAGCCAAAACCGATTTTACTTGACACTGGTGAGATGAAGACACCTTATGACTGGGCGGTGAGTGTCTCTCTCTCTCTGTATTTCCTCTGTTTTTCTTGAAAACCAATTGTTTTATTTAATTGACCATTTGTTTAATTGCGTGAACCGGCCAGCCATCGATTCTTCCGGTTCAGATACTTCGCATTGGTCAATTAGTCATCCTGAGTGTCCCAGGAGGTAAACAATTGAGACTATAAACATCTTATTAACCTCATTAATGAAAGCTAAAAAGCCTCTTATGATCACAGAGTTCACGACGATGGCGGGAAGGCGGCTCCGAGACGCAGTGAAGTCATATCTAATCTCTTTGGACAGCAAAGAGTTTGGCAACAACCTCCATGTCGTAATCGCAGGTCTCACCAACACTTATTCTCAGTACATCGCCACTTTCGAAGAGTACGAGATCCAACGATACGAGGTTTGTATGAATCTTTGAGACTCGGCTTTATTTTATTTACTACAGTTTATGCTTATTACACAATCTTTGTTTTTCAGGGAGCTTCAACGCTATACGGTCCACACACACTCACTGCATATATACAAGAATTCAAGAAACTAGCGACAGCTTTGGTCAACGGTCAAACGCTACCGAGTGGGCCCCAACCTCCCGACCTACTAAGCAAACAGATCAGTTTACTTTCCCCTGTGATCGTTGACTCCACTCCTATAGGAGTCAGCTTCGGAGACGTCAAAGCCGACGTGCCTGAGAAGTCAACGTTTAGGAGAGGCCAGCAAGTCAACGCGACGTTTTGGTCGGGATGTCCACGGAACGACCTGATGACGGAGGGATCTTTCGCTGTGGTGGAGAGGTTGCGTGACGGAGGGGATTGGGTCCCAGTGTACGACGACGATGACTTCTGTCTCAAGTTTAAGTGGTCGAGACAGACCAAGTTTAGCCCGGAGAGCCAAGCCACCGTGGAGTGGAAGGTACCTGAATCTGCAGTTCCCGGAGTTTACAGATTAAGACATTACGGGGCTTCTAAGTCGCTGTTTGGTTCGGTTAGTAGCTTCTCTGGCACTTCTAGCGCCTTTGTAATTGTATAACAATTTAGCTAAACTAACCCCATTTAGCTGGATAATGTATAATTTATATGATATAAAAAGATATTAAAGCTTATAAACAAGTTTCATTTGCATGAACGAAACAAGTAAAATGAGATTCAGTAAAACAAAACATATAGTTATATATGAAGGATAGATTCAGCAGCTAGAGATTCTATCAAGTTAAAATGCCCAGCAAACACAACATCGTACCACTCAACTTCATCTGAAATAGTTTGTCCATTGCGTTCTCCAAGCGTAATCTCAGCACACCAAAGCTCTTTTACTATTTCAACTTTTTTGGTAAAAAGGACAAGCAATTTCCCACCGTAACTCACAGTAGTGCATGGCCACCAGCCTCCTGAACGTCTCGCCTTAGCCAAAAATTCATTCGCACCAACGACCACTTCCCGATGCCTCTCCTTTATGTCATACGCCATTAACTTGTTGTCACGACGATCGTAGTAGTAACATACATCATCAATGACACACGCACTCTTCCAGTACTGTCTATTACCCAGTCTCCATTCCGATTCTTTCCATTTTTTTTCTTTTGGCTCGTAAACTAAGCTATTAGAAGAAGAACCCATCGTGTACATCTTATTATCCATCACCACACAATCATACAACCTATGACCTAGCTCGATATCTGGCTCTATCATCCCAGGCTGCTCCCATGTTTGTGTTTCTGTGTTGAACACAACCATGGCCTTGGTGTTATAACTTGTGAATCCAAATACGTAAATCTTCTTGTCGATGATACAGGCGACTGAACTAGCCACGGGCACAGGCATGCTCAGAAGAGGTTGCACCGTATGAGATAAGCAGTCGATGCTAAAAGCACTTGATGTCTTGCCCTGATGGTTAGACTTATACCCACCGAACACATGTATCTTCGAATCCACCGCGACAATGCTTGCTGCGCGAGGCATAGCGGGAAGCGACGGGATAAGAACCAAGCGGCGACCACCGTTGGGTTTCCGCCGGAGAATATAGACACGGTTTTCTGAGTTCTCCATGTTCTGAAGAACAACATAGAGACATGGTTTGGTGCAGTCATACAAGGATCGTCTCACCTGGTACAGCTCCGGCGATGCAACGAGTGACCGGAAAAGCCTGGAAACGACAGAGATGGCCGGATGATAGCATGTCGGCACACGCGCAATGATATCAATGAGGATTTCGTTGGGGAGCGACGTGATCAGATTTAGACACGTTGGCTCCGGCGATTGCTCTTACTCTGAAGACATCTCCAAATCTGTACTCTAAGATCGTATCACACAATCTCCGAGACAGAAAAAAATACAACAGCTAGCCTTAGAACACAAAATGTTTAGTAAGAATTATTATTGGATTTGCATGAAAATAATAATACAACTTGGATAAACTTATATACAGTAGATAGAAAGATAATTATCTAATTTCCTTCTTGACTCTAATCATCTTCCTAATATTAAGCTCAAATCAATAACAATGCCAAGATAGAGGAAAAGCACAAATCCTAATTTATTAAGAAAAAAAATAAGGGATCATTGCAAAAGTATACCCCATGTTTTGGTCAAATGCAAAAGTATACCCCTGTAATACTTACACCCATCTTACTCTATATTATCCTTACCCTCTCAACATATCTACAGAAATGCCATCAGCTTTTATAATTTTTCGATTTATTTCGAAAACAATAATGTCCAAACCAACCTCATCTCCTACACTTATTCACCAAAATGCCATCCAATTCAATTCATCCAACTACCATTTTCAACCATATTGAAGCTTTCAATGCTTCTTCTCCCCATTTACACCACCGAAATCTCACTCTATTCTCTTCTAACCTTCTTCTCTCACTTATTTTCTTCATTTTCATCACAAAAACTCGAAAATGCATCTCTTCCACATCCAACTTCTTCTATGATGCCTTTTCCGGTCACCAAGCTCACGGAAACGGCTGGGTTTCTCTATTAAAGGTTTAAATCGACGCAATCCGCCGTCCACTACACCAAACAGCTATTCAAGGTGATTTTTCGTTCGATTTTCGTGAATTTCAAACCTTCGGCGCGAGGTAGACTTCAATTTGAAGTCTACGTTTTCAAAAATTCGGGATTGTTGACTTCATCAAGAAGTCTGTATAATTCCTTTCATAACAAAAAATGTGGGCCCCTTGTGTAGACTTCTCTAAGATGTCTACTTTAGGAAAGGGTACACCAATTGCAATTGACCAGACGAAGACTTTCGTTGTTGAACTCTACAGTTGAAGTCTACTCACTCGGGGTATACTTTTGCAATTGACCAAATCACGACTTTTTGAAGTAGACTTCTTTTATCACTGTTGACTTCAATATGAAGTCTACTTTGACGTGTAGACTTCATATTGAAGTCAACTTTGACGTGTATACTTCTGTATGAAGTCTACTGCTACGAAATGAAGTCTACCGGTCAACGAATGAATAGTACCACGGATGGTGTCATGCAATATGAAGTCCTAATAAGGGAGTAGACTTTATATTGAAGTCAACTTTTGCTAGTAGACTTCAATATGAAGTCTACTTTACGTGGAGACTTCATTGTGAAGTCTACTTATGGTAGTAGACTTCAATATGAAGTCTAATTCAAAAAGTCGTGATTTGGTCAATTGCAAAAGTATACCCCTGTATGTGTAGACTTCCAATGTAGACTTCGTAAAAAAGTCGTGATTTGGTCAATTGCATTTGGTGTACCCCTTGGTAGACTTCTCATTGATAGCTACATGTAGAGGGCACGATGAAGTCTACATTGTGACTGAAAATGAAATTCTATTTTTGTGCGTTATGACATTAAAATTTTTAAGATTTTCTTTGGCAATAAGCTGTAGTAGTATGTTTACTTGCCTGTGTATCATTTTGACGTGCTTAATCATTATATTTTGAAGTAAATCGTTGTTTTCAATTTTGTTGGACAGTAGGTATAATAAAGTATACTTCACTCTGATGTTTACCGTTACACTTCACTATGAAGTCTACTTTGTGTATGTTTTTTTAATTCGATATTTGAGCATTATGACCTACTAATTTTCAAGATTTTCTTTGACAATGAGTTGTTTTAATCTGTTTAATTTCCTGTGTATCATTTTGGCGTGCTTAATCATTATATGTTTCAGAAAATCAAAGTTCTTAGCTTTTTTGGGCAGTAGCTGATAATGTTGTAGACTTCATCATGAAGTCTACTTACTCTATTACCCCACTAATATTTACTTCTTCTTTCTCTTATATTTGCAGAAGATGGTGTACATAGCTGCTGTTTATGGAAAATGGGATAGGAGAGACAAAGGGACCTGGTTCTTTGAGGTGGATGACGACAAGGGAGGAAGACTTTTCTCACTGAGAGATGGTTGTACATATGTCGAGCTCGTTGACATGGCGAAAGATGATTATGGGGTTGATAAGAATGCTGAGCTTTTACAGATAGGATACCCACTTCCAGACATTATGCTCCAGCAGCTGCCCATTGATTCTCCTCCTACGTTTGTAACGACTGATAGGCAAGTTCAAAGTCTGATTGAGCTTAGTAGAACGTACGTACTACGCCTCTGTGTTTCGAGCCAGCAAAGGAATCATATGAAAGACGATGTACCTGTTGCTGATAATGTAGAACATGATAGTGAGTGGGGTTTGTCTTCCGATGATGAGGACTGGGATGTACATTCACACGAAGATAATGAGGCGGAAGAGGAATGGGAAGATGATCCAATTCCACCAAATCCACCAACAGATTGGAGTAAGGGGGATATTGATGAAACAGAAGCTGATTACAGTGTGTATGGGAGAGTCGTAGACGAAGATGTGCGTGAGAAAAAGGTTCCTCTCGACGATATCCGGCTTAAAGGGCGTTGCTATAATGAAGGAGGTCGTTTTGATAAGCATAAGGACGCCGTCATTATCGTTGGACAGCGTTTTGGAGACAAAGAAGAACTTCTTTGCATGTTGCGATTGATGGCTCTGGTTCACAGATTCTCTTTCCATGTCTTCAAGTCTACTCCAGAACTATTTGTTGCCATTTGCAACGTCCAAGGTTGTGCCTGGCGAGTCAGGGCGGCTGTGAAGAACGAACCAACCGCGTTTTGGGTCACAAAGTACGTAGACACTCATACTTGTTCCGTTGTAGACCGTATAGCTCACCGTAGGAGCTGTACAGCAAAATATATCGGAGCTTTATTCATGGAGAGGGTTGGCATTATTGAGGGAATAGTGCCTCAACACATTGCTATATCTATGAAAGTGATGTTTGGTTTGAAACTCAGTTATACCTCGTCATATAGGGCTTTGAAAGCTGCTCAAGAATACGTTCGAGGGACAGCGGAAGAGGGATATGCGAACTTGGCTTCATATTTGCAAAGAATCAAAGAAGCAAACCCAGGAACTATTACTGACCTTGTGCGAGATGGGATGGATCGATTCATGTACTGTTTCGTATCGTTTAGAGCTTCAATAGTAGGTTTTCAGTACGTAAGGCGAGTGATTGTTGTTGATGGTACACATCTGACTGGGAAGTATGGTGGAGTTCTTCTTGTCGCAGCTGGTCAGGATGGCAACTTCCAAGTCTTCCCCTTGGCTGTTGCTGTTGTAGATGCAGAGAATAATGAGTCTTGGGGGTGGTTTTTCAACAAGTTGAAAAGTTGCTTCACTGAGGATTTCCCACTGGTCATAGTCTCTGATAGACACCCAGCTATCGCCAATGCAATTGAAAGTGTCCTGCCATGGGCAACAAGAGGTATATGCTACTATCATATGCAAAATAACATAATTGGAACTTACCACGCGAAAGAAATCATGTATATGGTCAAAGGTGCTGCATATGCGCACACGGTGGACACTTACAACTGGTATATGGATCAAATACGAGCTGCAAAACCGGCGCTTGCAACGTACTTGGAGGGAGCCGATCCGAGCTTGTGGTCACGAGTTCACTGCCCAGGAGAAAGATACAACCTAAAGACTAGCAATATCGCGGAGTCGATTAACGCCATGGTGAAGAAAGCCAAAGATTTTCCAATACCTTTTCTCTTAGAGTTTATCAGAGAGAGGTTGAGCCACTGGTTCCTCAAGAGGCGTGAAAATGCTCTAGGTCTCACCACCGATCATAGCAAAGGAGTTGAATACTTGTTGTCTATTCGTGAGTACTATGCAGGTTTTATGGACGTGGAGCGCATAGATGATTGGCATTTCCAAGTTAAGTCTACATCAGGATACTATAACGTCGATCTTGAGCTCCGAACGTGCTCTTGTGGTGTGTTTGATATTGAAAAGATACCATGTTCGCACGTCATTGCTGCAATTACAATGGCTGGATTGTCAGTCTCCGATTATGTGAGTCCGGCTTACAAGAGGAACACCTGTCACTCAACGTACGCGCATCCACTTTTTCCTCCTCCTTCCAGATTCTCCTCCGTGAAGAAGGAACGTTGCCGTCCTCCTAAAGAAAAACCCACTCCTGGTAGGAAAAAGAAATCTAGGTGGCAAAGCTGGTTAGAAATGGCAAGAAAGAGGAAGCATAAACCGAGGAAGATGCCAAAAGCGTACACATGCTCTAAGTGTAGATTACCAGGTCATACTCGTCCAAAATGCGTAAGTGAAACCACTTCTCTATTCATCCTGGTACATAAATTTTCAAAAAACTTATAGTAACGGTCCGAAGCTGCTAAACCCTCCCTAAACCACTGGCTGGCATTAATCCAACTCGGACCAGTCTCGCTCCTTTGGTCCCCGGACCCCTGTCTCCTCGAATAGGTCATATGCAAGCCTCAGCCTAAGGCGGATGACATGAAATCTACAACCAAAGTTATTTGAAAAATAACAAACAAACAGTAAAGGCAGATTGGTGGAAGTGATGTCTTCAAGACTACTTCCGCTTGGTCTTAGTACTTTTACTCTTCTTACTGGGAGGGAGTTTAGGATTCTCAAGCTTATCAGATTCATCCATTGTTTGTTTTGCAGCAATACGAGCAGAGAATTTGCGAGAGTTATCTGTACTAACCGGGCCAGCAGGATTGTTATTGTCAGGCTCCTTCGCAGCGTTCGACGTGTCATGCTCCTTTGCAGCTTCGGACTCGTCGGGAAGCTTCCCGTCTGGAGAAAACGCAGGACCATTGTCGGGCTTAACACGGTCCTTCGCTTCTCTCTCCTCCTCCGACATGACAATTTGAAGCTTCTCGATGGTCGACTCCATACAACTAATTTTGCTTGTAAGGACCTCAACCTTCTCATCAAGTCTATCGAAACGGAGACCGATCTCACCTGTCTGCTGCTTACTGAACTGTTCAAACATTGCAGCCACAGTGGACTGGAATGTATCCCAACTAGCTCCCGAGGTATGTCCATCGATCCCGTAGGCAGGGCATGGTCTCTTTGACGGCCCTAGACCCGAATCCAGATGCCTCTTCTTGTCAATTCCCTTCTCTTCCTTCACCTTATCCAAGACGATTACTCCTTCGGATATCCAGTCGGAAGGCTTCCATCTCCAGGTCCCTCCGAGCTCTCCGTAAAAAGCCTTCATCACATTCTCGATGTGTTCATCGTCGACGTCGTTGTCCCACCTAGGGTAAGCATTATCCCTGTCCACCATGATCATATGGTTGAAATTAACCTGCATGTAATATGTTTCATTCAGTCATTGTACAAGTATTGACACACATATTGGATTGATAAACGTCACTTACCTGCGCAAGAAGAGTCTGCATTATATTTTTGCGCCCTTTCATTCCTTTGAAGGCCATCATAGTCGGAGATACCCTACCCACTACAGGCTCACCGAAGTCCTGACCGAAGCTAGGCATTGCGTAGTACGACCACACTTGTAGCACTTCGACAAACCCGTTAATGTAGTAGTGTTTGGTGAGGTTGGCAGATTTTACAGATTCAATGAGATTCAAGAAAGCTACTCTCCCCCAAGGATAACCTTCAAACTCTTCAAGATCCATTACTAGCTTTGCCATCTCGACCGGTGTGGCAATAGTTTGCCTCTCGCCAACAATGAAACCAGCATAGACGGCTAAATAAGCCAGCCTCTTTCTGTCCTCTTTCGACCAGTCTTGGGCCCACCCACATGCTCGGGTGAGGTTATCAACTGAAGGCCCAAACTTGGTATGAACACCAAGTTTCTCCCAAAACTCAGAAAATTCATTCTCATCTATGTCCGCAGTCAGAGGTGCCTTGAGATTCTCTCTGTATTCGCAGTTAAGACCGGTAATGTGTTCAAACTCGTGCAACGAAAACCTTACAGGATTTGAGCCAACCACACTCCAAATCTCGAAGGGCTTCTTGCACACTATTTGCATATTGAGCATACACTTCACAATCATTGAAGCCCATGAGAATTTGCTGTTCACGAACCTGAAGAATACCCCGAGCGGAGATTCCTCGAGCTCAGCCCATTCATCATCGGTCAAGAGTGTGGTGAGAGCTGCGAACAACTTCGTGTTGTTGCTGTAATACCCGATGCTTTTGTCGCTTTCAGGATCTGAACCTTTGGTGAAAAACCTCCTAGGAAATGTAGGCTTTTCCATCCTGATGCAATAGCAAGAAACGAAAAGATCACTATTACTAGTATATAACAAATTGAAGTATAACTTTAAAGTTTACAGTATAAGTCAACATCGGATGTCGAACTATGAAGTCTACATACGAAGTCTAAATACGAAGTCCAAATATGAAGTCTACATACGAAGACATAATACGAAGTCTACATACCAAGCCTTAATACGAAGTCTATCACCAAACCCTAATATACGGCGAACGACAAACAACATTAATCGAAAGATTGGGTAGTTTACTGACCCTAGTTTACCGCTATACTCGGTACCACGCCGGGGTGTGGTTAAGATGATGGAGGAAGTATGGCAACGACGATATGCTGAAGTACATCAACGACAATGGAGTATAGGTGGCGGAGGATATCAAGACGAAGGCTAATTCGTTAGTACGGTGAAGTGGAACACTGGAATCTGCAAAAGTTGATACAAGAGGGAAATAGCTTACGGTCGTTACTAGCGGGACGGGAGATGAGAGATGAACTTGGAGATTTTTACAGCAGCGACGATTATACGAATTATCCACAGGCGGCGGAGATATAAGTGAGAGGAAATCGCCGGCGGCGTTCGAAACGTCGGAAATCGCCCTTTCGTGACAAATTTTAACTTTCGTTTGGGAAAAATGAAACTTTACCAAATGGGGAGATTAGGTAAACTCTCGCACGGTCGGAGCGGTTATTGGAGCGGTTATCGATATACCCGTGGTAATCGGAGCGGTTTTCGGTCTAATTATTGTAAATTCAAGTTGGTTCAATTGAAGTTATGAAAAAACGTACTTTTCTAATGATGTCTACAGATGAAGTCATTATTTCGAATGCCCTAGTAAAAAAGCCCGCGAATTTTCCCGCGCTAATAATGTTTAATTGTATACTTCTCCTCGTCGTCTACACATGAAGTTAAAAATATTAAGTCTTCTTAATATCGTTCCTACTCGACTAATTACATTTACATTGCAATTGACATTGGTAATTTTACAGTAGTCAACATCATGACTAACATATGATGAAGGTTTTAGGGTTACCAATAAATATGTAGCCAATTTTCTGGTAATTATTTTTTAACATATACTTTAAAACGATAAGGAAGTCTACTTTTAAAGTCTACCGTTCACGTCTACATTAGATGTCTACTAAAACACGGAAAATACAACAAATATTATACAGCTCTCCTCAAACAACCATGCAAACTTTTCTAAAACATAATCATGCATCCGCAGGCTATGATGAAGCCTGCGAGGAGGACGACAAGCGCGATTACGATGTTCAGTTCCACTCCCCTGTGACGCTTGTTCTCCGTAAGAGCTAGGCGTTTCAGTTCACCTAGCTCTGCCTCAATCCGATCAGCAACTCTCAGGACACGAACGCAATCTCCTTGGTTGTCAGTAGCACGTCGCAGGAGAACGAATTCCTCCATCATAGCCTCATCCCACCACTTTACTAGATGGAGGTCACAACCCTATACAAACGCCATATGGAACTCACGATACATAGAGATGCGTAGACATAAAACAAAACATAACAAAGACTATGGAACTTACCACCATTCGATTGACCTTGTAATCTTTGCATCCAAAGAACATTCTACCCGGATATTCATCTGTGTTGTCCATTGTTTTCATCATCGTCGGCAACCCACAATAGCATAGATTAGGAATTCCATAGTGTCGACTGGTGGAGCTCACATCTGCTTCGTCCGGGCTGCACAACCTCACAGAGCTACTTGATGGTTGACTGTAGCTGTATCGCCCCATTCCTGTCTACCATAAGAGGTCCAAATTAGCTACACATGCCTATACTAACAGAAAATATAATTATGTCCTCATAAAGCTCACCTGATAGCGGTTTCTGGCACAGATCTGGACACGAAAGTATGAGAGATAGGCCCAACAAACCCTTCCACAAACAAGACGACAGGTAATTAGTCTGTGTATAGAAGAAGAACATGATTACGCTTAAGTAACAAGAAGACGTGCATCGCTTACCACAAGTACGGGACACTGTAGGAGGGGACCAGATACGAGAAGCTGCGCCGTGTGGCCAAGAGAGAGAATCGTTTCAATGGATTAACCAAAATTAGGGTTTCGCTCTCTATTTATATGAAAGGGGATCATCCGGTTAAATTTAAGATTCCGGTTATTTATACTTCATGTCCATGTCTTCTCAGCAAGTCTACACTAGAAGTCTTCCATACCCTAAACACTAAACCGACTATTTCACACAAACAAAGGTATAGCATAAGTTAGTTTTCGTTGCATATACACAAATTACATTATGATCAACAGAGATTTGAGCCATAAATGATTACACATCGTGAAAACCTGGTTTCCAACAAATATTTTTCTAAACCCTTACAATTTATACTACTAAACCCTATGCTTGAACCTTACACTCTATCCTTGTTGGACCAAATATACATGATACTTATAAACCTTTACATTCTAATGAACTGTATTTTATATAGATGACAATTGTATTTACTTTGATTACTATCCAAAATTTTTTAGCAAACTATTTTTTATACATTTTAATTTTAAATATTAAGGTTTGTGTAAGATTGTAGACATCGCAAGTAGACTTCGCAATCAAAATTTCTAGGTTTGTTGTTGCTTTGCCTTTGCTATAATTAGAGTAATTCATTTGCAAGAAAAAATCTTTTTAAAAGATGCCAAATATCAAGGTCTCTTTTATGTATAATTTTTTTGATTTATATATTTTTCTTTAATTTTCTAATTTAAATTTAAGATGTCAAGGTGTTGTAGACTTCGTGTTGAAGTCTAATTGTCGTATACTTCTTCCGTAGACTTCACTACAGTGGGTAAAATGGTCATTGTCGCACTCGTTTATTATTTGCTCGCAAAAGATAAAAGGGTCATTCTACACCCCTTGGGGTACACCACTGGTCAAATGTGTCATATGGGGTATACCGTTTTAAAAAAAAAAATGTTGGGGTACACAAGTAACAATTTCCCAAAAAATAAAACATAATCTAATGAGAATAATTCAGAGAAATCAGAAATGTCATATTTATTTATGATTTAAAAATTTGGCAAATAAATCTCTTTTATCTAGGGGGTGTTATTAATTTTTATTTAATAAGATGTGTTTGACTGACCTGATTTAAATTAGAAATCACATAGTTTTCATCAATAAAAACCTAAATTTGAAAATACTGTTGCAACTAATATTATGATTATTTTAGTTTCATATAGAGATACGTTAATTATTACATATATTTAAACTACAATTGGATAGATATGTTTTGAAATATGTCAAAGTTTATACTATTTGATTTTAATGAGCCTTATTTGATTGGGGGAGAAAGCATCGATTAGAAAGCACAAATTCGCTGTTTCAATCGATTATTGTCTTCTTTGGCTCGTAAACAAAGTTCTTCTCGTGAGCATCCGTCATGTACATCTTATTAGCCATCACCACACAACCATAAAACTCATGATCTCTTCTCCTCCATCATTTGTAAAGTTATATATACCCCAAGGAAAAAGTTCCATAATAATTTTTCCTTCTTTTTTAGACTTTCCCTTCAAAAATGATATGTTGAGCATAATCTCTCTAAGAAACCCTAACTGAATCTTATTATATAACTAGAGAGGTCTCTCTACAAACACAATCATTTGCTAGTGTTAATTTTTAAAATATGGTCTTGCCTCTGTTAGCTAAATTTACAGTTTAGCATCACCTGAGTAACTAGTTAGGCGTTGCTCCTAATTCAGATTTTTCATGTTTCTTCCTGTACTTTAGCTCGTCGGTTTGGTTTAGTTCCTCTCTTGTTCACTACTAGAAAAAAAAACTATTTTGCATGGGTTGTTTAGCATCATTCACAAAAATAACATAAAGTTTTTAAAATAAGGCATGTTTTGAATCACTTTAAAAGATTGTGGCTAAGACATTACGGAGCTTCTAAGGTGATGATTGGTTCTCCCGCTACCACCCGCAAACGCAGCGTTTGCGGTTCGTAGCGGTTCTTAGCGTTTTATAACAATCACGACAACCGCTTTCAACCGCTCTATACCACTCTGTACCGCTCTATATCGCTGAAAATCAAAAGCTCCTTTCCGCAAGCGTTTGCGGTTGCGGGCGGTTGCGGTTTGAAAAAAAAAAAAAAAAAACATAATATCTCCAAATTTGGAATAAGGGTATATTTTTTTGAAAAATACCATAATTATGTTTAAAAATTTCGAAAATACCCTAAATTTTTTCTGTTTTGAAAAATACACTTTTAAAATGTAAAAAGTATGTTTTGACGTGATTTAAACAAAAAAATAATAAATAATTACAAATTATAAACGAAAATTTAAAAAAAAATAAACTAATAAGTTTTTTTTCAAATAAATATAGTATATGTTAAACTGAAACAAATTTTAATATTTTGGATCTTTATATAAACAACTTAACCTCATACACATTCAAACCAAATGAAACTTTAAATAAATTAAAACTTTACATATATTTAAAGTTTATAAATTATTAAAAATTTAAAAGTGGAGAAATATATCTTTCATTTTTAATGTTTATCTTTTGAAAAATTTAAATATTTTTGAAACTTTGCATAAACAACTTTAATCTCACCCCATTTAAACTTTATATAAACAATCTTATATTTTTATTAAATTGTTTAAAAAAAACTAAACAGGTAATTAGGATGTTAAAATGATACAAAATTATTATCAAATATTAATATTTTATATTTCTTATTTGAATTTCGTTTTTATTAAATTAGGAATAATCATTTTACATATAAAAAGTGTATTTTTCAAAACCAAAAAAAAGGGTAGTTTTCAAATTAAAAATTCATCAAAAAATATATTTCAAAAAAAAAATTATTAATATGGTTATAAATGTTTTGAATAATTATATATTATTTTTATTTTAGTAACTTTTGGTTAAACCGCTTCTTGCACCCGCTGGCTAACCAGTCAAAAATATCCCGCAAACGCAACCGCTATGAATTGCTATACCAGTCGTACAAACAGCTTTTAATCGCAAACTCCCGCTTCCGCAAACTCCCGCAGCCGCAAACTCCCGCAACCGCAACCGCAGCGGTTAAACCAGTCGGACCCTAAGTCGATGTTTGGATCGGTTAGTAGCTAAACTAACTTCATTTAGTCGATGTTTGGAGACATAACATTCTGGTTTTTCTAGCGCCTTTGTAATGGTATGGCAATTTTAGCTAAAATAACCCCATTTAGCCGGATCGATGGTGCATAATTTATACGATATAAAAAGAGATAAAACCTTGAATGTTTGTTGCACTAAGAAATCCATTCTAAGCAGTAAACATTTGCATAAACGAAATAAGTAAAACAAAAGTCTTATTCCTTGTGCATGATTGCATCATCTCAAAGCAGATAGAGATTCAATCAATTTAAAATGACCAACACTCACAACATTGCACCACTCGATTTTACCCCAAATATCGTCTCCTTGGCGTTCTCCGAGCGTAATCTCAGCACACCAAAGCTCTTTTATTCTACTAACTTGTTTGGTAAAAAAGAGAATCAACTTCTCACCGTAACTCACAGCGCATGCCCTCCCAGTCGAAAGTCTCGCCTCAGCCAACAATTCCTCCACACCTTTCACCACTCCCCAGTTCCTCAGTTTCGGGTCATACACTTTTAACATGTTCTCAACACGATCATAGTAGTACAACACGTCACCAACAACACACGCATTCTTCCAGTACTTGTTCGAACTCAGATTCTCGTCCTTCTCCCATTTATTTTCCTTCGGCTCGTACACAAAGCTGCCAAGACAACCTCTCACGTGCATCTTATCATCCATCACCACACACTCAACCAAACCATGACCTAGCTCCATGTCTGGCTCTATCATCTCAGGCTCCCACACTTGTCTTTCTGTATTGAACACACTAACCATAACCTTGTTATCATTCGTATATCCAACCACGTAAATCTTCCCGTCTATGACGCCGGCCACTGAACTAGCCATGGGCACAGGCATGCTCGGAAGGTCTTGCACGGTATGATATCCGCAGTCGATGCTTAACGCCTTGGACGCTCTGACGTAACGGTTAACCCCACCAATGCATGTCCAGGCTCGTTGATAAACCCCACTAAACACATGTATCATCGAACCCACCGCGACAAAACTTCCTTTGTCAAGCAGAACGGGAAGAGACGGGACAAGGACCAACCGACGATCGCCGTTTGGTTTCCGGCGGAGAATATATAACCGTTTGTTAGAGGTTTCGATGTACATGTCCTGGAGGACAACATAGAGACAATACTGTTTCTTGTTGCATCCCAACAACTGTCTCGCTGCGTACATCGCAGGCGACGCAACGAGTGACCTGAAACGTGTGGAAACGTTGTCCGGTAGTGACGTGAAGAGAGACGTTGTTTTTTGCTCTTTCTTTGCCTTAATTAGCTCGGAAGCCATCTCGAGATCGACACTCATATCACTCAGTCCCATAGCAGCTAGAGATTCTATCACGTAAAAGTTGCCAGCAAACACAACATCGCACCACTCAACTTTACCCCAAATATCGTCTCCTTGGCGTTCTCCTAGCGTAATCTCAGCACACCAAAGCTCTTTTATTGATCTACTCTTTCTCTTCTGAAACAAGACCAGCATTTCCCACCGTAGCTCACAGTGTACGCATACCTCAGTGAACGTCTTGCCTCCTCCAACAACTTTTCTACACCAATGACCTCTCTCCAATCACTCTCCTTTATGTCATACGCCATTAACTTGTTGTCATCACCGTCGTAGTAGTAACATTCATCATCAATGCCACACCCACTCTCCCACTTTCTCCACGTCAGATCTATCTCTTCTTTCAGTTTATTTTCTTTTGGCTCGTAAACAAAGCTACCACGATAATGCCTCATGCACATCTTTTTGTCCATCACCACACAACCATACAAGTCATGACCTAGCTTGAAATCTGGCTCTATCACCCTAGGCTGCTCCTCCCACGTTTGTGTTTCTGTGTTGAACACAACCATGACTTGGGAGTTGTAATTAGTATCTCCAAATACGTAAATCTTCTCGTCGATGATGCCGGCGACTGAACTAGCCACGGGCACAGGCATGCTCGGAAGGGGTTGCACCGTATGACATCTAGGTCTACAGTCGATGCTTAAAGCACTTGATGTCTTGCCGTGATGGTTAAACCCACCAAACACGTGTATCTTCGAGTCCACCGCGACAAAGCTTGCTTCGCGAGGCAGAGCGGGAAGCGAAGGGATAAGGACCAAGCGGCGACCACCGTCGGGTTTCCGGCGGAGAATATAGACACGGTTTTCAGAGTTTTCAATGTTCTCGAGGACAAAATAGAGACAGGGTTCGTTGAAGTCAAACAGGGATCGTCTCACCTGGTACAGCTCCGGCGATGCAACGAGTGACCGGAAACGCCTGGAAACGACGGAGATGGCCGTGTGGTAGCATATCGGCGAACGAGCTATGATATCAACGAGGATTTCGTCGGGAAGCGACTTGATCAGACACGTTTGCTCTCTCTCAGCCATATTCCCGGTAGACATCTTCAAATCTGTGTACTCGTATCACACAATCTCCGAGACAAAAGATATACACAAAACCCTAATCTGAATAGTTTAGTTTCAGACAAAATATGTTAATTAATATTTTAAAAGTTACACCTGGAAAAATATCTAATGAGCGCTTTTTTGGTCGGTAATGAACCTTGGGGAGAAAGCAACTCCACATTTTGATTTTTTTCACATCATGTAATTTACTTGCTCGTTCAACTTTTTTGTACACACACACACACTCTTTTGTGAGTTAAGTTATATAATCAACAAAAACCTCCAAGCCGAGCAAATGACATGTCGCAGACTTTACAACATCTAGGAGACTCCTTGGAAAGGCATTTTCAGGGTATCAAAAATAGCATTTTGTGAAAACGTCTTCCTGAATCTCTCCAGCAATTCTCCTCCATCGTTTGCCTGAGCCGCTGCATCAGCCGCTTCCTTGGCCATTCCGATACGAGCATAAGCCTGAGGCGACGCCACAAAAAAAAAAAAAAAAAAAAAAAAAAAAAAAACAATAAAGGATTTGAATTAGATCTATAGATTATCGAACCCAGGAGAGAGCACATATGTAATATACAGAGCATACCTCGCCTCTCTCCACAAGATCTGACAGCTTGGGGATGTACTTTAGAGCTTCCGCTTTCTCATCTGCATCGATGCATGCCTCCACAAATGGTCGGAACCCTTGATGACACAATGCCAAAGTTAAATACACGAGAAAAACCGAAACGAATTTGCCTCTAAGTAAGTCTTTAAGGCTGTAAAATTCACCTGTTGGTGGTCTCTTTTCCTTTGAAAACTTCTCCAGAGCGTCCCAGTCTTTGATTGTAGCCAGAGCAAATGCTTTAAGCCAGTACCATCTTTTATCAGAAACCTAAAAATAGTCGAAAGGTACTGTGGTGAAGATGGCGTTCTCATGGTTATCGTACAAAACAGGGGAAAGAAAAAAACAAAAAAAAAGCCAACTAGACCTTGAATTCTGACTTCACTTTTGCTGCCGCGCGATTATTACGCAGGACAATGCATGTACGTATAGTATCATTGATGCTTGAATCCACAAAGATAGCCTGCTTCGTACTAACTTCTAGCTCATGTTGTATCCTAACAACATTTGGCAGATTACGGAGAGAACAAGACCATGAGATGAAGAAGAAAGAATACACTGACAATCTATGATTACCTGAGTAGTTTTGCGTGCTCCTCAGCAGCCTTAGACTCGAAAGTGTGCTCTTTTGTCTGAGAGAAAAGGTTGCTTGCCTTCTCTATTAGTTTTATCCGAGGACCGTGCAGCGGAGATCCTTTGCTTGCCATTGGGTTTTTCCCCATTTCCCATGATTCTTTCCATAAAAGGAATGCTACCTCCTGAAAACAAACCAGCATTTATTTGATCATCATCATCTTCAACGTTTTTACCATTGGCCCCAACTTAGCTTCTGAACTAAAGTAAATGAATCAAGGAAAAACTTGATAATGATATACGTACATGAATCTGACCCGTAGATAAAAAGAAATCCTTGAGAAATTCATGTTTATGACACCTACAGCCATGAACACCGTTAGTGATCCTGATGATTGATTACAAGTGTAGTTTCAAATAATCAAGTATGCTAAATAGAAGAAGAAGTTTTTTTTCCTACCGTGCATAAGCTACAAATAAATCACGTGCCAAAACTCTGCCTTGGATCATCGCAAAGAATTCCAAAGGAGGCCTCTGGTCAACCCCAACAAGTTTTAAAAGCCAAGTTAGTTTCTTGTTTGGTTAGCGCAAAATACATATTTGTAGTGAAAAGTGATAACATCACATATACCTTTTGCCATATATGAAATATAACTAGATAAACCAGGTCTGTGTCACCACTCTCAGTTGCTTTCACTAAAGCTGTGTCTTCCTCCCCAATGCTTAACAAGAGAGGAACCTGGAATTACAGGAAGTGATCACAAAACATGTGAGACAAAGTTATTACCTCGAAAACTTACTTCATCTTAAATAGACAAACCTGTTTCGTGGAGCGTGGTTCATGTTCAACTAGCATTGCAGCTAGCTTTCGACGGCCACAGTTATCAGCATGAGTGGCCACTGCCGCATAAGATATTCCTCTACATAGTTGAAGCTGAAATTCAACGAACATTAGTTATTCCTTTTCAAGTCCATGTGTTTCTTCCATCTATATAGATCTTGCACAGATTGATAAATTAAACTAGAGTTTGAACCTTATCAAGTAAAATTTCAAGAAGATGCGCCTCTGGAGTTGATGGTGAAGCAGTTATCTTTGCACATGCCCAATGCATTATCACCACTTCCTACACGACGCCAATAAATAGAAAATTTACAATCACACTAAGGCCAGCTAGAAAAAAAAAATGGAGATAGAAGGAGCGGTGTTGCAGGTTTATTCATTCCTTTATGCTGACTTACTTTATTCATTCCCAAGTATTCAGATATCCGGAGAGCAAGAAGGTGGGAGTGAGCATTAATGAGGCGACTTATCAAAACCATTGCTGTCAGTAACTGCAAGCCAAATAAATTTCTATTCATGAGGAACGAGTAGCTGCAAGTGTTTGTAGGCGCTTTCTTTGTCAGAGAAAATTATATAAATTGCAAAGACCTTGTACTGCTGAATGCTAAGAGGTATGCCAATATCAGGATCACGAACAGCATTTAGAACCCGTAAAGTTCTACAAGTCTCTTGGACACGGTCACGCTGAAAATTGCTGTCAGAGATCACCGAGCGTTAGTCTCAGAAGGTTAGAATAAGATTACTGAAACTCGATTTTTTTGAGACTTACCTGCTGAAAGCTTGTCCATAACTTGCCGCTCGTAACAGAGCCCTCTGACGAGTCACATTAAATTCATGGCCAGCAGCGTCAATACAGGATTCAACAGCCTCAGAGAGTGATGAGCGGATTAATCTCAAATTTTCATCTGCCTGACAGAAGAAGAGCAAATTCAACTTCATCATCCAAATCAAGAAAATGGTAACTATAAACAATTCTTCTCAACTCATTCCATTTCTTCTAGACCTAAATACATCCTAACAATACAATATTAGCGCCAGCAAGAACAAAGCTTGACAAGAGATCTTCTAACTGTTAAGATGCTTATGAATTTCTGTTGTCTACAGTAATCAACCTACCTTAGCACTTCGCCTGTCAAAATGATCCAAAGCATCGTATAGCAAAGCTGCAGGGGATGTGCTTCCAATCTTAAAGATTGACTCAGTAGAATCAGGTACTCTTTGAAGAAACTCAAGGCTCGTGTTAGACAATATCCTCACTCCATCGCATTCCGGGATAAGAATCACAGGTTCATCATAGAAATAGTGGACCGGATCTCCTAAAGGACCAACCATCAACAAATCCTCATCCCAATACAGCAGCACACTATCCATTCCACACCAAGCCATCTGCTGCGGAGGAAGAGCTGACTACAAAAACCATGTGATCAAGACACCAAATCATAGCAATTATACACAAAAACCATATTCACCAGGCACATGATGACATACCTCACAACTGTAGTCAATAGCAATCTTCTTTGATTCCATCCCAACCACAACAACACGGCTATCATGAGTGAAGAGTGTTAGAAACTTTCCATTAGGTGACACAATCATCTTCTGCACCGCTCCAATCAAATTCCCATAATCATCATTCTGCATCTCAGAGTCTTCTACACTAGGCTCATCAAACCTAATACTCTGCGCCTCGTCCTCATCCACAACAAAGATCTCCTCCCCAACTCCCACCAACACCTCAACATTCCCTGACATCGTGTACTGAGGCTCCCTCACAGCCAAGCAAGTCGGCTGAAGCATATCATCTTCTATCAACCCGGGCACATCAGCCAACTTATAAGGCTTCATCGTCTTGAAATCCGAAATACAAAACAACTCCCCTCCTTCCGTCAAACAAACAACACCATTCCCCCAAAACACACACTCCACAACATTCTGCTCAAAGCACTCCTTCCCCATCGAAACATTAGGCTCCATGAGCTCTGCGTGGATGTTGTAACGATAAATGGTGCCGTCTTGAACAATGCAGATAAGTGTCTGGTCATCTGACCAGGACATTCCTATGAGACGTCCTCCAGGGTGCTTCCAGATAGTCTCGGAGAGGAGTACACCTGCCGAGTTAAAGATCCGGAGCTTTCTTAGAGCAGACTCAGCGTATAGCTGCACAATCTTGGAGTCGTCTCGAATGACTGCGATTGGACCACCGAACGAGGCACAAGCCACCTTGTTCCGGCTCAAGTCCACATGTTTCCATCTCATTTGGTATATCTCTGGCTTCCTGTAGTATCGATTGTAGAGAAGCTGCCATTCCGCAGCAACGGACACATTCGCCATCTGAGGAATATGATAATCAAACGAAACTGAGACTATTGGATTGGTTTAACGACGCAGTGACACACACTACTACTTACTTCGATGAAAGCGAGCAAGAATCATCACAACAAAGTAGCAATTGAGCTGAAGTAGCAATGAATTTGCCAAAAGATAAGCTCTTTTAAGTTTGTGAATTCGCAATTTGACCATAGAGGAACGGTTTTGAAAGAGTTATTTTCAATTCCCAGGAACTTCTTGCGATTGTATTGAAGAGTGATCTCGATAGAGGTTTTTACAGTAAAACAGGATCATCAATCTCTTTAGCTAATCTAGTTTTGGGAGATCGATCGACAGAAACATTCGGAAAGGAATTTCCATTGGAAAGGAAAACATTGAAAGATCAATAAGAAAAGGACTTACTTTTTAGAAACGAAATCCACGATTGAGCTTCAATGAAAGGCGATGAAGAGAAGAAATTATCAACGGAGACGACGGAGTTTGAGCCAGAGGAGAGAGAGAGAGAGAGAGAGAGAGAGAGAGATCAGAGCAAAGAGCCACGATCCTTTTTTTTCTTAAAAAAAAAAATCTTATTGTTGTTATTATTTTTTTTTTTTCTGTCAAATTTTCTTATCGTTGCAATTTTGTTGGGTGCACTCTTATGGTTGCACTGGATTGCAATTTTTGTGATTCCATAAAATTATTACCAGTGTTTTTTTTTTTATAATGTAATTATTACCAGTTACGATGAAAGAAAATGAAAAATCATTCCATTTATTCTATTTATTTCACAGACGAAAAAACAAATCGGATGCAACTAGATTGAAATTTTTCGGAAGGAAATTATACGTGGAATAGAATATCAAGTATGAGGAATCAATTGAATCAATTTAAATGGGATAGAAAAAAATGGAATAGAATAGAATTGGTATTCCATTCATTCATAAACGTTTTTGGTGTAGGATGATTTTTCAAAATGATTTGTTTTTTTTTATGTAGAATGAATGAGATAAATGGAATGATTTTTCATTTTCTTTCATGATAACTAGTAACTATTTTATAGAATTCTTTGAAATACTCCATTCCATATAATTTCATTCAGAAAAATCATTCCACATCAAAAAGGTTCATGAATGAATGGAATAACAATTTTATTTCATTCCATTTTTTTTCATATACTTACCCAATTAATTAACAATATATCCAATAGAGAGGTTTTGCCGCGGATTTTGTTGTTTTCGAGCTTCGTGATGAAGCATAGAGTGGATTTTGATGGAGATGTGGATTCCTGATTTGCTATTTGTCAAGGGAAAGTTGAATGTGAAAGTTGAATATGAAAGTTGATCTACTCTTTTGTTGGAGTATGATAGTGGTCGTCCACTATGGGAAAAGAAGCTTAAAATCATCTTAATTGGATATAAATTGTTGTACTATACTCGTATCGTTCAATATTCTCCCTAGAATGATAGTTGAAAAACTCATGTATCGAGGACAGTTTTGCATCACTATCCAGCAATCCATTAACCTAATTGAAAAACTTTTGTATCAATTTTCCTGATTAAAGAGTACAAGAATAAAGTTGAGAAGGAACCAGATTTTAATAAAATTTCAAATAAAATTATCAAATATTTATTAACACAATAATACTCGTAGAAACTTTGAGGTTCAATATTCTCCATAGCAATCTTGACCAGTGGCAGATCTACATGTATGAAGGGTGGGGCAAGTGCTCCATGCTAATTTCATAATTTTCTCTATTTAACACAAATTTGATAGTGTAAATATAGCATATTTAGTTACTATTGTCAATGATGCCACATGCTTTCACGGTTCTCTTAAGTTTTTTCTCCCATTTTAATTTAAATTTGTCTTTCTTATAATCGTTTCTTCTTTACTTGACATCTCATAGTTATTTATCTCTCTTATATCTTAATTTTTAATCATTTTTTTCCAATTACTTTTTTATCATTTTTTTCATTTTCAATATTATGCCCCATACAAAATATTGGTCTAGATCCGCCCTGATCTTGACACGCAAAAATAATTTGACTTGTCTATATTTTAATGATTTTGGATAATGCACGAAAAATGTATGTTTTCAAAATTTATGATGAACATCCAAAATTTACAACAGCTTGGGCCATTTTTTGAATTTCTCTTCGTCTGGGGCCATACTTTTTGGTCGGATTATCTTACCCCATTATTCCAAAATGTTTTCTTAATTACGCTTTGATGTCTTCATCTTTCTTAAAATAGATAAAAGCATAAATGAGTGTTAAAAGAAAATTATTTTATCTATAATCATTACATAGAGACCAATAATAAATGCGGAATATTCATTTCTAAATAGTCTTGCATAACTAACAACAATTATCAATACGGCCAAGTACCAACTAGAGAGCGGTGAAACCGTTACAACAATCAAATACAATGAGATTCTTCTTTAAGATTTTTGATTCCAGCATAATAGGTTTTGAGATTAAGATTATATGAATGTGTATGTATGCAAAATATTTTCGAGCACACACGATATTAACATATATCAATACAAGTGAATCGTCTCCAGTACTCTGCTTTTCAGGTGGTTTGCAAACAGTTTAAACGGCATGAATAGATTGGCTTCTAGTATAAATTTAATCATTTTGGATTATTATAATAATAATAATTAAAAAAAAGCCATCTTCCTTATTTCATCGTCTCTCACTTTCATATCTTTGATCAAAATCCCACATGTTAAAAGTCTGTGTATTTAGAGCTGGTTTATCTACATCAAGTTATGGATAAAAATCCATAACTGACCCGAAATGGCTATTTATGTGTTGGTGATTATGCACGTAAGGAGGGTTCGAGAGATAAAGTTCCTTAACTTCTTCTCAATGTGACCTAACTCATGAGCTTGAAAGAAAAACATCTTATGCAGACACAAAATTCTCTGTTCGTTTTTCTCATTGCATGTTCTAAACACACTTGGAAATTGGAATCATGGATTCCTTGTAAGAGATGAGAAAGTAGTTATTCTATCGAAGCAGATCATAATGGTTTCTACCACTGTAAAGAAGCCTAACAACACTCTTGTTCTTGTTCCCTTTTCCCCAGCCTCCTCGAAACTCAGCTCCATACTCTGCAATCGGTATAAAACCCGACCCATAACCTCCTCTCCCATGCTGGAAAAAAAACCAATGCCGAATAAATCAAGATCCGAATACAAATGAGGCCTTATTCACTAGAACAAAAATGACTCTTCTTACCTCATGCTCTGGTATGTAGACGATGATTGGCTGTTTACATAGCTTGGAAAGTACCTGTTGAAGCAAAATCAAAAGAACAACTTTTAAGATCGTTTTCTCAACGATGGGGAAGATTTTTGAGTTTTACAATGCAGAGAGGGACTCACAAGCAGCTCTGACTCTCCTCCCCAGAAATCATGTCTTCCAATCCGCTGGCAATAGCTGAAGGAAAAATGTTGATGTGATAAGAAAAAAACACAGTCATTGTCTCATTGATCTGAAAGAGTGATGGTTTTCTCTTATGACTCACCGTTTCAGAGGCTCGTCTACAGTGATAGCCACTAAAGCTTCCTTGTACTTCTCCCTTTCATTGGGGTCATTGCATATAACCTCTTTCACAGCCATTCGTAACTCATCTGTTTTCAAGAAAATACAAGAGATTTCAAACAACTCAAAAGGATGAGGTTTCTCAACTACTCTCGCTCATCTACCAGTAGACAAGAGAACCCACAACACCAAAAGGTTAACAACAGATTGTGTTGATTAAAACTCAATAAAGATCAAAACTTTGTGAGTAAAATGATGGAATATAGTCAGTCACCTGCATCGTCTCTCTCTGTCCGAGGGTTAATAGTAAGACCCTTGTTAAAGGCCATTCCTTTCACCTAATTTTACATTGAACAATTACATCATTTCTTCAGGAAACTTCAACAAGAACAATCAATCCACGAATTACATCCAAAAAGAGCAGAGCAAGAATGAACAATTACCAGTGCTCGGAACAGACACCGGCCATCTCCGGTAACTCTATCCACAGCGTACTGCTCAACCTTCTTCGCTGCCGGAGATCGATTCCTGGAGATTAAATGTAGGAGCATTGCGGTTCAAGATTGAAAATTCGCAAATTAAGGAATAGGGCTTTAACAAAATAGTGAAGATTGGATTCAATAGATTAAGAGCTGAAAAAAACTGTAAAAACCCACATTGAGGAACCGATTCTGGCGAAGAATACATGGCTATTTCCCTGCGTAGCGCCTAAGAACGAAGCGGGGAGTGAAGGGGAGGAGATTGGATCCGAGACAGAAGAAGTAGGGGAGGAAACAAGCTCGAATCGAGCGAACCCATGTCTCAGCTGCTCAAGAATGCTATCTGCAACAGAGACGACATTGACGATGTTGTTAGAATCCAACGAGAGAACAAAGAAAACAGACAAAGGTGCAGAGAACTGAAGTATTACTGGTGGAACTGGAAGATTTGAGCTCCATGGAATCTCTCTTTTCACGGGATAAGAGAATTTCGAATTTTTTACTCTGAAGAAAGGAAGAAGAGGAAAAGAGGGACTGAGGAAATGAGTAGCCACCATATTTGTCGGTTCATATATTTAACTACCTATTTCTGAACACAAATCCGTTGTAGTCTAGCTGGTTAGGATACCCGGCTCTCACCCGAGAGACCCGGGTTCGAGTCCCGGCAACGGAGCTTTTATTATTACATATGTCAATTTATACAGAACATTTTTCTTATTAATAATCGCCACCGGCACATAAACCTAACCCCAACAAATCCACCGGACCAAATCCAAAAGCTTTTGGACCGACAATTAAATATTACTATCAATCTCACACAGGCGAGGTGTCACGTGCGCACGTGCGAATCGAAAACTTTATGGTTTAACGACCAACCGGAAAATTCTGGCAAATTGGCAATAATCAAAAACAAAAGATTCAATCCAAAGCTGTGTTTTTTTCTCCAATCTGCATAAGAAATATCGAAAACACTTCCCCACAAAATCCACGCGCTCTCTCACGCTCACACACTCGCATACACTTGTTTTCCCATTTCAAAAACCAACCAACCCTCTCTAATCGACGACGACGATCTCTTCGATGCTCTCTCTACCTTCCTTCTAATTCTCCCAATCTTCGTCTCGGATCTCTGATTTTTTTTTTCTTTTTCTTCTGAGGTGAGTTTCAATCATTTGAGCTGGGTTTTAATTGATGAGCTTGAGATTTTTGGTAATGAGATTTGTTTGTTTGTTTACGAAAGAGAGAAATTGACAATGGAACGAATCTGACCATTTGCGTTCTCCATTTTGATCTCTCGTCAATTCAAATTATGAATTATTGATCGGTTTATTGCATAAATCTGATTGCTTTTATACTGACTTAATTTGTTTCGGATTTGTTAACTTAGAGCTCTGAGATCTGCTTGGAGTGGATCCATTCAAGTAACTGAAGAAATCAAGCCAAAAACAAAATGGCGTCAATGTCTCATTCATCTCTAGCATTGGGTGGAGCTTCTGCGTCTGCTTCGGATTACTTGCGTAGTTCGAGCAATGGTGTTAGTGGAGTCTCACTGAGAACTCTAGGAAGATCAAAGTTCACAACCACCACCAGAAGAAGTGCCCTCTATGTCTCAGCTCGGCTCAAGAAAGGTAAGAAGTTTGATCATCCATGGCCGGCGAATCCTGACCCCAACGTGAAAGGAGGAGTCTTGTCTTACTTGTCGACTTTCAAACCTTTGGGGGATACACAAAAGCCTGTCACTTTGGATTTCGAGAGGCCACTTGTTGAATTGGAGAAGAAGATTGTCGATGTACGTACCAATGAAACACTACTAGTAATCATGTGTTTGGACCGGTTTGATGTTATTGTGATTGTGATGCAGGTGAGGAAGATGGCGAATGAAACCGGTTTGGACTTCACTGAACAGATTATCACTCTGGAGAACAAATATAGACAGGTAAAAAAATGGTTCACAATTTGTTTGTGGCATGACTTCTTCTTACTGGCTTGCCAAATGAATCTCAGGCATTGAAAGATCTTTACACGCATCTCACTCCGATACAACGTGTGAACATTGCACGACATCCCAACCGTCCTACTTTCCTTGATCATATATCTAACATCACTGACAAGGTTTGGTTCTCTCTCTCATAACTTTTGCCTCTTTGTCATGCATTGGGAATCAAAGTCTTGAGACTCTTGGTTCTTGTTTCAGTTTATGGAGCTTCATGGAGACCGGGCGGGGTACGATGACCCTGCGATTGTGACGGGTATTGGAACCATAGATGGGAAACGATATATGTTCATAGGTCACCAGAAAGGTAGAAACACCAAAGAGAATATAATGCGTAACTTTGGGATGCCTACTCCTCACGGGTATGTTTTTTACGCTGGCTTGTAGTTTAAATAGAATAATTCAGTGTCATTCAACAACACTCTCATCAAATTTTATGTAATGTCAACAACAGTTACAGGAAGGCACTACGGATGATGTATTACGCAGACCATCACGGTTTTCCCATTGTGACGTTCATCGACACTCCTGGAGCGTACGCAGATCTTAAATCCGAGGAACTTGGACAGGTACAGGAAAAGTCTTGTATGTTTGAAGTGTACTGGTTTATCATATCTGCAGCGTGACATTTTTTTTTGCTTATGTATATAATAGGGTGAAGCGATTGCCAACAATCTGAGGACGATGTTCGGCTTGAAAGTGCCGATTCTTTCTATTGTCATTGGGGAAGGTGGTTCTGGTGGTGCTTTAGCCATTGGATGTGCTAATAAAATGTTGATGCTCGAAAACGCAGTGTTCTATGTTGCCAGGTAAAAGTTTCTTCCGATTGTAGATATTGATCATATGATATTTCTAAAGATTGATTTATCAGATCTGTTGTTCTACCTTTCACAGTCCAGAGGCTTGTGCAGCGATCTTGTGGAAGACTTCCAAGGCTGCTCCTGAGGTATGTACACTGTTCTGCTACTCGATTTAAGTAATCATGTAGAAGAATCTGATGTTAAAAAATGAATGAAATTCTTGTACGCAGGCTGCTGAGAAGCTTAGAATTACCTCTAAGGAGCTGGTCAAGCTTAATGTAGCCGATGGAATCATACCTGTAACTGATCCTGCCTCTTACACCTCTTTTGTTTCTTTTTGGATCAATGAGTTACTTAGTCTCTTACATGTTGTACAGGAACCGCTTGGTGGCGCACATGCTGATCCTTCATGGACGTCGCAGCAGATAAAGAATGCTATCAATGAAAACATGAATGTACGCTTAAGTTTATTTGCCTCAAAAGCTGAATGTAGATTATAAATTTTTCTAACTTTTGTTTTGGTTTTTTTTTTTCCTCAGGAATTTGGGAAAATGAGTGGGGACGAGCTGCTGAAGCACAGGATGGCTAAGTACAGAAAGATTGGAGTGTTCATTGAGAATGTTCCAATAGAGCCTGAGAGGAAAAGAAACATGAAGACGAGAGACGCTGTGGTCTCCACTAGCCGGAAGCTGGAAGGCGAGGTTGAGAAGCTAAGAGAGCAGATTCTGAAAGCTAAAGAGACGTCTTCTTCAGAGGACGAGCCTTCGAGCGAACTCCTCAACGAGATGATTGAGAAACTTAAATCCGAGATCGACGATGAGTACACTGAAGCTGCAGTAGCAATGGGTTTGGAGGAGAGACTAAATGCAATGCGCGAAGAGTTCTCGAAAGCTAGCGCAGAGGAGCATCTCATGCACCCGGTTCTCATCGAGAAGATCGAGAAGCTCAAGGAAGAGTTCAACAGCCGTTTGGTCGACGCGCCTAACTACGAGAGCCTTCAATCGAAGCTGAACATGCTCAGGGACTTCTCCAGAGCCAAGGCTGCATCAGAAGCTGCTTCGGCGAGAAACGAGATCGACAAGCGGTTTCAAGAAGCCGTGGACCGACCTGAGATCAGAGAGAAGGTTGAGGCGGTTAAAGCCGAGGTTGCGAGCTCAGGGGCGTCGTCGTTCGATGAGTTAAGCGATGAGCTGAAAGAGAAAGTGTTGAAGACGAAGAGCGAGGTGGAAGCGGAGATGGCTGGTGTGTTGAAGTCGATGGGACTTGAGCTTGAGGCTGTGACGCCGAATGTGAAGGATGTGGCTGAGCAGACGTTTGTTCCGAACGAAGAGCTTCAAGAGAAGCTTGAAAAGCTGAACCAAGAGATCACAGAGAAGATTGATGAGGTTGTGAAGACGCCGGAGATCAAGAGCATGGTTGAGTTGCTGAAAGTGGAGACGGCAAAGGCGAGCAAGACGCCGCCGGGTGATAGCGAAGCGAGTCAGAAGATCGAGACGCTTGAGCAGCAGATCAAGCAGAAGATCGCTGAGGCTCTGAGCGCGTCGGGACTGCAGGAGAAGCAAGAGGAGCTGGAGAAGGAGATGGAAGCTGCTCGTGAAGTAGCTGCGGAGGAGGAATCAGAGGAGAGTTTGAAGGAAGATGATGATGACGACGACGAAGATGGTTCAGGATCCGGTAAACCAGAGATAATTAACCCCAGCTTCGCCTGAAGCACAAAATCAAGACCATTGTTTGTAAGTCAATAATCTGATTTTTGAATCATTCACAGATCAAACCAAATGCTAACTAACGCAGAAAGGCAAAACTCGCAGGATCTTGAAGCTCTTTTCGATTTCCATGGTAAGAGGCTTTTCTTAGAACTATCCATGAGCAAATATCAACGAGAGAGAAAAACTCTGAGTGGAGGAACAGCAACTTAGAAGCCTGCTTTCTTTAGTTTAGCTTTTCTGGATTGGGTCAAACATTTGCAATGAGTGACTTTTGTCTGTCTTTGGATTCATTTATGTATTGTTATGTCTTGTTTTGTTAGAACACTAGTTTTGTCTTTTGAGTCTCTACGTAACACTTTTTACCCTTCTGCTGAAACCTTTTGATATATTTATACTTCATAGATTTGTCTATACGGTACACAGTTTTGCTCTCTTGAAGACTACACTCAACATAAGAACTAAACCGTATTGATGATGATACTAAACCGGTTAAACTGAAATTTTTTGAAGAAACTAGTTTTGGAACAAATTCAGACATACAAGTTGGTTTGGTTTCTCTACTTTCTCAGTACAAAAAAGGAATAACAGCTTTCCGAGTCTTGGGGTACTCATCCTTGAACTTGTCCATGTACCACTTGTGGCTCGCACGTGCGCGCGGGATCAAATTAGAACACGTGTACAAGAAAAACCCAATTCCGGCGAAAGACCAAGTCATTACAGACCAGCCCAACCACTCAAGTACCTCTCCGAAGTAATTCGGACAGCTTACTAGTTCGAACCAGCCTCCTCTCGGTACCACATAACCACCCTGGTTCTCTTTCTTCAGTCGTACAAGAGTCCGGTCCGACGTGATATTAATCCACATACCGGCTATGAAAACCGCCGTACCAATAATAAACTTCCACCAGAACCACTGTCCGTCTTCGTAGTCGTTCTTGTAGTGAGAAACCCACCTCGCCTGAACATTGAAAACCAAAAAACATTGTGATTTTGAATCGGTACATAGTGAAATGTTCCGGTTTAGTTTGACTTTCCAAACTGATAACCGGGTACTAACATACCAAAATTAGATACAAACCGAAGCAATCGAATCAAACCAAACCACCGTACCTGGACATAAGCGTTAAGAAGATTAAAGGTGAAAGCCATGGCGGCGACGCTGACCGGAAAGCCGCTTTTTGCAGAAGAGGAGGAGCTGCGGTGGAGGCGGAGAGGGTAAATGATGGTACGGTGGAAGTAATGGAGGAGATAGAGTGAGAAGAGGAGGAGAGATTTAGGATTGAGAGAGTGACGGCCAAAGGGGAAGAGGAGGAGCGTGAGCCACAAGGTCGGGCTCTCCATGACGAACCAAGCAATCGGCGGAGATATGGTGGGACCCCATCCACTACGGTTGTGTTTGCCGTATGGAGCTTGGAGGAATTTCAGAGCGATCGCGGTCGGCGGGCCAATGAAAATTAGGGTCAGGACGCAATAGCGAAAGAAAGTCTGATCGGCGATCTCTTCCATTTTGGTGTTTCTCTGTCGTAAAAAAATAAAAATAGTGGAAGACCAGATCTCTGTACTTCTCTAGGCAGAGTGAAATACAGGTGTCGTCACTGACAAAATACAGCTCAACTTGTAATTTATTTGGATTTTTTACCCTCTTTTTTTAACTATATATTTAGAATATTTTTCTAATTCTAAGAAATATATCCAAAACAATTATAAATAAAAAATTTACACTGACTGAAAATTTGTTTACTGATATGATTCTTTAAAAAAAATAAAAAAAAAAAAAAAAAAAAAAAAAAAAACACAAAAACACAAAAACCAAATTAGTGTTTCTACAGTTGGATATGTACACTTTAGCTTTCTCTTGGTGCGTCTGATGTTTCAAATTGCGAGCAACAAGGACCAAATCATGTACGTTTCTGGTCGTCTTGTTAAATAACACATTTATTTTTTTCTTTCTTTTTTTTTTGGTCAACTTTCAATAACACATTTTAAAGGCAGTTTTCAATAACTAGTGAACAAAATTTCTTAATTAGCAAAATCGATGGAAAACATTTGACCTTCAGTCACTAGACTACTTAAGTAAAGCAAATATTTTTTTTGGCTAGAGTCATTTACGGGTTAATTTGCTTTCGATATTAAAGCTAGCTTCGATAAGGTTTTCTTTGCAGTCCTCTACTTCAATTTTCTGGGAGTACAAAAGGAAAAAGAGCAGGAACCATCCGGTTACAATTTGAATGTTGTAGGAGATGAAATCATTATATTATGCCACTACAAATTATCAAGCTCTTAAACCAACTAAACTAAACCTTACCAGTCAATGTCCTTTAATCTGTTTTCGCTCAGTAACATCTTGAACCACTCCAATCTCTAAACCAAAATAAGTAGCAACTCCACATGTACTTGATGTACATGGTTCATTAGCAAAAAAAAAAGTTCTGATTTATTATTCATCAAATTTGACTAGTATAGATACTTCAGGAGTCATAGTTATTAATTACATAATTATGATTGCATTTGCACCTAGTTTTTATGAAATCACAGACATCCCAGAAAGAAAAAGAAAAAATATATATATATATTCTAACTCCACCCCAAGAAAAAAAAAATTGTATTTTGTACTGGAAAGCAATGTTTTTCTGGTATGAGTGGTATCCTATTCAAAGCTCTCAAGTGTAAAACGAAAGCGTTTTGGATATATCTAGAAGACTCGCTCTCCGGTGGCAAAGAGGATCCAAAACACGGTGGTTGCAAAATAAAGAAACGCTGTTACCGTCAAAAACGCCTGAAAAGAGCCGAGCCACTGCACGAAATAGCCCGTCCCTATTGTACTTACAATAGCAGCCAATGTACCCGCACAATTCGAAATACCTGTTTCACACACCAAATACAAAAAAAAAACTAACTTCTTCAGCAAGAAACATAATCAATACTATAAGAAAAAAACAAGATCCACCATATATAAACATTTACCGTGCAAGAAACCAGCACATTCCGGTGCGATGTCCTGTTTCCTCAAAGAAAATACCAACAATGTTGTGAGATTCAAGATTTATCCCAAAATAGCTTCGGTTAGTGTTGATCAATCAAGTTTATAATGGGTACTAGTTATAATCAACGTACTTGCATATTGAGGAGAAACCCGGCTTGGCTAAATGAACTCAAGCTCAATGCAACGGTCATGAAGACCGCTGCGCAAGAAGGAGACTTTGCGTAGTTAAGGCAGAGCAGAGACAACCCTGGACCCATGAACCCAATAGACTGATAATTAAAGCATAGGGACGTTCCGTTAGAATGTGAAAAGTTAAAAATCTTTTAGGTAACAAAATATTGCAGATTGTACAATCACCTGCATGATCTTTCGGACAGAGGTTACAGAGTGACCAGTCCTGATCAAGAAGTCTGATGCTGCGCCTGCATAGTAACCTGAGATCGCCATTGTCGCCCATGGAAGAGCACTGAACCAAGCCGCTTGCTTCAAATTCACATTAAACACCTGTGATCAAGACGAGACATCGGTTTAAAACATCATCGGCCTTTTCACTTCATCTCTGAATCAAAAACTTACCGTCTGGAAGTAAACAGGCATCCATGAGAGAAGAACAAAGTAGCCCTATAATTAAGAAAAACTGTGTTGAGTTTATGTCAAAAAGATAAGGAGCATTGCTCTAAACAAAGATACTATCAAACTCACCCAGTTGTTAGTCATATTAGCAAAAATGATGGCCCAAGTAGGCAATTTCGACAGAAGAAAGAGCAAAGATGGGTTAGGTTTTGCCACATTGGTTGGCGTGTGAACTGGTTTTCCAGCTTGGATAAGCCTAAGCTCTGACCTAGTGATGAAAGGACTGTCTTGAGGGTTGTTTGTAACGCCGCTTGACCATGTGGACACCCACAAAAGACCTAAGGACGCAAAGAGAATGAATGGGCCAGAGATTCCTATAGAAGATAACATGATCGGCGTCAACAGAAGTCCCACCACATTCCCCATGTGAAACCCGGCCATCGATATCCCAACCGCACTCGCTCTTTCATCTGTTGGAAACCACCTGAGCACAACATATATATAAATGTGAGACATTTTCAGTTTTTTTCTTTTTATCTAGCAAGTTGTTAGGATATAAGGAAGTACCGAGAGAGAAGAGTGGTCATGGAAGGCATTGCAACGCCTTCAGCGAGGCCAAAGAAGGCACGGACACATAATAAGGCTAGAGTGGAGTGTGCAGCTGCCCAAGGAGTGAGTAGAGTGGCTAAAGACCACAATGCGACTCCCCAAGCCAATACTCTTTTGCCTCCGTACCGGTCCACCAATGCTCCTCCGATAACCGATGAGAAAATGTAACCCCATAGGAAGGAAGACTGCAAGATTTCAAATAAGTTTCAATCCATATTGAAAAAACGATACCGTGTTTGCCAAGAAATTGAAAGTGGTGCTCATCAAAGAGTCCTAACCAGGAACCTATATATAAGAAATCAATCCAATCGGTTCATGATTTATTTATCCGGTTATTAAAGAAAAAGACACTCCTAAAATGTGGAAAATTTGTTGTTTGTCGTTTCCAGTTGAATTGAATGCCCCCAAAATGAGATAAATTAGATTTATAGCTTCCAAGGGAAACAAAAACTCAGTAAAGGGAGAGCAACGTGACCCACACTATAAATATTTTGGTACCATAATAAGTGCTGATGTTCCTGTCTTTGATTGAGAGTTGAGACTGATACATTTTTTTTTATTAAATGCCACTAGGAATTTTATCTCCGCGCAAGCGCGGGGTTGTTTGCATATATTTTTAGTTGTTCATCATCATTTATATACTTTACAAACTATGCTCTTAATGTTTTTCCTTTATGTGTTGTTCTGTATATATGATATTGATGTTTATTTATTAAATATTTATACAAACAAAAAAAATTGAGTGATTTTTTTTTAATGTTAGAAATAGTCAATACTTTAGTTTTTTTTAACATCAAAATCAATAATTTAGTTTTATATATAACTTATTTTTATTACTTAAATTTAACTGTTAGCTTTCAACAGTTAAACATTTTCCATGAAATTTTATTACATACATTATCTTTTTACATAATATATATTATTATGAATTTTAGACATTTTAATTTTCAGTACATTTTTTTCTTTTAAAAAAAATCTCTTGCATCTACTGTTAAAAATTAACTTTTAATCTTTTAAATATTAAGTTCAACCAATTTTTATTTATTTTTGTCTTTTATATTTTTATTAATCATTTTTTTTTAATACATTTTTATATTTTTGGTTGAATAATAAATCATTCAATGATATTATGAAAGTGTATGTATTAATTGAATCATTAATTTTGATTTAATTAATTTTTTTTTTGATATGGACACTCTAAGAGGAGAGAGCAACTCCTAATTATATATAAGATTCGATGTTGAGTAAAAAATATATTTTTAGTAGTCTCACTTTTAGATTAGGTGAAGCTTTCTCCTAGTTTGTCCATTTTCTCAACAACCACTCTAGTTTTTTAATGATTCCATAAATCTTTAATCACACAAGAATTCTTTCTTTCGGTGGTTTCATAGCGTTTTACAGTCTATATACTAAAATGATATTTAAAAAAAAAATGATTTTGTTTGCAACTTATTTTTGAATATTCGTATGAAAATGCCAAAATGGAGGGAGTTTCTATTAACGGAATTTCCGAACAAAGAAAAAAATCCGGCAATAAATATGTTAAAGCTATTTATATAAGGAAACCAAATCAGTCGTCAAGAAGTTATAATTTTCTTGATAAACTTAATCACTTACGGATTTGCGGATCAAGAATGTGATTAGTGGAGTTAATGTAAAGATTTGACCAAAAGATTAGGATATTAAGAAATTACCTGAACTACCCCTAGAAAAGAACTCGACCAGCCAAGCTTCTCGGCGAGTGGAACCACCGCTACGGACATCACAATGCGGTCGGCGTTACAAAGACACATCATGCACGCCGTCAGTATCACCACCTTGATCCTCTCCGGCATCATCGTCACCACCTCCGCATTATCCTCCGTCTCTCCTCCTCCCATCAGTATTCCCTCCGCCGCGCATCTTTCCGATGATTGATTCCTCTTCTTCGCCGCCGTCGCCACCGCATCGCCTCTTCTTTTAACATGGCTTACCGACGAAGAACGTAAACTCTCACATCGAATCTGATTTTCTCTGGCTTCGAAACCGAGACCCGGAAAGACTTTCCGGGTTGCGATCGGATTGCGACGGAATCTCAACAAACATGACGATTGTTGCAGAGAGTTTACCGACGCTGCTATCGCCATTAACGAGTTCTTTAAGAAAGATGTAACTTATCAAGCCGATCGTGGTGTAAATGTTTAAGAGTGGTTAAAAATAACAGAGGGAGAGAAAGAGAGAGAGGGATAGTTTTTCAGGGAGAGAGCGAATTCGCCATGAAAGAAGGTCGTGAAAGACTTGTGCTGGTGGTGTTTGGTGGTGAAGGGTATTTACGTCAATATATAAAATAGTTTCTGCTGCATCCTACGTGGAGACACGTGATGTGTATATATGACAAAGTGACTCCACCACGTCAACGCCCACCTACAACGGAGACAACTGGTTACCGGAGCTTCCCGTATATAAAATTAAGCGGTGATATTTTGCAATTTATATTTATACGATTAAAAAACACGAGATCGCCGACTGCTTAAAAGTGTGAACGTCTTTTGAAAATTGTGATTGTGAAACTGAAGCATTACATACATCACGGTCTCATCGCATTGGACCATTTCAGAGAAGTAAAACCTATAAATTCTTTACACTCTTTGGGAAAGGCTTCTATTTCTTTTAATCATAAAAACTAAATAAGAAGCACACTGGTTATGCTTTGCAAATCATGATCACAGCTTTTCAAAAGACTTTGAGTTAATTTGTTTAATTATATGTTAGGATGTATATTTGCTTTTTCAGGGTATATATGTTGGTTCGAGATAACGGGTCCAAGAATGTCAATCTATAGGTACATGTTTGACCAAAATAAAACGTAAGTATGACCGAGATGGGAAAGAAAAATCATCCCACGTCTTTGAAATTGGTCCATGAAAACGGGAAGGAAAAGCCCAGGTTCTTTACAGCATAATTCATTCAGAGCCCAAAAAGGAAAAAAAGAAAGTACTGGAAAATCAGAGAGAAGATGGTCATGCGACTCATGTCTAATGACATCCAAAATGGAACCCACGTAATATATAATGTGTTATTCAATTTCGTTACGCTGACAAATTTGAGGAGTGTCAAAATATAAGATCCTAAGTTTTAGTCTAAAGTTGATTAATTAACATCCTTCTTACCCTTCATATATGTATAAGTAGTCTGAAGAGTTTTGGAGTTCGAACTTCGACGTGATAGGTATATAATAATAAGATTATTAGTAACCGAATTCACAACGACTTCCGCAGAGCTCATCCATATTTTGATTCTTACTTGTTACAATAACTAACTCATTCCTTCAAAAACAAAAAGACACTCAGACTATGTGCAGTGCTATATAGATTAGTAGTCGTACTCATACAGTCACACATGATGTCACTGAATGAGTAGATACAATATTAGATGGATTTCCAATATATTATATGAGTGTTTTCTAATATTTTTTGGTGAGATGCCTAAACTATAAGCTCGTGTTTCTCCAAATCTATTGAAATTTCATAATCTGGGACTATACCAGGTTCATAGGTACTATAAGTGTTTTAAAATCATTAAAAGTGGCACTGAAATGTTCAAAGTGGGAGTGAACCTATGAGTGGTTCATAACATGGCAGTGGTCTATAAGAATTCCTCCTAAAGACATAGAGATTCTAAACTCCATTAATACTCCTACGACAGCTAAAAAAGAAGAGGGAGAGAGAGAGACAATGATCCTTTTTTTTTTAACATAAGAGAGAGAGACAATGATCTTTCACAAATATAAAAGCAACATCTGAAAAAGAAGAGAGAACCCATCTTTAACAAATACTTTGAAAAACCTACGAGGGAACAATTGAAAGGGACATAAAAATGTACATAAACATCATATGGTTGATTCTTTTGTTTCAATTATCAAGCATACAAAAAAAACACTATCCAAATATGTTTTGAAAATGGAGAAAATGAGAGACGAAAAGTGGGCCGAAGATGGGCCCAAAGAGGGACACGTGTGTTAAGGGAGAAAAAGTAGCCGGTTTCACACGAGTCTGGTTAAACTCTATTGCTCGTGACTCACCGACGACGGGACTTCTCTTCAATCTTCATCACTACCCCCGCGTGCGCCGTCGGTGCTATCCCACGCCCTTCTTCATTTTCCCAATTAATTGTTTTCTTCTATTTGAAAATTTAAATCCTAAAGTTATTTGGATGTTTCTTTTCTAAGATAGAGTACTATTCACGTGTGCGAATTTACCTCCGAGTTTTTATACGAATTTTGTAGGAATGTCTCAGTTCATCTTCGTCTTTGTAATAATATAACTCACTGAACATAAAGTAACATGTAGTGTCAAGGTTTGTATAAAGCATATGCGAAATAAGTTTTGTATGTATAACCTTAGAAATTGTTCACAGCTTTAACATGTGGATAATTTAAGATTAGTACATCTGCATTAACATGCATTATTTGCTAAATTCTCAAAAGGCGAAAAGGTAGAGAAAACAAAAAGAGCGATAGAATAAGAAAAAGGAAAAATAAAATAAAAGTACGTAAAGAGAAAATGACAGAAAAAGGAGAAGAAAGAAAGCGAAATGTGATTATAAAGTGAACAAGTGAAAGCCATTGGAAGAAACATCCTCGAGCAATATTACCTGACATATTACCATTAAGTTATCTGTTCCTCGTAAAATGAAAAACGGAACCTCGAAAAATATCTAAAAATGTCAATTCAACAATCCATCTTAACCTCGTAAGATCTTTATCTCTTAACCTCATCCATAAACCCAAAGGAAAATAAGTGTCTTCCATCACAATGATTTTGAGACATATTTACATACTAGGCTAAGTGGCTCGTTGTTGTAATGAACAACCTGCGATCAACAAAATACGGCTGAGGTGTAATTTAGAAATTCTAGTGGGGAGTGACGCCGCCAATCAAATCAAGTCTTAAAAACCTTTTTGATTGGCTTGCATCATAATAATATTGATGCGTCAAGTAAGTAATAACATCCAGTCAACGTTTACTAGATTACATGACAAATACATTGATGCAAGAAGTTGTAACTTATCGAATAAACTGTTTATGGGGTTGAACATAAGAGAGAACGAGTATAAAAGAAGTGAAACAAGCATGTCCTTCTTATGGCTATCCAATTGCAATGATTCTTGGCTCATTGAATAGTTGATATCATATCATTTTTAATCTCTTTTTTGTTGTCTCTAGATTTGATTGTGTAATAATGTCATATGAATGCAATGATGACACTAGTACAAGAAGTCAATATGATTTCATATGTAGATGGTTTGTTGTCTGAACTCTTGTTTTATCTACATTTAGGTTGAAATAAAATCTTAGTACGGCAAAGTGGTGTCAAATAAATTATGAAGTGATTTGGTTCCAGCTAAGATGAATCTCTAAATTTTGAAAATTCTACACCTTGAATATAATTTTGCAATAATATTTTTATTTTGACAAAACTAGAAAGGTGAAAAGTGAAAACTCAAGATTTCAATAGAGAAAATCAATGGATTGTCCCTTACAAAAATTCCGAGACATCGGAAAGGTAAAACAAACAAAACTAATCTTAGGTGGTGGTGGTGGTGGAAGAGAACGTAGGGGCGTAACAGTCATTTTCGTAGACTTGTTGCTGCAGTACGACTAGACGACTGCTAAAAGTTACCAACGGAACTAGCAAAACGAATTTCAAAAGTGACCCCTAACATTTTATCTTTATTCTAATTTCACTCCCCTTTCTTTTATAATCTCTCAATTATCCTCACTTTGTTTCTTCTCTTTCCTCTTTTTTCTTTCTCTCGCTTTCTCACACAAACGGCTCTCTCTCTTTTTCCGTCGACAATTTTCCCTGAAGCTTTTTTTTCACTCTCTCGAGAAAATCCCCAGTGTAAATAATATGAGCGACCGGTGGTGTTTCCTATTCCTCCGGTTATGAATCCGGCCAACAACAACCCAGTTGCAGCTCCTGCCCTAGCTCCGCCGCGAAATCTGCCGCAGCCTCACCGTACTTCCACCTCCTGCGATCGTCACCCGGAGGAGCGTTTCACCGGATTCTGCCCTTCTTGTCTCTTTGACCGTCTCTCTGTTCTAGACGCCACTACCATCAACAACAACAACAGCAACGCCGTCGCTTCTTCTTCTTCCTCCAGGAAACCGCCGTCTTCTTCTACTTCCTCCGCCGCTCTTAAGTCAATCTTCAAGCCCTCGTCTTCCTCTGTAACCGGCATTCCTGGGCTATTGTTCCCAGAACTTCGGAGGACGAAATCGTTCTCGGCGGCAAAGAACGAAGCTTTAGCGTTATCTCTGGGTGCGTTTGAGCCGCAGAGGAGATCTTGTGATGTGAAGGTTCGAAAAACTCTGTGGTCTCTGTTTCACGAAGACGCCCATTGTGAGATTGATTCGCCGGTTTTCGAGGGAAAAGCGGTGGAAACAGAAATTGAAAGCGAGAAGGACATTAATTGTGGGAATCTCGAGGAGCCCAGAAGTTTAATCGACGAAATAGTCGAAGAAGAAGAAGAAGAAGTAGTTGAAGAAGAGGAGGAGACGGAGAAAGTGAAGGAGGAAGAGCAAATGGAGATAAATCCTGAGACTAGGAAGACGACTGCGGGGAGTTTCTGGTCGAATTTCAGCAAGAGGTTGCAGAAATGGAGACTGAAGCAGAAGCTTAAGAAGCACCGGAGCGGCGGAATCGGCGCCGGATCGAGCGGGTTACCGGTGGAGAAGTCAATCGGGAGGCAGCTCAGAGATACCCAGTCCGAAATCGCCGAGTACGGTTACGGCCGGAGATCGTGCGACACAGATCCGCGGTTTTCAATCGACGCCGGAAGGTTCTCGCTTGACGCCGGGAGGATCTCTTTCGACGCCGGTAGGGTTTCGGTGGACGACCCTCGTTGCTCGTTTGACGAGCCGCGCGCGTCTTGGGACGGGTATATGATCGGAAGAGCAGCCGCTCCGCCGCGAATGCGTTCAATGTTATCCGTCGTTGAAGATTCTCCGGTGAGTAACCATGTTCTCCGATCAGATACGCAAATTCCGGTGGAAGAACCATCACCGTTACCAACACCAGTAATGGATGAGATCGTCCCCGGTGGATCTGCGCAGACCAGAGAGTACTACACGGACTCATCTTCGCGACGGAGGAAGAGCTTCGACCGTTGTAGCTCCACCAGAAAGTTATCAGCTTCCGTCGTCATCTCCGAAATCGACGAGCTAAAGCTCTCTGCTTCAACTACTAAAGTCTCGCCTTTTCATGACGCGATTTCACATTCGCGTTCGCGTTCGAACTCGTTGAGAGACGATTGCTCCGCTGAGAATTTCGAGATTGGTGTGAGAGAAAACGCAGGGAGTGTCAAGAAGGGGACGAAGAAGCCTAAGAGATGGAGTTGGAACATATTTGGGCTGCTTCATAGGAAAAATGGGAACAAGTACGAAGAAGACAATGATACGTGGAATGTAGATAAGAGGAAAGGGTTTGATCCGAGGAAGATGAGGAGCAATAGTAGTGTGAGTTGGAGAAGTTCCGGTACTACCGGAGGAGGAGGAGGAGGGATTCGACGGAATAGTGTGGATGGATACGTTAGTGGGAAGAAGAAGAAAGTTAGTGGTAGTAGCAATGAGAGGAAGATTGAGGATGGAATGTTGAAGTTTTACATGACACAGAGTAAAGGAAAGCGAAGAGATGATGCCACTGGACAGACGAACCGGTCTGTTCCAGCTTCTCATTCTATGGCTAGAAACTTATACTGACCAAATTGTTATGGGCGACTTACAAGTTACAAATCTTTTCTTGTAGATGGTAGTTTGAATAAGTGTAGTGAAAGTTTGTATCGAATGAAAATGTTCAGAATATTTTCAATTTTTTTTGTTTTATTACTTTTCTCAATCTGATTCTTGTGTTTGGAATTTGGTTGCTCAGGTTTGAAATTTTAAGTTCAATGTTAGTCAGTCTTCTTTGGTAATGGTCTGGATCCATAGTTTTTAGCTTGATAACATTTTTCTCACTACAGTATGTGAACGATTGAAGATTTATATGTAGACAAAGCAGGAAAAAGCGATGTCATGTGAGATTTGATAGCTAAATCAGGAGCAACTGACATGGACAAAAGAAGCTTCGAATTTCAATTAGTTTAGACAATATATACGATTCTTAAGAGAATATGATCAGCCGAAATTTTCGCATAACGCCTTACTTTTTATTTATTTTAATCATACCCTCCTCTTTATATCCCTTTTACCTTCACAGGAAAAATATTTAATTTGCAATCAAGAAGTCAAAAAGCGACTATTTGTTTTTTCTTTTTTAAACAAAAAGGTCAAAACAAAAAAAAAGGTTTTCTCAGTAATTTGATTCAGGAAGCAAACAAAAGTTGTTCTGCTTTTGGTCAGATCTGTTCTTAACTTCGACGAACATGTACCTTCATGCTTGCTGTGTGACTGTGTGTGTGACTTGTTCTGCTTTTGGTCAATTAGACCGTTGCAATTTTTGTCTCAGAGGCTGTGGGCTTGGTGGGCCTTGGGTTATTGATTCTGGCCCAAGGGGATCTTTTCCTCATCCAGGAACATATTACAGACATGTGGAACATATTTAGGGGAAACAACACCAAGAAAAATATTAAGGAGAAGACGAAAGCAATGAGTCCAAAATTACTTGAGGTCATAGAAAACAATATTTTTTCTGTTAACGAAAACAACTCAAACCATGAAATCTTTAATATAAGGAAACAAACATATAAAAACTAGGCACCGCCCCCGAGCAAGGCTTTATATTCCTGATTTATCCACTACGATGCTTTCTTTCCAAATTATTAGAGCAAATACAAAACTCTGTTGAGTTTAAATAGATAATATTTTGATGGTAATATGTTGGATATTTCCAAAATTTCCGTTGTTGTTTGTTGTGTTGTCGTTTGGACGTTTATGCTAATGAAACCTTTCAAAGATTAGTGAGAAAATGACAATAACCGATTAACTAGAAACTGGAGGAAATTGACACTCTAACCCATTTTAAACATGACAACTTAGCAAATCATCTGTCGATTTTAAGTGCTTAACTGTAACATCTCTGGTACGAAAAAACATAAATAATAACTAGTTTGACCAGAAAATGAATTAAGAATAAGTTTTGTATCTTATGTTTCCACCCACCATCTCCATTGTGTGTATGGCCGAAACGGCGTCGTTCTATAAGTGACACGCATCTCTTATGTAGCCGTAGCTTTGAAACAAACCCAAGCAAGAGGCTGTCTTTGTTTACAACGACATGAAAGCCATTTCTCAACTATTTCTACTGTCTTAGTTTCTAAGCATTCTAATCTCCACCTCATTTCACACAGCTTCTAAGACACTTTTAACAATATTTTCAACATTACAAATCCAACTCTATTGGAGTCCACTATCCAAATACCAGATTAACAAATCAATCTATAGATATAACAAATATAACAATAAGTGTATGTCTTGAACCTGGCATTTGATTATTTAGGAATCCATAATGACAGGTGTTAAATCTCATAATGCCTCCAAATTCTTACAATACTTTTCATTGTAACTATCTACATCATACATAGCCACCACAACTGGCCGTGCTATCCAGTTCTTGTTCGAATTTTGGGGTTATTTTGAGATGTATAAGATTTTTTTTGAAATGATTTTCCAACTTTTTCGATTTAAATTCAGTCTTTGTTTTTTTTTAGTAAAGGATTATTTTAAAGAAAAATTATATTAACTTTAAGTTTTAAGCTTCATTAAACTGTATAAACGGAATAAAGTACTGCTTTGTCTTTGTTATCGCTTATTTGGTTATATTTGGTGTTGGAGGAGTTCGATTCTATCATATTAAACACTCACCGTCACAAATAAAAATATGTACTCAATAACTGAAGTGTGAAGCATAAGCAGAAAATGTTTAAATGTATACCCGAAGGAATAGAGATGTACGATCTCAAAATGGACAACTCGACCATATATATCCAAATTAATGTTTAAAGTTTTGTGGTATTACTTCGAGTTCAGACGGTAACGTCTCACCAAATTAAGACACAATCTCGATCTTAAGTCTGTCTCTGTTTACAGTTTGAAATTATCCACACATCTTAAGTCTCGATCTTAAGCCTGTCTCTGTTCACTCTTAACAAAAATTTGATTCGACATTATCCATACATCATATAAAATATGTAAGAGCTTTATCATGCATATATAAGACAAATCAAGCCTAAGAAATCTACATCGTAATATCATATATATATATATATCTATGTAATCTATCTATGCGGAATCTTTGATGCAATATCTTATTATTTTCAGATGAACATTAGTCAACTATAAATTAAGATCATTGGTCCATCATTCTGTCGCTAACTCATGTAATAAATAATTAGCAAGTGAATTAGTTATCCCGCTATATAAATAAAGAAGCATTTAGACTGCATGCAATCGGTCATGATTTTTAAATAAATGTGAATCTAGATACATACTGATATATGAAGTACTTAGAATATTTACGTATAATATTCTCATCAGCTTCTAATTAGTGTTAACTAGGGAAAATTGACAAGTAAACCTTTAGCAGTTGGTGTAAATTGCATGTTATCGAAAAAAAAAAATAATAATAACATCCAAAATCCAGCTATCGAAAGAGTTTCGAAGTGTGGTAAATAGCAAAAGAAGTATGTGGTAAAAAGTTTTTGGCCACTAATTTTGTATGAAAAGAAAGAGAAATGATACTAGTTTTTTTGGGTTTGGTCAGGGAGATTGGTTGTGGTAAGAATGGGAATCTTAATTATAAAGAATTAGATTTTGGGTCGACCTACCACCTAAAACGACATCGCCTCCTTCTCTGGTTTCCAATCTCTTTCTCCTCTCTCTTTTATAAGCTTGCGCTGGGCAGTCGTTCATCTCAAAAACAGAGACAACAATATCAAACAAACATAAGAAGAAGAAGGATATAGAGAGAGAGATAGAGAGGAGAGAGAGAGAGAGATGAAGTCTCATATGGTTTTGTTATTGTTTCTTGTATCCTTCTTCTCTGTGTTCCCAGCTCCATCAGAGAGCATGGTTCGCCATTACAAGTTTAACGTAAGTTTACAAAATATATATTCACAGTCCGTTTACATATATGTTCATGTATTTATGTATATATATCCACATATTATGTGTACATATAGGATGTAGCCCTGCCGATATCTTATGCTGCAACATCTTTAACAAAACAAATCTTATGCTGCAAAATATCAATATGAACATAAATTATCGACATTGTACATTAATGATGCGCATGCGTATATATATATATTTCATAAATACTTACGTACGTAAAGAAAAATATAAGACTAATGTGTCCGTGTAGTTTTTCCCCTAGTAAAACATGAATCTCCTACGTGTACAACAATTTTATATATGATTTCTTACGTACATATGTGAACAAAGCATGTGTTATTTGTTTCAACGTACAATCAGATAATGATTAAATTGGTTGGTCTGACTTTTATCATTTTCCCTTTTGTTTAACTTTGCAGTGCAATTATTACTGACTTATATTTGTGTTTGAAATCACTCAGGTTGTGATGAAGAACACGACTAGACTTTGCTCAAGCAAACCAATCGTGACCGTCAACGGTAGATATCCAGGTCCCACAATCTACGCACGAGAAGACGACACGTTGCTCATCAAAGTCGTTAACCACGTCAAGTACAACATCTCCATCCACTGGTAAGCACATACTTAATCTTCAAGTAAATCATCATTCATAAGTTAATTTTCTTATCATCATTCACTGTGGACGAATGTGAACAGGCACGGAGTGAGACAAGTGAGAACGGGATGGGCCGATGGGCCTGCTTACATTACCCAGTGCCCGATCCAGCCTGGTCAAGTCTACACATACAACTACACCTTGACCGGCCAACGCGGAACGCTCTGGTGGCACGCTCACATTCTTTGGCTCCGAGCCACCGTTTACGGTGCAATTGTCATCCTCCCCAAACGCGGCGTTCCTTATCCTTTCCCCAAACCCGACCACGAGAAAGTCATCGTTCTAGGTACTTTTAATCATTATATTTTGAACCATAACTAGAAAGTTCGGATCCACATAATTTAATTCTCTTATGACTTGTAATTCACCATTTATATGAACTGGCCTGAAGAATTCGAGTTTCAATCATTCATAGAAATGTAACATAGACCAATACATTAATTACTAGTTGGTTTTAAGTTAGAAGTGCATGCATGTAACTTGACTATTTAACACTATTAGTACTAGTTCTTAATATTGGTCTATTACATTGAATAAGTGTTAATTTGGTAATGACTAATTAACGTTCATCATAATTGAAGGTGAGTGGTGGAAATCAGACACCGAAAACATCATTAATGAGGCACTTAAGTCTGGATTAGCCCCTAATGTCTCTGACGCTCACATGATCAACGGGCACCCTGGCCCCGTCAAAAATTGTCCATCACAAGGTAATTAATTTCTTAATTTCCAATATTAATTTATACTATGATTTTTTCACAGCATAATTTTTTTTTTAACTAATTGGTAAAATCTCTTTCCACGTCCGAAGGTTACAAACTATCTGTAGAGAATGGCAAAACCTATCTGCTACGACTAGTCAACGCTGCACTTAATGAAGAGCTCTTTTTCAAAGTCGCTGGCCATATTTTCACGGTGGTCGAAGTCGACGCGGTTTACGTTAAACCGTTCAAGATCGACACCGTTCTTATAGCCCCCGGTCAAACCACCAACGTC